TAATAACCTTTTTGAAAATGATTTCAAAAATATTACCAAAGAAAAAATCAACAAGTAAATCAAGGGCTACAAAACGTATACATATTATAAGGGGTTGCAACTTTTAATACAATTAAACTACTACTGTGATATTAAAAAAACATGCACGTGCTCAAAATGAGGGATTGAATAGATATAATTCTGAAATTTTCATTGGTTTTCAGAGATATCAGTCTTCGTTACCTTTTCGCCCGAATCGCTTGGCAAATAAAATACCAACACCGTGAGGAATGTTAAAGCCACACAAGGCACAATCAAATTGACAGTATAGAACAAAGTTTTACGTCTCATAGTCAACTTGAATGTTATATCTAAAATTATAAAATATATTAAATAATATTTTGGTAAACCGTAGATTAGCTTACCTGAAAACGGTTCCAATGTATCGGGGTAATATTCCTCATTTTTAGTAGCCGGCACTTCAAGTATGTCCCACTCCACAGATAAATAAAATTCGGTGAGGTCAATGCCGACTTGCACAAGGTTGCTGCCAGGAACCTGAAAAACATTTAGTTATTTTATAAATATTATTATTATGTACGTATCAATCTGACCTGATCCAAATGCTTAAGATCTACTTGTGCGCCATTGTAAGTCCAGGATCCGAACTTCATAAAGCAGATTTGTTCGTCGTAGGGAAAGTATTCCACATTCATTTCACAGGATGACTTGTAAATAGCCGGTGGCTCCCAAAAGACTTCACCTGTGTACTTAAGAGTGGCTTTGGTCATCAGGGTTACCTAGAAATATTGGAAAATCTTGGTAAGTCTGCGGAACAAGTAAAACAATTCCTAATGCACTTCATAGTTGCCATCCCAGTTGTTGTAAAGCACAATGTCCGGAACCCAAATGTGTTCAGATGGTACATAGAGCTGTTCAACTCCACCATATTCCTCCGGATCCCAGCGTAACTTATAGTCGAACCAGCGCTGCAAAAAAGTATTTAAAATTGTATTCTAAGAGACTACTTTTTAATGATATGATATTTACCTGCTTTACCCACAGATTGGTGGTCATCACTTGGTTCTTCAGATTGACCTCAATCAGCTGAGACAATTTCAGACCTAACCAAACCGTTAGGGTCTCCGTGTTGTTCACAACGGGTCTTATCAATCGATTGTAGTTGCTCAACAAATCATCATAGAGACGTTTGGTGTCCGGATTTGCCTCAAAACTTATTGGAGCTGTGGAAATGGAGGAAAATCGGTGAGAAAAATGCCAAGTTAATTTCCCAAACAAATGGTAAATTTTCCAAAACAAACTTCTGCGCAGGCGCTGCTCTCGCTCTCTTCGAGGGCGCAGCTTCCTGACATCTGTCAGATACTTGGGATACAGCATCAGGGTATCGGAATTTTCACAACATTTTTCTTGCCCTGGTACACAATTTTCCTTTGCTTACCCGTGGAATTTGCCAGCGGAACCAGTAGGAAAACACACAACAAACTCCAGTGCCACATTTTGTTGCTGTTTTCTAGGGCTTTTTGTGCAATTAATTGCTATAAATTGGGTTTCTTATCTAAACTTGAAGCATTTTGCTAGGAGTTTTCTTTTAATACAACCTCACGGTCGAAGAGTTGAATCGTAACTGAGCTATTCCTTTGACAGTTGCTCCAGCGGAGATGCTCGATAGATTTATCTAAAAGGATTCAGAAAAGTATCGTTCTAATCGCGCTTATTTTGAATTCAGTGGTAACAGAAAATTTTTAAAAATATGATAAGTTGAATTATTAAGCAAACTATATATATCAAAGAGAAGTTTTAGCAAACTCGAGCTTAACGGTCTGAACGGAAATAATTTAAAAAATTTTATAAATTATTTATTTTCTAATGATACCAAATAATTAACCAAATGTAAATGAATTGAAATGAACTTTACATAGTCAAATGAATTTTCAAAGGCACAACAACCCTAACTTAGCCATGCGCCGAACCATAAGCCAGCCGTACTACCAATTTTGAACCCGTCGTCCTGACAACCTAGTTACTTTGACAACGAAAAAACGAATAAAAGGGAAAACAAAGCAAAAACCAGTAGAAACTGAACTTTGGCAAAGAACGGAAGCAAAACAAAGAAGGCGAAGAAGAAGTAAACAAACTTTCGATTTTTATTGTACTTTTGTGGGTGATTCAGAGCAATGGGCTTCAAGGGCAAATTTCCGCAGATGGTCCGAGAAACGGGCTTCAAATTGAGGCAGTATCGCGATGGTCCACTGGATTGGAGGCTAATGGGTAAGGCATAGTAAATAATATAATTTCCATATAATTAAAAGTTTATTACTGTTCAGGATCTTATGAAACGGAGAGGATTCTCAGGGAGCAAAACTTGGAGCTGGTGGACAAGGCGTTGGCCCATCTTTCAGAGGCTCCACTGGGCACTGTTTTGGAAACTCACATCCTTGACAGTGGCATTGCCAAGTATTTCGTGATGTCCCAGTATGCCATTCAGTACCTGATCTGCTGTCGCACTTACCTAGACGAATGTGTCACGGATTTGAAGGAAGCTCACTCGACGGCGCAGGAGGAAATTGCTACTCTCCGGAAATCTCTGAGTGAATCCAACAACGAGGTGATCCAGCTGCACAAAAAGATCACCCAAATCGAGGCCATTCGCGAGGTGGTCTATCCTGTCATCTGTGTCCCAAGAACTTCATCAGCAACGAGGCCTTGAATGTACATATTGGTCGAAAGCACCGCGTGGCCTCGCCCCCCAGTCTGGCATCCGGCACGGGAAAGGATAAGGATAGGGATAGGGACACCGATGTCCACCTGATCAATACCATCAAAATGGAACTGGAGATCAAGCAATTGAAGGAGCGACTCAATGCGGCGGAGAAGAATATCAAGGAGCGGAGCACGGGATCGAAGAGGGTGAGTCCACGCCAGGAGCAGCGCACCGTGGGCATTCAGAGCAATCTGGCGGAGCCGAAGGACAAAGACGAGGATAGTGGACAGGCGCGGCGGAGTGAGGACAGTGAACGAAAGGAGCAGCTCACAGGATTGGCCGAGCGACTCAGCAACTTTGAGGAGTGGCAAATGCAGCTCAAGCAGAGCAACGAGCAGTTTATACAGGTAGGATCAGTTACTCCTTACTGTGGAATATTTCTAAATCTTTGCGATACCTTTTAGGACATCAATAAGAGACTGGAGGGTCTAAGCCGAGCTCTCGAGCAAAGCAAACATGCCTCGGCAACCACGCCCCCACTGGAAGATCGTGTTGCCACGCCCTGTCTGGAGGACCTGGAACGAATACTCACCGAAAAAGTAGCGGAGATTGGCAAGATCAGTGCCCACAAGCTGGAAGAGGTGGTGTACCACCTTGAAATGGGCTACAATGAGAAACTAGAGGCACTCGAGCGGGAACTCAAGGTGTTAAGTTCACAGAAGAAGCAGCCTGATCCAGCCCATCTTTCTTTGCCAGCTGCATCAAAAATACCCAAGCCAGTAGTACCCCGCAAAGAGGAAACCAACATAGATCGCATTCGAAAGCAAGTGGAGAGCGAGTTCCTGAAAAAGAAACGGGACGATGACACCTATTCCATTGAGGAGGCTCCTCGGAAAAGCCCAGAAAAGCCAATTACCCAGCAGGTGACCCAAGTACAAGTTCACGTCGTGGAGAAGGAACATCCAAGTGCTGGAAGCTCTGGCAGTAATCCAACCTATACGAAATCCCCTAAGGAAGCACCGGTATCTAACAAACCGGAAACTAGAGAAACCACAGACATTAGCGAGAGTCTCAGTCAGGAGGAGGTGGAGAATGCCGAGGAGCAGAGCCTGACAGAGGAGGAGGGCACTGAGGTCTCCACCTCCGAGTCGGAGGCACCCAGGAATGATCAAAAGCCAAAAGGGATGAAGCCTCCCGCAAGGGTCATCAAGTGAGTGCCTTGATCTTACACAATTTAATATCATAAATTCTATATTACCTTATTTTTAGAAGCCCTCAAAAACCATTTACCCGCAAAGATGCACGTAAGATGGTGAACCGAAAGCTGTTGCCCCATGGTTTCGATATGAATCCAAGGGTATTTCCCATACCTCTCTAAAAAGAGTCAACTCGGAGCTGGCCGACCACCGCAACAAACTGAAATTGGTGAGCTAGTTACCCAATCTCATTTCTCTAAAAAATATCTAACTTAAAAAATCCCTTCAGCAATATCCCACTTCTACGTCACTCGAAATCGCATCCGCAAATTCGTGGAGAAGCTCTGCTCCACCAAGTTCTCACAACGTGCTGAGGGGCTCCTCAAACACAGGAGTCCTTTAAAGCCCATGGAGGTCCCCAAGAAAGGGATGCAAAGATCGGTAAGCTCTGCAAAGTCAGAGGAGGATATAGCCAGTTCGCAAAATGAGGAACAGGATGAAGAGCAATCGGAGAGCACCGAGCAGCAGTCTCGAAGCTCCAGTCCTCCAGTCCGACCACTTAATAAGGATTTCAAGGCCCGGCTGGAGGAGATTCTGGTCAAGCCAGCGGCCACTGTTCGAGGAGCTTCCAAGTCGGCCTTGATCACTCGGCCCGTTCCGCTGCCCAGGAAGCGGGTTATGTTCAACACAATGGACAGCGGGAAGAGCTTCAACGACAGCGATGATAACTATAAATGAATTAATTCGAAAACATTACTACTAAAAAAATTTTTTGTTAAGACTGGGTTATAATGATCGCAGATTAAACTGTGTTACTCGAAAAATATACCTCGATGATGTGCGATTTCGGTACGTCTTGACGGCTTTCTCGCAAAAGATCTGAGAAAAAGGATAAATTACTAAAACTTTTTTTTTAAAGTGCTTACCACAATCTATTCATTAATTTTCATCTTTGAAAATAACGTGTTTTCCGTTAATGCTAATATATAATGTTAAATATCGTTAGTCCATATTAATACCAATTTTGTTCACCGTGACCGTTTGGAATATTTTTGGTATATTTAAAACGTAAATTTGGTATTTTTCTTCGAGTCGGTCACATTGGCTTCCCCCTTCTTACCCCTACGACGGTGGAGAAAATTTTGTAGTACGTCGCGAGTATAAAGTGCAATAAATGCAATAAAAGGCCAGCTGGCGAGGATCGGAACGATTGAAAGCAGCCAACCGCAGAGGGGCCAGCATCCGAGGCAGTGAATCCGCGCATCCGGCGGAGCGAAGGGACGAAAACCGTAGAAGCTAGTTGCCATCCGCACACGGACACGGCGCAGACACACACAGGCGCACGCAGCCCGTGCCCATCGATGAAATAACATACATAACGAACGTATACCGAAAATACACGGGTTACGGGCAAATAGCAGTAGCACAAATCGGCGGATAATCGAAATTCGGGGAGCGGAACAACCGGGCCATCAAGATGTCGGATATTATGAACATCGACAGCATTATCTCGCGTCTGCTAGAGGGTAGGTGGTGCTCCAACTTCTGAATTCACTAGCCCTCCCCCTTTTCCACCTGTCTCACACCACCCACTCTTATCACCTCCCCACGATTTTCCCTGTTTTTCTTTATTTCCAGTGCGCGGTGCACGACCGGGAAAGAATGTGCAGTTATCAGAGAGCGAGATCCGCAGCCTGTGCCTCAAATCCCGCGAGATATTCCTGTCACAGCCCATCCTCCTGGAACTGGAGGCACCGCTGAAGATCTGCGGCGATATACACGGACAATACTACGACCTCTTGCGTCTGTTCGAGTACGGCGGCTTTCCGCCCGAGTCGAACTACCTGTTCCTGGGCGACTACGTGGACCGCGGGAAACAGTCCCTGGAGACGATATGCCTGCTGCTGGCCTACAAGATCAAGTATTCGGAGAACTTCTTCTTACTGCGCGGCAACCACGAGTGCGCCAGCATCAACCGCATCTACGGGTGAGTGGGTTTCGGGGGTCCAATAGCGGATACAGTTAAATAGTACTGAGTTCCAGATCTATTACACAAATAATGCCAGCTTTCCTAGGAAAAGGCTTTAGTTTCCCTGTGAGATAATAGGTTTCCGATATTTGCCTGTCCTCAAATTCAATTTAATAGGAAACACTTTAAATCAGATTAAATTACTATAAACAATAAACACATTTGCAATATAAGGTCTGAAAATTTCCATAGAATAAACCTACGTATTCATTTAAAACCTTTTAATTACATAGTGTATCGTATTTCTACATTACACTTTATTTATTGGCTGACATCCTAAGTGCGCCAAGAATAAACCTATTGTTACTGTACTAGTAACAACAATGTAAAAATTTGCTGACAAAATTTCAAATTAAAAATATATATTTTTTATTTTACAACTCATAAATTATCTAGATATATGGGCTTACATTCCGAGGCCCACATACTATAGATCAAAATAAATGCCACGCTCTATGCAATAATCCATAACATTACTAAACTAATTGCGCTTAATTGCCAGGTTCTATGACGAATGCAAACGTCGCTACACCATCAAGCTGTGGAAAACGTTCACGGACTGCTTCAACTGCCTGCCGGTGGCCGCCATCGTGGATGAGAAGATCTTCTGCTGCCACGGCGGTCTGAGTCCAGATCTGTCGTCCATGGAGCAGATTCGCCGCATCATGCGCCCCACAGACGTGCCCGATCAGGGCCTGCTGTGCGATCTGCTGTGGTCCGATCCGGATAAGGACACCATGGGCTGGGGCGAGAACGATCGCGGTGTGAGCTTCACATTTGGAGCAGAGGTGGGTCCTTATACTTACCAAATTAACCTTCGAAAATTCTCATATTCCTTCCTGTTCCAGGTTGTGGGTAAATTTTTACAGAAGCACGAATTTGACCTGATCTGTAGGGCCCATCAGGTGGTGGAGGACGGTTATGAGTTCTTCGCCAAACGTCAGCTGGTCACGCTCTTCTCGGCGCCCAACTATTGTGGGGAGTTCGACAATGCGGGTGAGTGATCATCTTCCGCGGACTTTAGTCGGAGATAGACCTTGTTTATTTTGAGAATGCCTCGTAAGCATTGATTTAACCGATAACCTGCCGGCAAATGAAAGCCGGCAACCAGATTTAATTTCCACTTGGAAAATGCGCATTTTAAAATAATCAATAATCAATACCGAGAATAGAACTGTTTATAAATGGCAGTCGCCCCCACTGAAACTGATTAATCATAATCGACTACGTTTTGCAGGTGCCATGATGTCCGTGGACGACACATTGATGTGCTCCTTCCAGATATTGAAACCCGCCGACAAGCGACGATTTGTTTATCCCAACTTTGGCAGCTCAGGACGTCCTTTGACACCGCCGCGTGGCGCCAACAATAAAAACAAGAAAAAATAAACGCTGCACACCTCGAACAAAGCACAATAGCAACTACAAACGGCCACACACCCACAAAAACATAGGGAAAATGGAAAGGAGAATCCGTGTCCACATACAACGGAAGGCGCAGAAAGTTTGTTTTTATCGAATACGTGTAATCGAATCGTGAGCAACGTTATAAGGGGTATATGAATCTACACAAATTAGCCTATTTTTCATTGAGAGAAAAACCAAACAAAAACAAAAAATGAAAGCGAAAAGAATCAAGAAAAAAGAAAACAAATCGAGACACTTTAGTTCAAAGTAATGGTAGTGTAAGACACTGCATAAGCAAGAATATCTTATCTCCTAATGTATTAATTTTGTTATAGTTTTTCCTGCGCAAAGCCCACACAAACACACTCACACACATGCTTAGATCACCCGTACAGTAGGTACGAAAAGTGCACGCACCGGTTGTATTTTAATTTGCATTTCTATCTCGCACAGCATTTTATTTTAGCCCTTTCGGTGGCACTTTTAGCAGTCTCTGGCAATGGTTTTCAACCACTCTTCCGTTCTTCCTCTTCTATTTTTGCTTGTCTAAAAGAATACTAGCAAATGGTAAAAATGTTAACTTTTACGTTAATTAAACTGTACGAGAATGCTTTTAAATGTGAGTTGAGCTAACTACATATTACATATGTACTCGAAGCACGATTTATTTTTGTAATATTGTCATAGAAATTTTACATCGATACATGTTTACTTAGTTTTAAAAATGAGAAAAGCAATTTTAGTTGCAAGCTACATAAGTTTGAATTGTTTACACCAAAAATATTAAAATAAACAAATATTGTGAATATTTTTTTAACTGTTTGCGTTACACACACACACACCGCCCACAAACACGCACACACCATTGAAGAAACCAAGATTTTAAGGAAACCCAAAAAAAATTGTTTATATACAAAACCCAAATTAAAGAGCAACTTTAATTAGGGCAAATGCTTTTGAGCAGCACTGTGTGCTCTCTGCTGATGTCAGCGACAAGGCAGATAATGTTTCCCCCTCTAAATCCCCCACTCGAAAGGAAAGCAGTTCCAGACCCAGACCCATTAAATGCATGCGAAATTCACACACTAGGAGGAAACCGAAACAAAAATATACAAGTAATAAAATATTTGTAAACAGCAGCGCAACAAATACAAACAGACACGGTTATCGTACTTTGTGTATTTTGCATTCTACGACTATACTGTCGGTACATTCTAGTGCTAAAGGCCGCCACATTCAATTACAAGTATTATGCCCAGGCAGGCAGCGATCCGGAGCGATGCAGCCGGACGCAACTCACCCAAACCCAAAACGGTTTCGTTTGTATAATCCAATCCCCGCCCGACAACCAACCAACCTACTAACAACAATCGCGTAACCTATGGAAAACAAAAGCAAAAAATATGAGTCCTCGTCTATTTCACACTCTAGTACTCTGTTCAATGTTGTAATGAATTCAACGTATGTTTACGACTATATATGTACTTGTAATATCGCGATCCAGTACGACATCGGCTGTTTTCAAACCCCAAAACACAAGTCATAAGAATCTATAACGTAATATCATTAAAAAAAATGTAATTGACTTCAAAAAGGTAATTAGAAAAGACAAAGGGGTAAATAAATAATGCATTCAAAGCGTAAATTGCTAAACATGAAAAACAAATTAATTAAAAAATGAGATAAAAAAGAAACAAAAAAATTAAAAATTAAACAAAAAGAACACAATGACGAAGCACTTGTAACAAAATAGCACTGTTTTATTAAAAGGAAAAACGAAATACATACTAGCAATAAAAATGAAAATCAAGATGTGGTTTTACTTGAATTTGCAATAATGGATGTCTTTAATATAGAAATTTAATTGTTTTCGGAAGTTATTAAGATTCTTTAAATATGTTTTATTTATTTTGTTATTATCTTTGTGATTATCTTTTTGTATCATTAAAAATGTTATCAGGGAAAGTTCAAATGTACATTTCTCCATGCCATACAAATATTATTTTTAACTAATCTTTTATAATAATTATTGCAGCTTTTATTGTTATTGAGATATCATTAATTCCTGTCTTATAAAATCACTTAGATTAGTACAAGGATATATTTGTATATTGCCATAAACACCCATCTTTTATCAATTATATCTCAAGCCACAACTCTTCCCCAATGGAGCGCACCTGGCGCCCGTGCCTCTGCCAAGCCTCTCCTCCGCCTGGAGCCTCAGCTGGAGCAACTTCTGCCTCAAGGCATAGGGAGTGGTGCTCCTGGTGATCTCCTCCTGCCTGCTCTCGTTAGCCCGATCCTTGTTCCACTTGTCCGTGCTGCTGACACTTAATTTATCATAGGCCTGCTGCAGACGCAGTTCATCCTGGCGGCCATCACTGAAGCAATCGCCGGCATTCATCAGGCGGAAGTGTGCAGGGCCTGCAGTTGCTGCAGTTCATCCGTGGACTGATGGCTGGGCCACTGAACTGGGCGTGGTGATGGCGATGAGTCGCCGCTGTAAACCTGACCCTGACCTTGGCTCCTCTGGCGACTGGCGACGCATGCGCTCTGCTCATACAGACGTCGGTTGTCCGTGTACTTTTCATAGTGGTTCGTGTTGTAAGTGCCACCTTTGTTGGCGGTGTCAACACCTCCTGTTCGTTCCCAGCCCCAGCGCAAAACCTTGGCCCTGCTCTGCTGTCGTTGCTGGGAGGAGCTGCAGCTGCAGCTTGAGCAGTGACTCACCGAGGTGGATGTGGCGGTGGAGTTCCGGCGACTAAAGTCATTGACCAATTCGGTGCTGGAGTGTCCTAGGCCAAATTTGGGCTGGGTTTGATGCTGGGACGTTTTATAAACTGGGTGGGGCGCAGACTTTGTCTGGAGGATGAGGTCACCGACCTGAGATCGCCACGTAGATGATGCTGAGTACGATGATCTAGAGGAAGTTGTTGCTGATGCTGGGCATTGCCCGATTTCATAGCACCGCAATAGCATTTTTGCATTTTTCTGATGATTATAATATTTTCTTTTTATTTTTTGGAAAATTCTGTTCCCCCGAACGGATTGCGTGCCCAATGAATGTTAAGAGGCGACTAGCCGACAACCGGTTTCCACACTTACGGCCTGGTACTTTATCACCAATCATCATACCATATATACCGTTAGCCGGCTCACTTAAGCACTCGCATATCGTTTGTTTATATTTGAACAACAATTGCAACAGTTTCCATAGACACATGTCGAGGTCCTTGGGCTGTTTATTTTTGGCCAAACACTTGCCCACAAAGCCAACATCCACACGCACACACGTGCAGTTCGAAGCCCAGTTGGACAAAAGAATGTGCTGGCCAAACGAAAGACTTAGGCAACAAACTTGAATTCGGCACCATGAAGTCAAGTGGAGAATTACAATCAAAGAATAGTGTTATAAAAATTTGAATTGATTCATATGCAAATGTGAGAAGCAAGATTAGTAATAATGAATGAAATAGATTTATAGATCCATCTATAATTTTCAAAGTTTGAAAAAATGGTAAGTGGTATAGGAGTTTGGTGACCCAAATCCAAAACAAAATATAATAATTATAATTTTATCTCTAACACAATTAATAAAATAGTTATAATGAGTTGGTAGAAATCCATTATAAATCTCTGAATTACTTTTGGCTTATAAACTTAATCTATTCTAATTTAGAACTACAGATTTCCATTTACTTATGAATTACGAAAATTGCCGGGCCAATTTAAATGGTACACTTGTTTAGTCCAACCTATAAATTAAATTTGTCTGTGCCCGCCCATAGGATTAGCCAATCCGCTTAACCCAAAAATGACTTCTCATTTGTGCAAGAATTCGACTGTTGATTTCAGCACACAAATGTTGCCAAATATTGACCCAATAAAAACTAGTTCCTGTGCACTTGTAGAATATACTCTAGGCCCGATCAAGTGACTGACTCAAGTGGATCGATTTGACTTCCTCAAAGACACCGAAGCATAAACAATATACCCTTTATTACGGCCTGGGAAAAAGAGCCTCAATTACGCTGATAAGCAGGTGAAGTTCAATGAACTGGATCGAAGGGGAAAACGAAATCGAAAGGGCAACACAGGGTTGCTGGGTGGCTCGGTCATTGGTTACTTGGCTTCCACTTTCAGTGGTGCTTAGGTTGGCTGGCCAAAAGCGGCCAGCCGGAAAGCAAAAGTGGTTCGCCACTGGTGGCTCGTTTTATGGGCCAAAGCTCGGTGCGATTGAAAATCGATGGGTTTCGAGACGCGGGAGCTTTCCGATGTCGGTCGTTCGAAAAGCCGACTTGACTTCTGCGCCGCCGCCGCCGCTGTTCAAGCTCGGTATAAAAAGACGATCGGCGCACGCATCCCGTGTACACAGTGATAAGTCTCCGGCCAGAACCACCTGTCACCTCCATCGACACGGAAATCGCGCGCGCGTGGAATCTTTTTGTGCCGAGTGTCAATTGGAGTTAGCTACCGATTTCGCATCTGATTTCGTACATCCGCCCGGACAAGATATGTCAAAATACTCGATACTACTGCTGCTGCTGATTCTGCGATTGCGCAGGAACTTACTGTAACGGCAGCGCAAGATTTGCGTAAGTACTAAACAAAAAACTAGAAATAATCAGCAAAAAAACGATTAAAATAAAACTACTTCGGCGAGCCAAAAAGTGCAAAAAAATTATCGATTTTATTTGCTTTGGCGCTATGCTTCGGCTATATATATATTTGTTAACCAGCACATTTATGGTTAAAACGTGATCGATATTGTTTATGGCTCTTTAGTTTTGTTTTGGAACTCGGCTCTTGGCCTGCAGACCTGAAGGTCGAGCTCTGTAAGATTCTCTAATGGTGATGACAGGCATGCAAATTGGTCTAACATTACAGCAACTACAGTAAACATCGGCTGATAGTCACGCCGGCTTATCGAGTAGTACCGCTTCCAATGGGGATTCTGGAAAAGGTTTTATTTTCAAATCTGAGATTAGAGATATTTTCAATATTTATATAAACTATCTTAAGATCTATAAGATATCATTGCATTTATGGTTATATTCTGGTATTAAAAACGCTTTAAGGGATCACTAACTCTTTCAGAATCTTTAACCCTCAAACTACACAAATGAACAAAATTTTCCTAAATAAAAATGAATGTATAAAAATACAAAAAACAGAATAAGCGCACCAACTTTAGTGCACTAATTTTCTTAGAAGTAATTACCAGCAGACATATAAAATATTATGAGTCACTTCGAAGTTAATAGTTGTCCGCAATTATAAACGAGAATACTTGAGGAGAGTTATAAAAAAGGCTGACCATAAAACTTTACGCTTTTCATTTGCGTGTTGCTAAATGGTCAAGATCAATTAAGATCAGTTTTTGGCGGCATTAGGGGTTTCCCCCAACCGATGTCCACTGTAACCAGGTGTGTTATGCAATTTGGCTACAATCGTCTGCAAACAGGTTGCTCTTGGCCGGTCCAGTTTGACGGTCCAGACAGTCCACTGATCCACATTCATTTACACTTACACTTCCGCTTGTGACACAAATTTATGAGTATCGCAGAGAAGGACATATGTAACCATCGATTGTTTTGGATGTGTTAATTAATTCGCACATTCCGCGACGTATGGAATTTTTTTCTCCAGGTGTAACTGATTAATGAAACCGTTGACATAGGTCATGAATGCCTTTGTCTTCTCAATGTATTCATGATAAATGGCCCCTCGCATCGTGCGCTTCAACTTGACATTGAGCCACTAAAATATGCTAGCTCACTTCTTTTTCTCATATGTATATATTTATCTCAGTTCGATTTTCGTGGACACTTTTGTTTTGTTTACAAACAAGTTTTGGTGGCCAACGAACCCTGGCCAAGTGGACAGACGGATGCTGGCCCAATTGCAGGCTGCTTTTTGGCTGGGGCAACTTCCGCAATCCGCGAGATAGCGATTTCAATGTCATGACCAAGCAACTTAACCGATTTTGTCTCTACCTTGCAGCCGAAGGCTTTCCCAAGTGCAAACGGGATGCGAACTTTGACAAATGCCTGGTGGATGCGGTCAATGTGGCGATACAGCAGCTAAAAGCTGGTGAGTAATCACTTTGAATTGGCCAGAATCCATGGAATAATCCTTCCCTATTCACCACAGGAAACAAGGAATTCGGAATCCCGCCCCTAGAGCCGCTGACCGTGAAGAAACTCGTTATAGACGCCGGCAATGCGCCAATAAATCTGCGTCAGGCCTTGAAGAATGTGAAGGTGCACGACATGATCTCCACCAGCAAGATTCAGCGGTACAGGTAAGATTAATAATAATAATAAAAATACAAATTCTTTTGTTCCTATTATTATAATTCTATAAAGAAGTTGGTATACCTTTTTTAAGGTTCCCAATTTTATATGTTTGTTTCTCTGTTAAGTTCTAAACTAAAATGCTTCCTTTTTCAGGACCGATCTGGATAAGCACTTGATTATCTGTGATAGCCGAACGGACCGTATCGAGATGATTGGCGACTACGAGATGTCTGGTCGCATCCTTTTGCTGCCCATCACGGGTCACGGAAAGGCTAATGTCACGCTAATCAATACAAGATCGAGCATCGTCTGATTGGCGAGCCCTTCGAGAAGGATGGCGTCAAGTACATGCGCCTCAAGGATTACCGGGTGGCATTCGATCCCAAGAGGGTGTACATGAACTTGAGAACCTTTTCAACGACAAAACCCTTTCAGAGGGCATGAATCGATTCCTCAACGAAAACTGGGAGACGGTGTTCAACGAGCTGAAGGTGGGATATGCCAAGAGTTTCGGACTCATATTCAAAGAGCTGTCAAACAAACTGTTTGAAAAGGTTCCCTTCGATAATATATTCTTAAGTTAAGAGCTACGTGCTATCACTTACCTATTAGGTAATGCCTAATTTATGTTACTAAATAGTTAATAAAGGAATTAAAACATCACAATTGAATTTATTTATTTGTGGCTTTTTTGAGAATGCAAACTTTAGCTTAGACATACGTAATCAAATATTTACGGCCCATTAACTAGTTGTACTTCTAATTTGTTTACGGAAAGTTTTAACCATTTGCACGTCTAGATTGTTGTTCACGTGACTCTAAAGACTCGCTTCCCTTTTATTGCTTGTAAAAAGCATTATTCAAAGTCACTCTGCCTTAAAATAATGTTGTGGAATGTATGGGGTTCAGGTGCTTATTTTTAGATAAGAATAAATCAAACCATTATTATGTTTTTTTTTTTATTTTCCAATTGCTTTACGAATTTTATCTTTTTCTTAGAGGAATAAATATTTTATTTCCAAAAATATTAATGTTAATCTAGGTATGTTTCCGAAAAATATTTTAAATTATATAATTAAAGCAACTATATCCCCATAATTTACTTTTATTTAAATAAACCGTTAAAATAGTAAACCATTCTGGTGTGACCAGCTGTCAAAAAAGAACCACTTCCGGCCAGCATGATTAGCCTTTCGGTATTCTTGGGTATAAAGGCGACGGCACACTGCAATGCCAGCTTTATTTATTGGTCAATTTGTTTAAAACAATTTAAAAACCGTGCGAAGAGCTCCACCGCCGGAAACCACAGACTGCAAAAAGCCTGCGTGGATGGCAGAGAAACCGGTCGCCATGGAGGGCACCGTGCCGGAGGCCAAGTACCAAAAACTGGCCACAGAATACTCAAAGGTACACGGCTTTCCCCCTCCGAATCGGCAGCAACAGTTAACGCCCATTAATCCAATTAATCCCACAAACTTAATCCCCATTAGCTAAGGGCCCAGGCCACGGTGCTCAAGAAGGCGGTGCTCGAGGAGCAGTCCAAGGAGGCCAGTCTGCGGGAGCAACTGCAGCAGTATGCCACCTCATTGCGGCGCACGGAGCAGGAGGTGGACTCCCTGGGTTTCCGCAACAAGCAGCTGGAGTCCCGGGTGTCTCAGCTGCAACAGGAAATCTCAGTGCACGAGCAGCCCAAGAAGAAGGACAAGGATCCCGGTGGCAGGCGGGGATGCAGGGCAACAGCCGGCCGGAAGCGGAGGCAGCATCGGATGCTGCTCAAGAAGTCCTCATCTTCGAGGAACTGCAGAAGAAAATCATGGAGAATGCGCAGCTGACGTCATTGGTAAGCCAGAGGGGTTACAAATAGGATTAGGATGTGGTGTTTTAATCGACCACCCCCAGATTGACGACAAACAGCGGGATCTCTTGCTGCACACAGAGCGCATCGCCTCTCTGGAACAAAAGCTAGAGAAGCGTATCGGCGACCAAAATGAACTCGAAAAACGACTCAGGAAGGAGGTGGAAACGCTGCAGCACAGGAACAGCGAGCTGGAAACTAAGCTCGTGGATGCGGCCAGCATGGTAAGATCACAACTCTTAAGTCCCCATCTGAAACTGTTAGTAAATCATTAGCCTTTTTCCAGCTGGGCAGCGAGGACGCATTGAGCGCCACCGGCAGCGATAATACTCCACTCCACAATCTTCAGCATAATTCGAACAGCAACCACCTCACTTCCGAGGATCGAATTGCGCTGCTCGAAAAGGAGGCGGCGCACTGGAGGGCCCAATTTGAGGTGACCAAGCTGCACCAGGCATTTGTCTCGAACCCCAGCAAGGATCTCAGCACCTGCAGCTGCAGACGGCGGCGGCGGGTGTTACTGTTCGACCGGCAGAGCCGGAGACCAAGGGCAACCAGAGGGCGCGCGACTCGCTGCAGGATCCCCCCGAGCCACCCAGCAAGGAGCAGCTCATCTACAGTGTGTTCAGCAAGAAATTCGAGGATCTGATGCGACTCAAAGTGCAGGCGGAATCTAAGCAGCGGTCGTATGAGTTGGAGGTGCAGCACCTGCAAAACTGCCTGGAGAACGCGACGCACGAACTGAAGGCCAAGGACGAGCAGCTGGCAAGCTTGGGAGGAGCCCTGCAAATGCTCGAAGAGAGTTGGTGAGTTTTCTATTTATAAAAATCCTTTGGAATGGATAAGCAACTCTTTTATTACCATAGACCACGACGCGTATTAACTACGAGGAGCAGATCAGCGTGCTGACGGAGCAGGTCATCAGCTTGAGCGACCAACTTGCCGCCTGCAAATGAGCATGGAGTGCGGAGCGAGTCCCGCCCTGCTGCTTTACTGTATATTCTTGTAAAATAACTAACCGGGAACGCCCGCTCCCTCCTGTTTTGTTATTGTCCGCCCTCGACGTGTATATAACTGAACATTATATGTGTATTAAATAATTCTCTAAAGTTTAAACGTGAAACTACAATTTGATTGAGAAGGAGGAGCCGCAAGAGCAGCCCTGTTCCGCTAGCGGATTGGCCACCATCCTGAATCCGGCGCGGATCAGCTCGCTGTGGTAATCCACGGTGGCGCCACTGCAGTACTCCAGCGAGACGTTATCGATCACCACCTTGGCCTGGCCCTCGCCAAACTCCCTGTCATCCTCGTTGAGCTGCTTGTCCAAATCGAACTTGTACTGGAAGCCGGAGCAGCCGCCTCCTTCGACGGTCACCCGCAGGAATGATCCGTCCACGCAGATCTCACGGAGTCGCTTCATGCAGCTCTCGCTCACCTGGACACTCAGCTCGGGATTAGCGGATGCGGAGATGGATGCGTGCCGCATCAGTACAAGATTCCTGTGGAAAATCAATGTTTTTATATGTTGTTACGTAAAGTTCTTTCCAGACTTCACCTTTGGAGACCCGTCCTGACCACTTGTCTCAGTAGGAAGGCCATATTTGCACGATTTCACAGCCAAAGAATTTAATTTCAATAATTCTATTTACTATCTCGTAATCCAAAACAACGACAGCTGTTTTCGGCCGATATCGATATCGCTACTCGAGAGTCCCCGATGTATCTTAATCTCTATGCGAGTGTTGAAAAATACTCGAAACAGGGTGTCCTCGAGGATGGAGTACTTTCTGAATTTTTCGGTATATACCAGAAGAAATATTAAATGTTAGGAATTTGTCTTCGCTATGTTAGCCGAGGCATCCTCCTTACATTCGCATGGGACCGTATTCGAAATACCATACTTAGGTAAATACCGACGGTATTTCGAGTACGGTCCCACGCAATTGTAGCCCTAACATTTTGGATATTATTTTCTGTGTGTTTTTCCAAAATTTCCACCGATTCTAGCTCTAAGCTTTTGTGGTTTTCCCGAAAATTGTGTGCATCTCCATGTGGATGCTACAAGGCGCGATAGTAAGTACATAGGAAGATGCCAGGGGGAATTCGGCGGGAGAAAACATGAGCTCGGCGAAAGCTTGCACCACGAAAGGGGCACAATGTGGCACACATTGCAACAAACAATAACATTTTGCCTGCCAATGAAATCATAACAAAAAACCATGGAAAATGGGGCAAATAATGAGGGTGCAGGTGCTGAGATGATCCCCAATCCTGCCGGCATCGTACCGAGGCCGGGCCATCACCTGGAGGACGTGACCTGCGACAGGAGCCGCCTTACACATCACGCATGCACCCTGCAGCCAAACAGGAAGTCAATAATTGGCAAACACCTCAATATGCCCCTTCTCCATCATTTAAAATCAATTATTAATTTTACTTCGCGTTTCTTATTGTATAGACCCAGACTACCTTTGTTTTTGGCGCGCTAATAGAATGTACCTACCCTTACAGGAAATTACTGGAATTTGATGCCCTACCACAGGCATGGCGGTCAAGGTGCAATTCGAAATTGGCCACACGTCGAAGCTGCGCAGCAAGAAGACCACGCATCCGCAGGGCTTCACCCACGACTGGGAGATCTACGTGCAGGGCGTCAACAAGGCGGACATCAGTGCCTTCGTCGAAAAGGTGGTTTTGTGCTGCACGAATCGTTCCCCAAACCCAAAAGAGGTCATATACATTTGCCCACCTAGAGAATCCCTTTCATGCACATTTCCCTTTTGCAGTGGTCAAGGAGCCGCCGTATGCCATTCAGGAGTCGGGCTACGCCGGCTTTCTGCTGCCCGTGGAGATCTATTTCCGCAACCGCGACGAGCCCAAGCGCATTATCTACCAGTACGACCTGGTGCTGCAGTCCACGGGTCCGCCGCAGCACCACGTTGAGGTGAAGACGCACATCTTCGAAGCCCCGTCGGAGGAGTTCCGAGCGAAGATGATGCGCGGCGGTGGAGTGCCCGTGTTTGGGGCCAACATCGGTGCCAGCAGTCTTACCCGAACTCTATCCCCCAGCGTTGGCAGCGGCGAGACGCCGCCCAACAATGAGATGGCTCTGGTCAAAGCCAAAGGCGTGCCTGGTACCATCTCGATGAACGTTGATCTGGGCACCGGCAAAAAGCACAAGTCACGCAATGAGGATCCCGGAAAGAGCAACGCCTTCTCCGCCCTCTTTGGCCCGCCCATCACAAAGGGCAGCGCAACGACGAACAACCTGGCCTTGGTCCCCGTCTCTAAGCACTCGCCAGACACCAAAACTGTGGCTGTCAGCGGCAAGGGAAGCTCCCACGAGGGCAGAGAGAAGGCAAACAAGGATCGGGATAAGTCCAGCAGTGGAGACAAGCCGCGGGAAAAGGACAAGAAGGATCGCCATGGTCGCGACAAAGACCGCAAATCTAGCAAGTCCGGTGAGGGAAAGCATGAGCGGGACAAAGAAAAATCCAAGAAGGACAAAACGCGCGACAAGGAGCGTGACCGCGACCAGAGCTCGGGCAACACGCCATCCGCCGGCGGCCCCACGGTAGCAACTTCTGCTGCTGCGGTAGCCGCTGGGGCACTGGTTAAGCACACGGCGAGCCCTAAACCTGGCAAACCAAACGAAATGGGTGCGCCCAGTCCCAAGAAGACTGCAAATGATGCGACCGCTAATCCGGCCGCACCTGCTTCCCGTTCCAAAGAGCGCGATGAGCACAAGTCGGGCAAGTCCGATACCAAGGACAAGGAGCGCAGCTCCAGCAAGAAGTCTAAGAAGAGAAGAAGGACAAGGACAAAGAGCGCGATCGGGACCGAGAAAAGCAGCGCGATGAGAGCAAGGACAAGCGAATGCCCAAGGAGGAGCGTTCCGGCCAGAGCGATAGTCCGGCAGCCGGAAACGCTCACCTGCACAGCAGTTGCAGCAATCCCAGGGGGCCAGTACGGGTAAAGCCACGCCCACATCCGTGGGCAGCAACAGCAGCAGCAGCCTGGTCTCCAACAGCGGCAAGCAGAAAGAAGAGGGCACCGGCAAGCATAACGAAAAGACCACAGAACACAAAGCAGATAAAGCCACGAGCAATGGCAGTGCAGTTGATACCAAGAAGTCCCACAAACACAAAAAGAAGGACAAAAGTAAGGACAAAGAAAAGGAACGCTGCGATCGCGACAAGGACAAAGATAAGGAGCGCGACAAGGAGAAGCCGAAAGAAAGAGAAAAAGACAAGCAGTCAGTGCCCAGTGTAGAGAAGCAATCAGCGGCCGAGCCATCGCCAAAAACGGCGGGAGCCAGTCCAGCCACCGAGGGAGGGGCGCCAGACAAGCCGGCAGTTAGCAGCAGTGGTAGCAAGAAGGAGAAGCACAAGAAGTCTAAGGAGAAGTCATCCGGCAAGGAAGACAAGCGTCAGCGGGAGACTGGCGACAAGCAAGCTGAGGCAAAGCACACAGGAAAACAGCAGCAGCAGTCACAGCCGCAGTCTGGCCAGAACAAGGCTCCCAACAACCTGGATCTTAGTGATGTAGACTCGGCCCAGTCGGCGCCGGATCTGGCCGCCACCAATGCTTTGGCCGCAGCAGCAGCAGCCACTCTCCAGCACTCTGACAGCTCCAACAGCAGCTTTCCGGATTTACCCGCCAGGGGCACAAGCCAACAAAAGCCTGCTAAGGGTAGTGCGGGTTCCGGCAAGGAGGCGAAGCCTGCCGGCAAGGAACACAAGGGCAAGTCCAAACAGAATGACAAGAACAGCGATAAAAACATTGAAAAGTCCGAAAAAGCCGACAAAACTCCAGACGCCAAGATGGACAAGTCAGAGAAGGCGGAAAAGGATGAAAAGAAGCGCAATCGGAGGAGCTCCAAAACAGTAACAGTGGAGCAGGAGCAGCCGGTGGCTTTATAGAGCCCCCGGTTAAAGCCTCCAAGAAGGAGCAAAACAAGGCACCGCGCGAGAAGTCCAAGTCGCCCTCCTTGCGTCCACCCCGGATACCAACTCCACGGGGTCAGGAGCCGGGGCCCCTAATGCAGGATCTGGGTTCCTGCCACCGCCATCATCTTCGCCCAGCAACAATCATGCCGCCGTAGTAACGCCAGCTAGCTTAAACATAACAATATCAATTCTAACAGCAACAGCAGTCATTCGCCCGCTGATATAACGACGCCCGGACAACTTCAACTGCCAACGGAGTATTTAAGTGAACTGCAGGAGCTGCACCACAAGATCATGACCTGCAGGACAACGAGGAGCTGCAGCAGTGGTGGAGATGATCGCGGCCACTGGTTGCTACGAGCTCACGCACAAGACGTTCGACTTCGACCTGTGCAAGCTGGACCGCAGCACCGTGCAACGTCTGCAAGAGTTTTTGGCCACCTCGGTGTCGTGACACTCCCTGACCTCCGCGACCGGCCCGGCTCTCTACAGCTAGACGATGCACAAACCCCTCATGCACATAACCAAATCATTAAGCTTAAAGTTAACGTTGTAAGCCAAATGCGAATGAACTTGGCTCGCACACAGCCTCAATTCCCCTTGCCTAGATCCTAAGTTGTTAGCCCGAAGGGCACACAAGACCCGAGAGATTTCGCTTATGAAAATACTGAAATCGTCCCTTAGTTTTTGAGACTCATTTGATTTAAGACCTATTTTATATGTTTTTGGAATCCTATTCGATTTTAGCACTTCGCATTTTTTATGGTCGTTTTCTTATAAATTAATTAATTTTACTTTGATGTTTACACCAAGAGTGTACCTCTTTTAAATCCTGTTTCCAAGACTAATTTGAGATAATGGAACTCTAAAACACAATGTTTTATCGTATATCTCATAAAAAATATTTGAAAGCTACATTTAATGACAGTTTCGAAGTCAGTAGTCCCTATTTAACTAATAATAACGATTTTTAAAGTGCTCACCAAAAAGGCGAAGTTTGTAAACTAGTGTTAATACATGCGAATAAATTACTTTTGTACGATATTTACGTACTTACTTTTGGTTTGTTTTCAGTTTCACCTTAATTTACCCCAATATATCACAGTCTCAAGTATTATAGTTAACCTACATAAGAAAAGAGAGATATGTAACCAAATTATGTGCACAGTGTATTTTAGACTACGGTTAATCTTGTCTTAGCAATCTAAACAACAGTGGAATATGAAGTTCTGACATAAGAAAGGGACTATCATCAGCCTTGAAATATATATGGAATGACGAACAGTGCTCTATTTAGTTGGTAATCGTAAGTACACAAAGAAATTTGTTTAAACTGACTGTTTTTGGCATAAAGTCGCCATATTTTCTTAATATTAAGTTGTAAGGTCGCATAAAGCATACCAATTATACCCATATAATCATTAAGCAATTTAAATTAATCCAGTCATTATGTTATTCCACGATACTGTTCGGCTCATTCATTAGAGGCTTAGAAATAGTCGAATAAATATGACACTTACTTGGATTTGTTTTAACAAGAAGCTTTTGAACGTAACCTTCAACTTGTCATTTTGCTCGCACTGACGCAAAATCATATATGAGCCGAACAATGTCGTGGACTAACACCATCATGAGTTGACAATTTTTAATTTTCATCATCCATACAAAAGGTATTTTTATTACCAGAATACTATTGTTGATTAAAGGAACGTATATTACAAACTGAGGCAGATCTTTTAACTTAAGAGAGACAGTGACTATATTCTTTGGGAACTATGGGGAAAAGTCCTTAAAAGCTACGAGAACGCCAAACTGAAAACAGTGCGAAAACTATTCGAGTTGATTGCTTAGCAGTTCTATGTTTTGGACTAGATATTTTTTGTGCTCTAATTAGTCGCGACAATAGCAGTACTTCCGCAGTTCGGGATCCCGATCGTATATGCATCGGGCCTGATTTCCGTACTTGTTGACACGCGAAATATCCGTGAGTTTGGTTGTGGCACTAAATGTGTGAAGGCTGTAAGCCACGCTCGCCTCGAAAGCCCCTCGCCGGGTAACGTTACACCTGCAGTTGGTACATCTCATCCCGACCAGCGTTTGACCGTCATGTCCGCCAGGAAGCCATCCCGGTCGCTGTTCGTCTTGAATTGCAGCAACTCCTTGTGCGGTTGCAGGCGTAGCGCCCAATTGACACGTAGGAGCTGGGGTAAATGGAAGTTTCGTATAATATCGGATTATAACTGATATCAATCTGAGTGGCCTTCATCACGAACCTGCAGAGGAGCACAGTGCTGGCGTTGCTCCACGGTGGCCAAATTTATGGCATTGACAATGCTTTGGGCAGCTTTGAGAACGATGCCCGAATAACGGGAGTCGTTTAACTGCAAAGGCAGCCAATTCAGACAGGCACACCAATGTGGCTCTATGTAGGCATCCGCGCAGGATCGATTACTAGGAATGGGATCCAACAGCGACATGGCGCGTCCCCGAGCCAGCTCCGAGATGTGAATGCCAGGCGTGCTGGGATCAGTTCTTACATCGTTGATCTCGCCCAACTGATCGGCTGCCGTTTGTAGTTCTATGTGAGAGCAGAAATTAGTCTCTGTAAAAGTCAGACAACCTCAATTTACGTATAAGTGCTTCAGCGTGGCATGTATGTCGAACGGCGTGGCCAGGTGGTGCTCGTTGGCCAGAAAGTTCTTATACTCCTGCGGGAAGCGCTTCTTAAACGACTCCGGAAACGTGAACTAAAGAATGGCAGTCGCTCTTCCTGTTTCCCCTGCAGAGTGGCTCGCACCTCGGCAAACGATTGCCATGGTCGGCCATCATAATCAGAATTGTGTCGTCTAGCAGCGAACGTTCCTTGAGCGCCACCAGCCAGTCATGCACATCATCATCCGCTGCTCCCACTAGGTTGATGGAGTCGTGGGACAAACCGCCATGGAAGCTGAAGACAAAACGGGGGCATCGCGATATTTCAGCATAAACTGGAAGGAGTTACAAGATTAGGGTGAGATTTTTGCAGGGTCTGACTACACATACGTTTTTGGTGTATTCAAGCATGGTGACATGGTCCGGTTGGTGGCCAATGCAGTTGGGCTGGCTCTCGGCGGCCATGTGCTCCGCCTGGACATAGTAGGTGCGCAGGTAGTGGTCAACTGGCTGGCTCTCAAACCCTGTCATGCGGTAAGTGAAGGTACCCACATTGGGCAGGTCCTCGTTAAACGAGGTCATATAGCCCAGGCGGGCGAAGTCCTGCCAAATCATGGGTACGAGTCCACGCTGCCCGCTCCGGAGAAGCGCTTCCTCGTCTCCGGCAGTTCCAGTTCAGTGAAGCCCGTAAGCAGGGGCACCAATGCTTGCGGAGTACCATCCCCCACGATATTGTAGCCCTTGAGGACGGTTGCGCCCAGTTGTTTGGTGAGATAGTCGTATGTTCTGGGCAGCTTACGCATGAAGGCGTTGCGACTCAACGAATCAAACCGAACATGAGAACATTGTAGAAGGAGGCCGTGGGGACATCCTGCATTTGCTGCTGAGCCTGGGCGACTGCCTCGGGCGGTAGGACAGCCAAGTTGGGGAGAAATTGGCAGCCAGGGGACGAGGCACTGTATCTCGTATGCCATGGGCCATGCCAAACCAACTAGGCAATGGAGTAATACATTATAAACTGGGTGCAGTGCGTGTAATCAAGTTGATAACCACCTCTCGCCGCTGGAGGATCGGCAGGCCACCTTGACAAAGTCACTGGCCTGCAGGACATATGGTCCTTCATGCGCAGGGTTCGTCCGAAGCGCACCTTGTAGTCCGACTTGCGAATGATGTCCGTGTAGGAGCAGGTCACATCCTCGGGCTGACGCGATCTCCGGGCGTACAAAGCAAATGGATTTCTGTGGGAGAATCAGGGGTTACCCAATGTGATTCTGGCAGAATTAAATCCTTTCAAACCTCGCACATCACCCAGTCCATTCCCTCGCCGCAGTTGATCCGCTGCACCGGCTTGTAGAACTTCATGATGTCCGGATTCTCCAGGGGAGATGGGGATGGCGGCACTCTCCCTGATTTACCGCCGATCGTATGGAGCGCTCGATAATTTCGCTTTATCAGAAGTACAAAATATGTGTGTATATATGAGTAAACATCCAACAATCAATTTCGCGAAATGCTCGTGACTATACATACATTTTAAGGTTTTTATCCAGTTCCCGCTCGTCATTTAAGATGTAAAGGGTAACCATGAGAACCACTACAATGCAACCTGCAGCGATCTTGGGGACAGTTCCCCGGCGTACGAAACGCATTTTGAATTAATTATGAGCTGCAAATAGTGCACCAGACATGTCAGAATTTTATCTTGCAATCTCTGTAAATACTGCACTTACTACTTGCCAATTGGGGCGATGTAGTCCCAGTGCTCGCCCCGAGTCCCACGGGGTAGGTTAGTTAAGCGTTACTGACTTTCAAACATTTAAAAGTTATTAAACAATGACCAGCTGGGCGTACCGCTATAAGCAATGTGCAGAAAAACATGCAAAAACTTATGCAGATGCTGGTCATACTGCAGTGGTTGGCAACGCGACCGTTACAATTTAAAGTTCAATTTTAAATCAAACCACTTCATTTTTGATTATGCACACAGTGTAAACATATACTTTGCGTTAGTTATTATTCTTTATTAATACATTTTGTTTAAATTTTATTCTTTAATTTACATTTTCTTTTGTTGTTAGACATTTTATTATTATTTATTTATTTATAGCTAACCAAATCTTATCAAAAATATGTTTTTCTAAGCTACAATATACTGTGTTTTTGAACCCGGCGGTTTAAATTATTTCCAAATTACTTTTGCTTATTGGAATGTCAGGCCTTTTTTTCTGTGGTAATTTAAGATCAATATTCAAGGACCTTGACTTACAGTGGCCGCTTTAATATGTTTTTGCAAAAGGTAGGAGAATCTGGTTTTTATGGCCATAAACAAGTGTCATTAAAATACAATTTAATTATAAGAAAGGCAATTAATTTGCTTCAAAAGAAACAAGAAAAACGCTATGGTCACTCGACCCGACTATCAGATACCAGTAAGATGTTTCAAGTTTCAGATGGACTCGGCTAGTGATCCTGATCAATAATATTTATTTATAGGGTCGGAAACGCTTTATACTACCTGTTACATTCTTTTGACGAATCTAATATACCCTTTTACTCTACGAGTAACGGGTATAAAGACCCGAGATAAAGATAAAGCGACAGAGCTCGCGAGGTGAGAATTCCGTCGAAAGATTCAGTTGTGCGCCAAGCTCAGCTTCGGCCTCTCCACCTTACTCCGCTCCGTGTGAATTCCGTTTTATTACCTGTATCATCCATATTATCGCGCCGTTTATTTTGATATCTGCTTCTGCGTTCGATCTATAATATTGCAGTAAACAAAACATTAACATTATAACCCGAACCCCTGACGACGTCTTGAGAAAGGATTTACCTGACCGCTTGCGTAACGAAAATGCTGAAACTATCATTTGCATGCCTCTTTCTGGGTTTTTTGGCGAAATCATCAGCGGGCCGTAAGTAAATAGAAGAAGATTGCCAAGATTCCCATCTGCTGGGCATGACAAGCTTTAACAAACATATTTATTTTGCCGCGGGCCTTCACAATCGTTTATAAAACCTGTTTCCGTACTTCTATAACTAATGACCTAATTTATGCACAAAGTTGGTAGGCTATATGATATTAACCTCTGGCTTTCCAGAGTTCTACTTCCCCAATGAGGCGGCCCAGGTGCCCAACTATGGGCGCTGCATAACACCCAACCGGGAGCGGGCTTTGTGCATCCACCTGGAGGATTGCAAATACCTATATGGCCTCCTGACCACCACTCCGCTTCGGGATACCGATAGGCTATACTTGAGTCGCAGCCAGTGCGGCTATACGAATGGCAAGGTGCTGATCTGCTGTCCGGATCGCTACAGAGAGACTACCTCGGAGACTCCGCCGCCGGCCAAGCCCAATGTGACCAGCACCAGCCTGCTTCCACTACCAGGACAATGCGGCAACATTTTGTCCAATCGGATCTACGGCGGCCAGAAGACCAAGATCGACGAGTTCCCCTGGATGGCTCTCATTGAATACACCAAGGGTGAGTAGGGCTACGAACCTTTAGGAAAGATTTACCCATAATTGAATAATATTATGTAGCCCAGGGAAAGAAGGGTCACCACTGCGGAGGCTCCCTGATCAGCACTCGGTATGTGGTCACCGCCTCGCATTGCGTCAATGGTAAGCTTTGCCCAGCGACTGGCGGCTGACGGGAGTCCGCTTGGGCGAGTGGGACACCTTCACCGATCCGACTGCGAGGTGGATGTGCGCGGCATGAAGGACTGTGCCCCACCGCATATGGATGTGCCTGTGGAGCGCACTGTGCCACATCCCGGATATATACCCGCCTCCAAGAACCAGGTCAACGACATCGCCCTGCTGCGTCTCGGCCAGCAGGTGGAGTACACCGACTTTGTGCGTCCCATTTGCCTGCCCCTGGACACCAATCTGCGGTCGGCCACCTTTGACGGGATCACCATGGACGTGGCCGGCTGGGGCAAGACGGAGCAGCTGTCGGCCAGCAACCTGAAGCTGAAGGCGGCCGTAGAGGGATTCCGGATGGATGAGTGCCAGAACGTCTACAGCAGCCAGGAGATCCTGCTCGAGGACAGTCAGATGTGCGCCGGCGGCAAGGAGGGCGTCGACTCCTGTCGCGGCGACTCCGGAGGACCGCTTATCGGACTGGACACCAACAAGGTGAACACCTATTACTTCCTGGCGGGTGTCGTTTCCTTTGGACCGACTCCCTGTGGCCTGGCTGGATGGCCAGGAGTTTACACACGAGTCGGGAAGTACGTCGACTGGATCCAGAACACCATCGAGGCCTGATTGTAAATTATAATAAGGATTGTGTAAATAAATTCGACTAACTGATGGAAGGTTTAAAATCAATAGCTTTTAAAATGAGCTAGCAAACTAGCTATACTATAAAATCCTATCCGAAAAAATTAATAGTATCGGAAAAGTTTTCTTCATTGTGTTACAAACTTCTGTAATTAATTGACTTGTTTTTTCAGTAACTGAAACGTAATAATATTATTGTGATGTAGGCTAACAATTTTTTATTAATAATAATTTTCATTTTTACATTCGCAATAAATTCAAATTTCAAACCACTGTAATCACTGAAAATCACGTTTAAATAATTTATCTCATCTGGCAACTCTTTAAACTACTGCGCAGTCTGGCAACTTCCTCATAATTCGGCTAAAAAATGTTGAAGAACATCTACGTAACGCCGTTAAATTTGCTTAAATCGGCCACCAGCCTGCAGCAGCAAGTGCGGGTAAGTCCCTCCTCCTCTCCAGGAAGCCTTCCCCATTCATCGCCTAATCCCTTCCAGACCACGTTCGTGCTGAAGCGCAAATATGACCCGCCACTGCACAAAACCAACGAGAAGCCCCGCCGGATGAGGGCGAAGCACTTCATCTACGAGCTGGTGGAGGACACGCTGGTCAAGAAGCGGCCCAACATGGAGGTGGTGCTGAAGACCTTCGTCGAGGGCGTCGGCGACAAGGGCGACGTGGTGTCCATGAAGCCGCACTTCGTCTACAACAAGCTTCTGCTGCCGGGACTGGCCGCCTACAATACGCCGGAGAATGTGGCCAAGTACGCCAAGACGGAGGCGGAAAAATCGGCGGTGAAGCACAGCTCGGCCTATGCCCAGCGAACGGTCAACATGCTGGAGTCCATTGTGCTCGCTGTGGTTATGAACAAGGACGAACCGTGGGTCCTGGAGCCCTGGCACATCAAAGCCTCGCTCCGCAAGGCTGGATTCCATTGCCGCGAGGAGTGTATCACCCTGCCCAAGGAACGCATCGAGGGACCCGACCTGAAGAAGGAGAGCAAGGACTTCTACTGCACCGTGACCATCAACAAGCTGGAGCAGGCACGGCTTAAGTGCCGCCTGCATCACTGGAGCACAGATCCCAGCGAGCGTCTGCCCTACGTCCTCGAGCATTGGAAGCTCCAGTCCGAACCCCTCTTAGCTGTAGGTTCATCCTCCGAAAAGAGCACGTAGGCTACACAACTACCAAATAAATGCGATTGTTACAAAACATTTGATTGATGAACAGCGTGCAAAAACAGTGGTTTATTTAACATTTTATCAAGTTGTACGACGCGGAGACTTAATGGCTACATGATTACGAGTCTATATGATGTGATGCACACGATTAGTGCACTGCCTTCAGCTCCACGTCGAAGACGAGTGTCGAGTTGGGGCCGATCTTAGGTGGAGCTCCTCGCGACCCGTATCCCATGTGCGGGGGGCAGATGATGCGGCGCTTTCCGCCCACCTTCATGCCGGCGACACCCACGTCCCAGCCCTTGATGACTTCGCCGCCGCCCAGGGCGAATTTGAAGGGCTTGCCCTTCAGCAGGCTGTCGAAGGTCTTGTTGTTCGACTGCAGGCGACCGGTGTAGTAGACAGAGACGCGTTTGCCCGGCTTGGCCTCTTCGCCTTTGCCGGGCAGCACATCCACACCTTTACACCGCCGGAGAGGGAGCGTTCTCCTCCAGCAGCTGGCTGCTGCTTGGCCTGCTCTTGGGCTTGGGCTGCTCCTTCTCCTTCTTGGCCTCGGGCTTCTCCTTCTTTTTTGCTGCTGCTTGGTCTCCTCCTTCTTGGCCACGCCGTTCTGCTCCTTGCCGGCTTTCTTGGCGTTGGCACCGGGCGACAGCTTGGCAACCTTGGCCTTAGGCTGCTCCTCCTCAGCCTCGGATTCGTCGCTGTCCTCCTCCTCTTCCTCTCCGCTCTCATCGTCCTCCTCATCATCGTCATCGTCATCATCATCACCTCCGTTCTCAAGGAAAGACTCGTACTCCCCAATCAGCTGACTGTCCTCCTCGGAATCTTCCTCTTCCTCCTCTCCACTCTCGTCCTCCTCATCATCCTCGGACTTCTTGCTCTTTTTGCCCTCCTTGCCCTTCAGCAATTTCTCGAGGCTGAAATCCTCGTCCTCATCGTCGGAATCAATGTCGTGCAAGTAGCCAGCAGAGAAACGCTGGCGTCGCCTATAGACAATAAGATGTAGATATATATATAGAATGACCCATGAAAATAGAACTTCAAGGAGTGCTTACCTGCAGTGTAGAACATGATGCGATCGCCCTTGCTGAAGTTAAGTCCAGGGCCACCTGAGGAATGGCCTTGGTTACAGTGGCCACGATGTACTCCTGCTTCTCGGCGGCAAGGTACAACTTTGCCTCTTGGCCCTTGTCGAGGGCCACGCCGGAAATGTGGAACGACTTGATGATCGTCTGCGAGTACTTGCGCTCAGGCTTCATGTTCAGACCTGGACGAGGACATCAAAAAGAAAACTTGGTTTACTTGGGGCTACAAATGGCGCCGCTCCACGCTGCCGGTAAATCAAGGGCAAGCACGTGGCTGCGGCGATAGCGTGCGTGGGCTGGACGCCTCCTCATGGCGATTTCCACTTTTGGGCGGGAATCCTGAGTCCCAGTAGTACAACTCACCCCAAAACATCGACATCTTGCAGGAGTTTAGTCTACTCACAACGGAAAATAAATTAAAAAAACGCGGAAATCTTAAGACGCCGGATTTTGAGTGTGACCGCGAAGCCGTTAAAGCTTGAAACTTTTTTTGCCTATTATGTTTCTGTTGATATCGATAGTTTTTATGTATCGATGTGTTAGGATCCAGGAATCATCGATGTTTCCAATACACAAACCAAGGTGGGAACATAAATAAACATAAAAGTCCTAATTTGGCATGAGGTTGTCTCTGCTAAGAGGCTATCGAGTATAATCGATATCGAGGTTTGTCCTTCTCTAAAAATTAAATTGACTTTCCCAATACACAAACCAAGGTGGGAACATAAATAAGCTGAAAATCCTAATTTGCCGCATGTCGACGCACCCCTGCGAATGGCAGTGAGTCGTGTTGTACTTGTGGAGAAAAAAATCTTGTCGATTGGAATTGGGGCCCCGCCTTGTTGAATTTTACCCTTTTCGAGCTGCTGGAGGCATGCAAAGGAGCCCAGGATGACGGAGAAGATTACGCTAGCCGACGCGCTGTCCAATGTGGAGGTGCTGGACGAGCTCTCCTTGCCAGACGAGCAGCCCTGCATCGAGGCACAGCCCTGTTCGATTATCTACAAGGCAAACTTTGATACAAATTTGAGGATCGCAATGGATTCGTCACGGGCATAGCCAAGTACATTGAGGAGCAACCACACACGCAAATCTGGTTAGTTAGCAGATCGCTCTTATCAAGCAGATTACTCACTCACCTTTCCCCTCGTAGAATGTCCTCCTCGATGAGGGACAAAACATGCAGTTATGCTGTACACCTGGCGCTGCTGCTCCCGCGCCATTCCGCAGCCCAAGTCCAATGAGCAGCCCAACCGGGTGGAGATCTACGAGAAGACAGTGGAGGTGCTGGCCCCCGAGGTCAACAAGCTGCTTAACTTCATGTACTTCCAGCGCAAGGCCATCGAGGCCTTCTCCGGTGAGGTGAAGCGACTGTGTCACGCCGAGAAGCGCAAGGACTTCGTGTCGGAGGCCTACCTGCTGACCCTGGGCAAATTCATCAACATGTTCGCCGTCCTGGACGAACTGAAGAACATGAAGTCCAGCGTCAAAAATGACTACTCTACGTACAGGAGGGCAGCGCAGTTCCTCAAGGTGATGTCCGACTCACACACCCTGCAGGAGTCGCAGAATCTGTCCATGTTCCTGGCCACGCAGAACAAGATCCGCGACACAGTCAAGGATACGCTGGAAAAGATCGTGGGCTACGAGGACCTCCTCTCCGATGTGGTCAACATTTGCGTCCACATGTTTGAGACCAAGATGTACTTGACGCCCGAGGAGAAGCACATGCTGGTCAAGGTCATGGGCTTCGGCCTGTTTCTCATGGACAGCGACGCGTGCAATATCAACAAACTGGATCAGAAGAAGAAGATCCGCCTGGATCGCATCGATCGCATCTTCAAGAACCTGGAGGTGGTGCCTCTGTTCGGCGACATGCAGATCGCCCCCTTCAATTACATAAAGCGCAGCAAGCACTTCGATTCCAGCAAGTGGCCGCTTTCCAGCTCGAACGCCATCAGCCCCCAGGCGGATTTGATGGTCCATCTGCCGCAGATACGCGAGGATCACGTCAAGTACATTTCGGAACTGGCGCGGTACACAAACGAGGTGACCACCACCGTCAAGGAGAATCCCTCGGATTCCGAAACCGGATTACCGCCGACCTGGCCCTTCGTGGCTACAGCTGCTGTCCGAGTGGACCAGCGTAGTTACAGAGTTGTACTCCTGGAAGCTGCTGCATCCCACGGATCACCACCAGAACAAGGAGTGCCCCGTCGAGGCCGAGGATACGAGCGGGCCACGCGTTACAACTACACTTCGGAGGAGAAGTTCGCCCTGATCGAGGTGATCGCCATGATCAAGGGACTGCAGGTGCTGATGGCGCGCATTGAGACCGTGCTCTGTGAGGCCATCCGGCGAACATCTACTCCGAGCTGCAAGACTTTGTACAGCTGTCCCTGCGTGAACCGCTGCGGAAGGCGGTGAAGAACAAAAAGGACCTTATCCGGAGCATATCATGTCGGTGCGCGAAACGTCGGCGGACTGGCAGAAGGGCTACGAGCCCACCGACGACCCGGTGGCCAAGGGCAAGAAGGATCCCGACGGCGGCTTCCGCATCCAGGTGCCGCGCCTCAATGTAGGCCCCTCCTCCACGCAGCTGTACATGGTGCGCACCATGCTGGAGTCCCTGATCGCCGACAAGAGCGGTGGCAAGCGCACACTGCGCAAGGACATCGACGGCAATTGCCTGCTGCAGATCGACACGTTCCACAAGACCTCGTTCTACTGGAGCTACCTGCTCAACTTTAGCGACACGTTGCAGAAGTGCTGCGATCTCTCGCAGCTGTGGTACCGCGAGTTCTACTTGGAAATGACCATGGGCAGAAAGGTGAACAAGTGTTGGTGCGTCATCAGCACAACGAGGAGTGCAAGGATCTGATCACCATGGAGAAGCGCATTCAGTTTCCAATTGAAATGTCTATGCCGTGGATTCTCACCGATCACATTTTGCAAACGAAGGAACCCTCGATGATGGAGTAAGTAAATGATAGGCTAGTATGATCATATATAATAACTATTGCTATCCCACAGATTTGTCTTGTATCCCCTGGACTTGTACAACGATTCGGCATACTACGCCCTCACCGTCTTCCGAAAGCAGTTCCTCTACGACGAGGTGGAGGCTGAAGTCAATCTGTGCTTCGACCAGTTTGTGTATAAGCTGAGCGAGCAGATTTTCGCCCACTACAAGCAGTTGGCGGGCAGCATTTTCCTGGACAAGCGTTTCCGTCTGGAGTGCGAGGTTCTAGGTTTCAACTTCCAGTCGTATCCCCGCAACAATCGCTATGAGACCCTGTTGAAACAACGACATGTCCAACTATTGGGTATGGAAACTATCCACCATGTTAATTACTTTAAAATTATATTGATCTCCCTTTTTAGGCCGTTCTATTGACCTGAACAAACTGATCACACAACGCATAAACGCCAACATGCACAAGAGCATTGAGTTGGCCATCAGCCGCTTCGAGGGCAACGATATTACCGGCATTGTGGTAAGTAAAACCAGATGGATACCAAAGATTTGCCTCTCACATATTAAATTTCAGGAACTTGAAGGTCTACTGGAGGCGAATCGAATTTGCCACAAGTTGCTAAGTAAATACTTGGCCCTGGACAACTTCGACGGTATGGTGAAGGAGGCTAATCACAATGTCCTGGCTCCTTACGGCCGGATCACACTGCACGTCTTTGTGGAATTGAACTATGACTTCCTGGTCAATTACTGCTACAATGCCGCCACAAATCGGTAGGTTTTCTGCTTATATCTTATGATTTCTAACTCATCACATTCCCTTTAGCTTCATTCGAACCAAAGTAAATTTGTCGTCGTCGCAGGCTATTCAGCGTGAAAAGCCTCCACAAATGTCGCATTACTATCTGTGGGGCTCCAAGCAGCTGAACGCTGCCTATTCGACCCAGTATGGTCAGTACACTGGATTGTGGGTTCGCCGCATTTCATGCCATGTGCCGCCTGCTGGGCTACCAGGGAATCGCCGTTGTCATGGACATTATACTGAAGGACATTGTGAAGCCGCTGATCCAGGGTTCTCTGCTGCAATTCACCAAGACGCTGATGATTGCCATGCCCAAGTCGTGCAAACTGCCCCCGCTGCGATATGGCTCGCCAGGAGTACTGAGCTACTACCAGGCTCATCTCACAGACATTGTGCAATATCCGGACGCAAGACAGAGCTGTTCCAGTCGTTCCGGGAGTTCGGCAACAGCATTATCTTCTGCCTGCTCATCGAACAGGCGCTCTCCCAGGAGGAGGTGTGCGATCTACTGCACGCGGCCCTCTTCCAAAACATTTTCCCCAGGCCTTTCTGCAAAGGTGTGTATAAACCTATAACGTTTTTCCTGTCTGTAATTGTTATTTACCCCTTTCAGAGAACGAGAAGCCAGAGGCTAAGCAAAAGCGCCTGAAGCCCAGTTTGCCAACCTGCAGATTGTTTCGAATGTAGAAAAGATCGGCACAGCAAAGGTGATGTATTAGCATCTTAATTTAGTTTTTCTAATAATATATATTATCAGCAAGCTATGATGCCCGAGAGGGAGACCTGCTGACACGCGAACGCCTTTGCTGCGGCCTCAGCATCTTCGAGGTGATTCTCAACCGGGTGAAGAGCTATTTGGACGATCCGGTGTGGTGGGTCCCCCACCGGCCAATGGAATAATCCACGTGGACGAGTGCTCGAGTTCCATCGCCTCTGGTCGGCCCTGCAGTTGTCTATTGCATTCCAGTGAGGGGAACCGAGTACACCATTGAGGAGCTCTTTGGCGAGGGTCTCAACTGGGCGGGCTGCGTGATGATCGTGTTGCTGGGCCAGCAGCGGCGCTTCGAGGCTCTGGACTTTTGCTACCACATTTGCGGGTGCAGCGCGTCGATGGCAAGGATGAGGATGTCAAGGGCATGTAAGTTGTAATCTATTTGGCAATAATACAAATTATATTCAACTAAAATCCAATTACAGCAACTGAAGCGAATGGTGGATCGGATTCGTCGGTTCCAAGTATTAAACTCACAAATCTTCTCCATTCTCAACAAATATCTGAAGGGCGGCGACGGCGAGGGCTCAAATGTGGAGCATGTGCGGTGCTTTCCACCGCCCCAGCATCCCTCGGTCATATCGTCATCGTCGCACTACCAGGATCCCCAAAAGCTGCGCCAGAGCATAAACAATTGAGGACGCATTTAAGCCAGTCGCATACAAATAGGTTATACTTAATCGCAGTTGAAATTAGTTTACCCCAGGAGAAAAGCAACGTAGAAGCTGCCACATTTTGACAATTTGTTTGGTCAAAAGGGTAGTCTTGGTTCTATTTGAATTCGATTTTATTGGAAATCTCTTTTGGTATGTCGCTTTCAATCTTACAGTACGTAAAATGTTTTATCCAATTATATAATAGATATAATATTGATTCCCTGCTGAGGCATTCGACTCAACTACTCGTACACTATCCCAAATACTCTACTCTAAGCCCCCTAAGATATTATGTTTGGCCTCCCATATTCCTTCGCTTCGAAACAGAAATCAAACTTGTTTTGCTCCCCGATTTGAGAATCAAATTAGCCAAAGAATTGATGACAGCACGGCGAATTAAAAAACGAATTGGCTTTAAACACAATCAAAGTATTACAAAATAGATGCCGCACAGTGTATGCCTATTATACGACAGCCAACATTGAGACACATACAATTAATACAATGAACATTATCGAATAAAATTTTCATACGTATTTCTACAAACCCAAAAAAAAACAAAATCTTTGATGTAATAGTTTGATAACGATTGGAAAAGGTAAATAATTATTGTGCCGCTTTCATCGAGCGATAAAAATACTTATTTAATGATAAACTACGTATAATACTATCTATTCGTAGCACTATCTGGAAATTAAATTGGCAAACTCTACTGCACACACGCATCGTTGGCAATTTGGAAGTATGTATATTTCGGAATGGATGATCTAATACAATTTATCTAGCTACGCCGTTGGTGCCGTTGGCTTTCTTTCGAGGATCGGTGTAGGTGTACAGCACCGTCACGTTGTCCGCATAGTTCCTGGGCAGATCGATGTCCGCACTATCCGCTCCCAGGTAGCAGGCTCCGTAGGCACTGCTCTTGGTGATCCGCACCAGCTTGAGGTTGAAGTCGATGTCGTCTTGGACAGTTCCGCGATGAAGGCTCTCGCAGCAGTTCCCAGCTGGACCACACCGATCCCACGCACACCACACTCAGGTCACCGGATTGACCAGATCCTGGTGCACATTGGGTAGCAGGGACAGGATCATCCGCGCCAGATGACGCCTGCCTCCCGGAACAAACTGATGGCCATTTGTCCCCGCTCTCGGCATTCTGCGACAGCTTCTTGCACAGATTGGCGAAGAAGGGCTTGTCGAACTTGGCGTAGCAGTGGGGCAGCATATCCAAGCGCGTCTCCAGGCTAAAGTGGTCCTTGATCAGGGCCCACGTCTTCTCCACGGGAGCCGGTGACTTCTCAAAGTTGTCCATGTGGTCAACACCACCTTGACGGCGCGGTACGAGATGTGCCATGCTGTGGGGCAAAATAGTTGGGGGTCAACATCATAATATTGCGAAATAAACAACAAAGGCGGCAATGAGTCAATCAGTCGATGGGCTATCAACATCATCGCTATCATGCAATCCTAATCGGAGTTGCAGCCTTTAATCTCGACATTGGCCTGGCATTAGTAGACCATTAGTTGATAAGGCCAACCTACACCCACTTACCGCTTCCCTCGTCGCCGAGGAAGTTGCCCCAGCCGCCGCAATTGAATGTGGAACCATCAGGATTGCGCAGTAGGCAGTTGGATCCCGTTCCCGATATCAGGACCATCCCCCGATGGATGAGGCGGTGTACATGCTGCCCATGGTGTCGCTGGAGACGGCGTAGCTCTGGGCCAGATCCGGAAACGTGGTGCGCAGCTCCTGCTCCAGTTCGCGATTGGTGGCCTCCTGTTAAGATTTATTGTATTAAACTACATTTTTAAAGCCCCTCCTCAAGAAGTATTTCAGAGAATTAACAAATTGAGGTAGATCTTAAAAAATGACCGCAGACTTCATAACCTTGGTGTTCTATCTTAACATTGTATTCCTTTTGGAATATTTCGTTATCGGATTTGGAATAGATTTTGAAAATATGAGATATAAAATAAATCCTAATTATATTCGAAAACTATTTGAGGTATTATTTTGAATTTAAGTACGACGATTTAAATGTTGAATAGATATTGAATATTTAATACAATATTTTCGAAAACTTTAAAAGAATGTAAGTAAAATAATTACTCACCTGCTCGCAGCCGCTGAGGCTCATCCCAGACTGATGAGGACGTGTCCTTTGGAATGCCCGCCTCTTCCTTGGCCCGCTCCACCATGTCTTCGATCCTTCGGGCGCACTCCGGGATCCCGATGCCCCAGTGATTGGTGCCCAGGCCACTGGTGGAGCCCACGGACTGGCCACTCTCATCGCAGATGACCATCTGGAGTGGGTGGCTCCGCTGCAAAGACAAAGCAGATGGTTTCTATTTCCGGACTCTCTTCATCGTTATACAATAGGTGTAGGGGCCGTGACCGCGGACAATAAAGCGATGGAGTCAAATTGAATTAACCGATCTGGCGACTATAAATTGGAATGAAAGAACCGCGCAATTGACGAATTCATTTAAAGAAAACGTGTCACACGCACAAATTCTATTCGACAGCCCAAAGATCTCAATAAAACCGAGTCCAAGTGGGGTCAAAAAAAAGAAAGTTACGTACACTGAAAAAATAACACAATTTGGACTAGAATTCGATTTTTCAAATGCTTTGCGTTTTCAAAAAGTATATGAATTATTCACTTGTTATTTGTTATTGCCATCTTTTTAATATATAGATATTAAATGAATTAATACATCGCATTTATAAATTATTTAAGATCAAATTTGCTTAGTTGTCATTTTTGATTCCATAACTTAAAGACGCAAACTTAAATATATTATGATGTAAATTGGGTAATTATATCATATGTAAAATATGCAAACTTTGTTCTGTGTATTTGATAGCCCAAATATCTCAATTAAACCAAGACAAAATAGAAAGTGTAGATTGTAATCCAAGAAAATCATATCATATAGGGGCTCTGCAATTACCGTTATATTGCACATTGCAATAACTGACGGAAGAGTCGTGACGTGAAGAAAGTGCACTGCTTAATACGCTCAATTGAGGCAATTATTTGATGGCCCATGCGAAATGGGCACAACAAAAGACGTTTGCCATCGCCGCTAACTATTTTTAACCATCATTCAATTTATTTCGGTCATAAAAATACCTCCAGCGAAAATTCAATCCCCAGTTCTGTCCGTTACGTGACGTAACAGTCAGCGTAACGTTAATCAAACAAAAGAAAGTTCTCGATAAATAATCGATGTTAACAGAATGTTACGTTAACAGTTTGTTATGTGCGGGTATGCGGAATTATTATTAAATTTACGCAAAAACATTAAATGTTTTTCGTTGAAAAGTGACTGAAACCGCACCGCCACCCGCCATCTCCGAAGTGCCACGAAGAGAAGCGTTAATTGACATGAAATTGCTGACCAATTCCCGGCTTTTGCGGCCGCTGCTGTTGCTGCGCCGCCAAAGGTCGCATGACGCAAAGGCGGAGGCGCCGATACCACGACGACCGGTTCCAACCAGTGCCCAACTGGACGAGATGGAGCGGAATGTGGTTAGGCGGCATCACAAGAACAACGTGCCGCTGATTCGCTCTCTTATCCAGGAGGCGGAAGCTGGAGATCAGGACAAGCTGAAACAGCTAGATGTAGAACTGGAGCAACTACCCAATGCAACACATCCTCGCCTACAGGACTATGGCGAAGAGCCGCGGGAACTGGCGCAATATGTGCACCGGGAGCTGCCACCGGAGTCCAGCCTCAAGGAGTTCTCGGAACTGGCCCGTGCCCTTAACCTCTATCGCATGGATCACCTCGGCAACTATACGGGACACAAAAGCTACTACCTGACCGGCCAACTGGCCACTTTGGAGCAGGCCATCATACAGTATGCCCTGCAGGCAGTCACGGACCACGGCTTCAAACTGATCTCCGTCCCCGACATCCTGCCCAGGGAGGTGATCGAGTCCTGTGGCATGCGCACCGAGGCGAACGCACCCAGGTCTACAAACTGGACAACGGCCAGTGCCTCTCGGGCACCTCAGAAATGGCACTGGCCGGTTTCTTTGCGAATAAGCTATGACGGAGGAGCAGCTGCCCCTTAAGGTAACTGCCGTGAGTCGCTGCTATCGGGCTGAAACCTCGGGCCTGCAGGAGGAGAAGGGCATTTATCGGGTACACCAGTTTACCAAGGTGGAGATGTTCGCCATCTGCACGGAGCAACAGTCCGAGGCGGAGCTGGAGGAGTTTAAGAACATCGAGTGGATCTTTTCCGACGGCTGGGCCTCAACTTCCGACTGCTGGACATGCCGCCCTGCGAGCTGGGCGCACCTGCGTACCAGAAGTACGACATCGAGGCCTGGATGCCCGGTCGCCAATGTGGGGCGAAATCTCCAGCTGCAGTAATTGTACGGACTATCAGGCCAGACGGCTGGGCATCAGGTACCGTCGCTCCAGTGACGGGCAGATCTTAAATGCCCACACTATCAATGGAACGGCGACGGCTATTCCACGTCTTCTGATTGCCCTGCTTGAATCTAATCAGCGAGGAGATGCTTCGAGATACCCGTCGTGCTGAGACCCTTCATGGACGGCCAGGAGCTGATCACGCGGAACAAACGGATACCGGAGACGAAGCTGGTCAATTCATCAAGGCCTAGGCTAACCACATTCTGTACCTTTGACTGTTATCATTAAATCCAGCTTATCAACGCAAGCATGGGAATATTTTGAAGCACTCCCCTTAGCTGATATCTGGCAGATCAGGGTATAACACCCTGCGCTTAATCACGTTCATTAATCATCGCGATTGGCTATTGAATTACAAATTGATTGTTGACCTTTCTACATACCCTTCGACTCCGCCGAAATACTTCATGGTGAGAGCTGTTTAGCTGGGCCAAATACAAATCCCAACTGGAATGTGGCTTATAATGCTGATCTGACGTGGAGAAGGCGGTTCCTGTCCTGTCCTGCAAGAAACAAAAAACGAGTGCAATTAAGCAATAAAACATTGCGCGATTAATTTTAGCACTGCAACGGGTTGTTAGCACTCGGATCAACCTTATCGCGTTTCATTAGCCTCAAAACCAAAACATTTGTCAACCGCACAGGTAAGAAAATAGCGCTGACACAGGTGAAATCAGCATACAAATGTGAAACTAAAGCCAAAACAGGCAACACAGCAAGAGGTGGCATGCGTTTTAAGAATGCAATTTTAAACCATCGAGTGGTTTATTTATAGAGTTCGATATGTGCAGTTCTCAGGAGCACTTCCTTTCTCAAGAGGTTTCCCTGTACCACAGATTTTCGTGACTGCATAAGTGAGAGTGCAAAGCGTGCGCCGTCCAAACTAGTTTATAATGAATCCCGCTCACTTTTGCTTACGTTTCACATATCTCGCAATTCTCCCACAATATTATTAAAACAGCGGTTGCCGATTTGATTTACCACACCACGCCCCTTCCGCCACACTTGCGAACACTTCTCATTAGAATTTGATTAGAACGGGACGCAGGAACCCTAATATTACGACAACGAAGCCAACTCTTACCCGGCAGAGCTGTTTCCGTCCACGATTCGAACGCTTTGAGCACCAAATGCGTTATGTTTGGGTACATTCTCAATTCAAGACCAGCGACTCTTTGATATTTGTATACCGGGTAATTGCAGAGCACATGGGTATATTGTATCCGAAAACTGTATGTCCAAGTGAAGAATTCGCCCCTATAAGATGTATTTAACTACCAAAACCCAAGGGTTTTCAATGTTGACATATCAAGACAATTGATTTAAATTAATTAAAATTACTTATTATTATAGATTGTATATAAGGATCGAATTGAGTCACAGGTCAGGGTGTGTTTATTATCAGGCAAACCACTCCCTTTTGCTGCAATCTATCAGATTCAATAAACGCCCTTAATCACCCTTTTTTAATCATCGCCATTGTCTGAGGGGCCGGTGGCGTCTTCATTCCATTACCTAGAACTCACAATGCCATTTTTATTTAGTTCAGATTATGGCATACATACCTTGCATAAGGTCACTAGGTAGGGGTATCCCCTAGTCGAATAGAGGTATTTCCCCTTTTTTTGTGACGTAGCAAACCAGCTGTTAAGCAGTGCTGTTAAACCATCTAAAATATATTCCATTCATCGTACAATTGGCGCCAAGTTCAAAAAGTCACAGCTCTCATGTTTTCTTCTCTATGTTTATTAAAACGTTACAATTTAATTCTATTACACTTTTGCTTATAAACGAAAGAAACAAATCATTGTCAATTGGTACATCATATTTTATACATCGTTTTCATTTTCAAACTTCTAGCAAACAACAAAACGCAAACACCAAGGTTACAACTTATTTATAAGAGCGTACAAATCATATAAAAAATCGGCGAAAAATATGGATGTTGAGAAGCGTAGCGTAGATACAAAAATCAGTTATGTCTCTCATTTGGGAAGGGCTCAAAGGGGGCCACACTTTTCTCTTGCTTTCTCGTTATGTACAAAAAGAAAATGTCTTAAATGTAGTCGAAGTTTGTCGTTGAATGTGCGCGAATGATGGTGTTGGGGTGGGTTTTTGGGTTGTGGTTTCTGGGTGATCCCTATGAGTGAGCCAGTGGAGAAGGGGTATTGCGGAAGTCCCTTTATTTAAAATTGTCAAGTTCTCATACGTGCCGGTGTTGTGCTGCTGATGCTGCTCCTGTTGTTGTCCCATTTTATGGTAAATCCTAACTAACATTTCTCGGAAAGAGTAAAACACGGTAAAAGTCAATTGCTGAAAGTGTTTCGTGCAAGTAGCGACCTTTGCTAGGCCTCTACCACTTCTTCTTGTGCTCGTCCATGGAAACGCCGCCAGGGCCCAAGGACACGATCATGAGAAGGCCCCAATAACCGAGAGGGTCTGCAAATGTATTACATAAGTAGCAAACGAAAGAGGTAAGATGTTTTTATTGACTCACCTGGAAAAAGTCGTATTTCAAGAAATCCCTGAGTGGCTTGTAGGACGGAATGGTCCACCAGGCATTGTGGTACAGGTTCAGGACCGTGAGCAGGGCCACCAGGATCAGGGCGGACAGCTTTGTCTTGTAGCCCAGCACGACCAGCACCATCAGAATGGATCCGATGATGTCCTGGATAACCTGCCACACGCTCAGCTCGAATCGGATCAAGGTGATGAACATGAAGGCCAGCAGGATGCGGCCGGCCAGCTGCATGAAGTTCTTGGGTTTGTTCTCACCCATCGATGGCACGCCGGCGAACAGGCTGCGTCCCTCTATTCTGGCCTCGGCCAGGACGAGCAGTAGGGCTCCGATGAGGGCAAAGTTGCGCAGCAAGAACTGGAAGTCCCACAGAATGGAGTAGGCCACGGTCTGCGGGGTGGAGGATTGGGATTAGATCAAGGCATCCTTAGCGAATTAAGCATGAAGATTACCCACCTGCAGCACCACAATGAAGAAGAGCAGGCCACGGCGATGTCGACCTTAAAGCGGGCCATCACCATACCGCAGCCGCCCAGCTGCCCCAGCAGGTTGACTAGGACAAAGACGGTGGCCAGGAACTTGCCGCAGCCCCAGCTCATGTCCATGTACTCGCGCTGCTCGTTCCACTGGAAGTACATGCGCAGGCCGTCCTCGAAGAAGGTGGCAATGAGGCACAAGCGGGCCACCGTGGGCAGCACATTCTTGCCGCGCTTGATAACCTGCAAAGGAGAGAGGGAGAGAGCGATCAAGTGGCTGATCAGGATGGGTCAGTCAGTAGCGCCTTATCACCATATCAGCGGTGATAAGGGATCCAAAATATACAACGCTACTGAGCGTGGCTTGCGCGTAGTCGGTGGAAATCGCCCGCTGACTGTGACGTGTCTTTAAAACGCTCTATCTGTCGATTGCTATCTGCCAGCTAACGGGTTTTGGCCTGGCTGTCCGTGTAACTTTAATAGATGCACATGTGTATATGTAAATCGCGAGCAAGTTCACCTGGCTTTCTAGTCCGTCTATTACGGAACTCGACCTGGTCGCTGGCGTCCAGATGCCCCCGCTCCCCTCCCCTACTCAAACTCTCTTTCCCTTTCAGCACTTTCACTTGCGGCGACAGCTCTCTCGCACGCACACAGCACACAGTTTACACACACACAGGTAGCCAAAGAGGCGGCGAGAGAGAGTTTTCCCCCCGGTGGACGCAACAACTGGTAATTGAAGTACTGGAGTTTCGTGGTAACCCATCTGGAGTGCTTCCTACGGAAGCTAGTGCCCAAGCACGTAGCTCCAATGTCGTGGGATCGCGGTTATAGTGCAGCCCAAGACGTCGAACTTTGCCGCGTTTGGGTGACGTTGGCAGTTTTCCCAGTCCGCAGCGGCCAGGGCGTCCCCGTAAATCGCCCTCGGGGAGCATGTTGGGCACTCCCTGGGGTGATATGGACTTCTGGTGGACTCCCTATCGGGAGCAGCACCTATTATATATTACCTGTTCCGCCACATCCTCCGTTTTCGCTATGTACTCGTTCGGTATGCTCATCTTGGCAGTTTATCTCTCACTTTTGGGGCGCTCAGCTGGTGGGGATCAGATCCTTTTGGCTATTCGTTTCTGGCTTCCTGGGCGTCTCGTCGCGTCGCTCTCCAAATTGCAGTCAAAGTTACCAAAAAATCATGAATTAAAATTAAAAGCAGGAACTTTATGGCGTGGAGCCCAGAGTGACCGCGCCGATAACGATAAAAGATACCGTTCGGCTGGAAATAAATACCATGAATACCACCTCAGTGTTGGAAAATACTGTAAAGGTCACACTGCCAGCGTGCGTGCATTTTTTATTTGCCGGAGAAAGCGCTTTACCCGATCAATCTTGTCCAGAATGTCTGCCAAATCCAAGAAACAAAGATTGAGAACGCCGGGGGGAGGAGACCCAGCCAAAGCAGAAGAAGGTCAAGGCCAAGAACCAGGCGGACGCCGGCTACGGCTCTGGTGAGTTCTCCCTCGACTGGGATGTGGACAGCTACCGGACGGAGTACGAGAGCGAGGACACTGGGACCTGCGACGCAGCTTCATGCTGGCCCACAAGGAGAAATTCGAGGAGGATCGCCTGGTGTGCCTGGCCCAGACGTTCATTAACATGGAGTTCATGGGCTGCAAGTATCCTAGCGAGACGATGCGCCTGGTGGCCGAAATGTCCAAGGAGATTGCCGAGGAATTCCGACGCAAACGCGATCAGCGCCTAAAGCGTACCTTCGTCTCGGCCTCGGACGCGGCGGAGCAGCGCGCCAAAGGTAGACGCAAGAACAATTAGTGGGCGAGGGCCATGACGAGGGAGAAGATTCTTTATATACCTATCAGTAGTAACTATACGAGCCAGAGACCACAGCCTAATGCCTAATTCCAACAACTAGGGCGCCGGGCTGCAGCCGCACGAGCAGCGGATTCCCCAAAGGATAGCTCGAACAGATTAACACGAGAACGCCTGTGCTTCGGCGGCGGCGAGCCCATCGATCTCTACCAGGACCTGCGTTTCGGGCCGCTCATCTTGTACTTGGCTGGAGGGCGCAATTGCCTGCGTAACTCCTGCGCCGTTGCCAATTGCAAGTACGAGGAGCGCGCTAGCCTAGAACAACCAGCCACAGAAATGACAAAATACGTTGAAGTATTGGTAAACGACGAGGTGGTAGCCACTGGCCAGGGAGAGAACCTCAAGTCGGCCAAACTGGCTGCTTTCAAGCAGGCGCTCCTCGTGCTGCAGTCCCATTGCTACAGCATAAAGGTATGAGCAGTCTTGATATTCACATATAATGACACATCTCAACCTGTCTGTTCCCCAGCTGAATGCCACACGTGAGACCATCAAGGTGGAGAAAAGCAAAACCGGCGTAAACATCAATGTCACCAAGGAGTCCGCTGACAGCCTGGGCGATCCCAAGTTGGATGCCAGCAACAAGGGATATCGCATGATGCGGCTAATGGGTTGGGCGGGCGGTGGCTTGGGGCGCCTAAAGCAGGGACGTGAAGAGCCAGTAGGGTAGGTTTCAAACTGCAATTCTATCTCTAGATTAGCCTTAAATTACTATATTATTTTAGTTACCTGCTAAAGAGCAATCGCAATGGATTGGGCGCCATAAATCAGCAGTTGGATCTCGCCGACTACAAGAAACTATTACAGAACTATCTGAATTCGGACGACATGCGTGACATGCAGTTTGAGCCCAATTTTATGAAGGAGGAGCGCGCCTCGTTTCACCAGTGAGCATCTTGTTACTTGATTTGAACAGATTAAGAGGATTATAATTGTGATTTTATCTTTCCAGAATGGCCAACCGAATGGGCTTGCGTTCCAGCAGCTTTGGTGTTGGCCATAGCCGGCGCCTGTTGATCACCAAGAAGGTCACCTACAGCCAGATACTCACGGAGGTCCTGTCGCGGCGCAATCCCAAGTTTTGTGAGCGGTACTTTGTGCAGGTGCCCATGCAGAAGGCCCATCTGTTTCCCGGCCATGTGGCCGGCTTGGAGTTGGAAAATATATGCGAATAGGCTGGGGGAAAAATAACGGTTCATCTAGTAATACTCGTACATATAAAAGAATCTTCTTATATTTAGTTTAAGAAACAGGATATAAAATACAAGAAAAGAATTTTTTACCGTGTACTTTGTTTACGTTTCGCGCCGAATGACTGAAAATTATTTTACATTGAAGAAGAAGAATCGTTGCAATTGCACTTTTTATTCTCATGTGTTTCCTGAATGTTTTTTGAGAAGAGATGAATAAATGTCCCCGATGCAATTGCGAAGCGACTGGAGAGAACCGCCTGGTTACGGACAGCTGTGGGCACACCAAGTGCCGTCTCTGCCTGGTGGCGGATGTGTCCGATTGCCTGGAGTGCCGAGTTGCACGACAGGAGGAGGAGAGGGCCAGAATCCAACAGACAAAGGAAAAGGAACGAACTCCAGCGGATAAGTGTATCATTGTCACGGATAAGGGCTATCATTGTACAGTGTGCAAAAAGGACTTTCGCAGCCGCACCCAGCAATATTACCACCTCGCCTGTGGCAACGATCTTCTCAAGAAGTTTAGCTGCAAGGAATGCGGTCGCGTAAGTTTAAAGATGTTGCTGCTGTTTTCGCTCCCCATAATAACTCCACTCTGTTCCCAGAGGTTTGCCAGCCGTTCCCATTTGAAGTACCATCTCAGCAGCCATGAGAACCAATCGAAGCACACGTGCGGCGTCTGCAACAAAAGTTTTAAGCAGAAAATCATCCTGCAGCGCCACATGCTCACCCACAAACAAGAGCAGCATGTGTGTCAGGTCTGCCAGAAGGTCTTCCGCCGCCAGAGCTCCCTCAAATGCCACCTGGCCATCCACACCGATCTCGGTCTTCCATACAAATGCGAGCTGTGCTCCAAGCACTTCCAGAACAAGGCCAATTTGAACCAGCACCTGCGGAAGCACGACCAGAACAGCATCCGGCACAAGTGCAAGGTGTGCCAGAAGTCCTTCCTGCGCCAAACCACGCTCCGACTGCACATGAAGCGACATTCGATTCGTGAACGCCAATCCTGCTCCTTGTGCGGCAAGAGCTACAACGACGCGGATGCCCTGAGCCGCCACCTGAGGCAGCACAAGACCTTAGAACGCTACCGCTGTATTGAATGCGAAATCACGGTTAACCGGAAGGACAACATGCTCCGTCACCTGCGCTCCATGCATCCGGATGTGCCTTTGAGAGCACTGTGGAGATAGTTACCGCCAGGTCCAATGCTCAAGAGATCACGCCGGTGGTGCCGGTGGAGGAGAGACCACCCACGATCGTGCGCTACAACAGCGTGATCCAGAGCGTGGGCAACGTGGAGCCAGTGGTGGTACCGGAAATGTTGCCATTACCAACTCCTTTACGAGATCTACACCTGGAGCAACCACTACTACAGCTAGAGCAACCAATACTACAGCTGGAGCAACCACTACTACAGCTAGAGCAACCACTACTAGAGCTGGAGCAACCGTACTGGAGCTGCAGCAGCCACTACTACAGCTGGAGCAACCATTCCTGCCATGCAGTTGAGCAACCACTACTACAGCTGGAGCACCACTTCTGCAGCTGGAGCAACCACTACAACAGCTGGAGCAACCACTTCTGCAGCTGGAGCAACCACTACAACAGCTGGAGCAACCACTTCTACAGCTGGAGCAACCACTACAACAGCTGGAGCAACCACTTCACAGCTGAGCAACCAGTACTACGGCGGGAGCAACCACTTCTACAGCCGGAGCAACCACTACTACGGCGGGAGCAACGATTTCGACACTTGGATCAACCAATACCTGTCACAGAACACCGGCCACTGCCAAACGTTATGCCCGAGGAGAATGTCCAGCTCTATAGGAAGATCATCTTGGACTGGACAACGAAGAGTATTCCAATGAGCTCGTCATCGATGAGCGCCAAGAATCCGCCACGCAGCAACGGCAGCCCGTGGCACGGGGCAAAGCAGCTCCAAATTTAGCGAGATGCACTGGCGCAAGAATTTTAAATTCTGGTACCAAAAAGAGGAAAACACAAAGTGAGGATATGATCTCTCTATTGTGTTGGCCCTTTTCGACGGGCCCTCTAATTTATTAAAGATAAGTCAGGTGCTGCGAACCGAAGCGAGCCGCAATAGTCTTGTTGGCCGCTAGCCATATTTCCGCGTGTCGACGTCAGTGCCAAGTTCGCCCATCGGAAGCAGCAGAACCTCTTAATTTGTAGCTATCAGTATTCAATATGTTGGACGAGCGATCGGAACTCGAGACTCTGCGAGAGATATATTACCTAACTGATGGTGCGTCCGGAAATTGGCGCAAGTTGCTCGCTCTGGGCGACTGCCTGGACCAGCAACTGAAGCGCAAGCTGCTCTGGATGTGGCCCACTTCGGTTGACTTGGACTACTTTAATCAGCTTCTTTCCATGCACAATATCCATCGTATTTTGAGCATAGGCTGCGGCAGTGGTCTTCTGGAATGGCTGATGACCGCATCTGGCGGGCGGAAAGTGTCCATGTTTGGCCTAGAAGTCGACCGCAAGTGGTGGCAAAGCAAGTACTCCGTTCGTAGCTTTATACCGCTCAACTACGTGGAGGGTGCAAGCCAACTGCATACGGAATTATTGACCAGCTGCTGCAATGACGCCCCTCCTTGTGCCTTGCTCTTTTGTTACTTTAACAACCGCGGAGCATTCTTGGAATACCTTAAAGTGTTCCGGGGAAAGTGGCTGATACTGATTGGACCACAGCCCGCCCGGGGTATCCACACAGATCCCAATCCTGTCCAGCCCCAGCTGCCCGAGGACCATGGACTCTTCGAGAACGCCTCAACTGGACTGACCAAAACATTGTGGCGTTCTACGAGAAAATAGCCTAGTGTAGTCTGTAGTATCTATATAAGTGTATTAATAAACCTTTGCCTTATGTCCTAACTAGTTTCTATTCACTTCTATGTGGAACTTGCAGGCCGGTATGCTCTGCACCTCTGCTGTCACGGTGCTGTTGATGCCCAGATTGCTGAGTGCTCCTCGCACCAGCCCGCATGTGAAGGCCACGAACTTGGGCGCGTGCTCCAGCTGCTTGGTGCCCGGCGAGATGCGTGTCAGGAAGCGGAATGCCTTGTCCTGCACCACGTACATGCCATGGTTATTTGTCCTCAGGTTGTCCACCTGCTTCTTGTAGATGAGCGTCCAGAAGTCGGTGCAGATGAATTTCATAGTCTCCAGCTCGTCCTTGAAACGCGACACCTCGCGGGTGAGCCGCTCTATCAGGCGGTAGCCGGTGGTAAAGCCAATGTACTCCAAAGTGGCCAGGTCGTGCTCCTAATAAATGGAACCAATGGAAAATATTGGATATGACTTGTTTTCTAATAGCTAGCAACTTTTACCTTATTGCTATCAAGGCAATAGTTGACTATCTCCGCATGGAGGCAATCAAAAAGGATTTCCTCAGACATTTTGCGAGCTCTGGAATTTTTCTTTGTGCAGTCAACTAATTTTCCACGGATTTGTTTTGAATGCAAAACAGCTGTTTTTTTTACGTTGACATCCGAATGGCAAGCTAACTTTTGACGGTTTTTTTTTTTCAGGGATTATTTATTTATGTACAGCTTGATTATGGTTAAAATCTATAACTTGTGTTAATTTACGTGCTTAGCAACAGTTTTCTAAAATTTATTTGCTAGATATTTTGTGTGATTATGAAACATATTATTTTTCTAGCAATTTTCTAGCTACATAGTGCTTATGGCCATAGATGGATTTGGCAGCACTGATAAGTAAGTGAGGGGGTGTTTGGTCAGAAGCAAAACAAAAAATGTATACAAAACACCGCTGCTTTAAATTCGCGAAACTAGTTAATTGAAACTGCTAAATCGACAATAAATAAATAAATGCTGGACATTCGCCACAAGGCCGCCCTGCACAGCATGGTGTGCCAGGCGATCCTGGTGCTGATTTGCTTGGTTTGCTACGGCTGCGGTGGCCTGAGTGGGGCAAATTCGTCTTCGATGACACGGTGGCCATCGTCAAGAACCGGGACGTCAACACACTGCCACCAACTGGACGGCGATCTTCACCAACGACTTCTGGGGCGCCTCCCTCCTCAGCTCCGATTCGCACAAGTCCTTTCGGCCACTGACCACCCTGATGTTCCACTGCGAGTACGCCCTCCTCGGACTGAATGCCTCCCACATGAAGTTCCTCAACCTCCTGCTGCACTGCGTCAACACGCTGCTCATGTGGCGATTGGTTCGGTCGCTGTATGTGCCGGAGGTCAACACGGAGCGCTGGGCGATCCTCTCCGCGGCTTTGTTTGCTGCTCATCCCATTCACACGGAGGCTGTTTCGGGTGTGGTGGGTAGGGCAGAGCTCATGTTCGCCATGATTCACCTGCTTTGCCTTCTGCTGACCGTGGCCAATGCTGGAAAACACGGTCTTCAGACTGGTGGCCTAATCCTGCTCCTAACGGCCGTGGGAATGCTCTTCAAGGAGTCCGCTGTGACCATTCCCATGTCGTGTGTGCTGCTGGATTACTTTCAAAATGGCTACTATCATTTGCCAGTCAAGGATCAGTGGAACCTATTGCACAACCGGATGAGCTACTTGGCTTACTTGTTGGGCACTTTGGCTCTGCTGACGGCTCGCCTCTGGTGGCAGGACTTTGAGACGCCCACGTTCAAGGAGGTGGACAACCCAGTGGCCCACAATGAGCACATCCTGACCCGAGGACTATCCCAGCAGTATCTGCTGGTCATGAACATCTGGCTAATGCTGTGCCCCCACTGGCTGTGCTACGACTGGGCTTTGGGTTGCGTCAAGCTGGTGACCAGCATCTGGGATCTGAGACTCCAGGGCGTGATCGGATTTTACTCCATCCTGCTGGTGGCTCTAATGAACTTCCGTCGCCTTCCTGGATTAATGCTAGCTCTGGCCTTGATGATCATCCCATTTCTGCCCGCGTCGGGAATCATTTGCGTGGGGTTCGTAATCGCAGAGCGAACGCTCTACGTGCCCTCCATAGGCTTTTGCTGGTGTCCATCTACGGATTCCTCTACTGGTACGATTGCAGCACAAAGAAAAGTCTTTGGCGCACTGGACTTCAGATTCTCCTTATGCTGCTTTTCACCGTGATGATGCTGCGCACACGCCAGCGAGCCACAGACTGGCTGAATGAGGAGCAGCTGTTTAAGTCCGCCCTTCAGGTGTGTCCCGATAACGCCAAGGTGCACTACAACATCGCTCGGCTGGCCACTGATACGGGAAACAATACGAAAGCCTTTCTGCACTATCACAAGGCCATTGACCTGTATCCCAGCTACGAGTCAGCCTTGATGAATCTTGGGAACCTGTACCGGGAGCATGGCCAACTGGCTACAGCTGAGGAGTACATACGAATGGCTCTGCAGGCGTATCCGTCCTTTCCCGCGGCCTGGATGAATCTCGGCATTGTTCAATCGGCCCAGGGAAAGTTCGACAAGGCCTTAGCCAGCTATGAGAAGGCCTTGAAGTACAGGACCAACTTCGCTGTGTGTTACTACAACATGGGTAACCTTTACTTGGAGCAGAAGCTCTACGCCGAAGCCCTTCAGCATTGGCAGCACGCTGTGGCGCTGAATCCCCGCCAGCCGAAAGCCTGGGCCAACATTCTTACCATGCTGGACAATCGAGGACTGCAGGACGACGCCCTGCGCATCTCCAATCAGGCCCTGCAGCATCTTCCCAACGATGCCAGCATCCTGTTTATTCGAGCCAATGTCCTGGGCAAGTTAAAGCAATACGCGGAGGCGGAGTCGCTCTATAAGCGAGTTATTGAGCTGGAGCCCCACAACATGCTCTACTATACGAATCTCGGAGTTCTCTATCATCGGTGGGACAAGTCCCAGGAGGCTATAGAGGCTTATCGGACGGCGATAAGTATTAACGCGGCGAGGGCAACGACAGCACGGGAGAATCTCAGCAAGCTTATGAAGCGCCTGCAGAGGGAAGCGCAGGTCACCCAAAGATAAGCGTTAGCTTTCAAGTCTCACCGCAAAATATGGAACCAACCAAATGTTGTTTGTCTTTGAACGCAAATAATACGAGGTAATTATTTGCATTTCATAAAATTAGGATGTAAAACTTAACTACTATGTACACTTCTCAAGCTACAATAATCCCAGAGAAAATATGAGGTTGTGGGTTCAGTCTCTAGTCCCAGAAAGTTATAAACGTACTTACTCTTGAAAGACACTAAAATTAGATAGCAATATATGAATATCACACGACCCATATCCCATCCACGGAATCTCAGTACACCTTATTTATTTTTAGTATAAGTTTAGGATAATTTATTTATTTATTAATTTACTCGAGGGTATATACAATTAATGTTAAAACTAATTAATGATCGAACAATTACAAGACGACTTACATAAATTAACTAAATCCTAGAACGTAAGGACTACATGAAATACTTTAGAAAATAGTGACAATTTAGGCACCATTGTAAAATGATTCAATTCCATTAAAGATTCATGTTTTTAAAATAATAATACCGCAAATTACACGAGTTTATATATAACGCATATAAACAGATCGGGGCTGCTGGAACATGGAACAAGCTGAAACACTTTGGCAGAATGCGAGACTACAAGTCGAACAAAAGAGAGATTAACGTGTGGACATCAGTAAATATTCAAGATACATGCATGCGTCTATGTACTATATGCGTAGGCGTAAAGGTATAACAAGTCTTGTTGTTTGAGATACGGGTCTGTTGGGTTTTTCTGGGCGAGCAAGCGAGCAACGGCGGTTCGGAACTAAATCAAATAATAATGAGCAAATAACACAGCTAGCACAGCAACAAGGTTATGGGGCGTAAACGATCTACAGCAGCACGAATTCCTCGCTTTCACTATCATCTTGGTCATTGTCGTCCACATGATGGGGAGGCAACAATTGGGTGCCCAGCTCCTGGGCCAAAGCAGCCACCTGTTTTATGAGCGGCTTGTACAACGAATCACTCATCTCGTCACGCTCGTGGTCCAGGCATCGGCCTCGCGAGAATGAGAACAGTGGATAGTTCATCTCGGCTTGCTCGGTCTGTTGATGATGGTTGATTGGGGCGTCACTTGGTGGCCCCCAGCCGCCTTATCCACTGTGGCCCCGGAGGCACAGCGCATGGGGTGCAAGTACTGAATAATTAACAGAGTAACTAAAAATTCGAGGAAGGATTGCTTGGCTGTGGCTCACCAGCTGCACGCTCTCCATAAAGCTGTCGAAATCACTCTTGGTGGCACAGTAAAAGCCGATGCAACAGCTGGGATCCATTTTGCTGGCCTTAAGCTTTCGTGGCGACTTGCAGTGGAACGAGTGCAGGGAAAAGTTCTCCTGATTCACATCCACCATCTCCTGGCAATAGTGCGGATCCAAATGGATGAGCCTGTCCTCCTGAAAGCCCACAAAGTACAGCGAGTGCTTGGGCTTGCCCCAATGATGCCCAAACAGTGCTCCGTACTCAGCAGCAGCTTCAGGCAATGGGCATACACGGGATTTAGTTTATCGCTGCCCAGGCGCAATGGGATGAGCACGATGAGGGACTTCCAGTGCTGTTGGTGCTCCGATTTGGCGTTTCCGCCTGCGATCGCTTCGCTTGCTGCCAAGGCACATGGGGTTTGGGCGCCGGTTCGGGAATGCTGCACTGATCCTCAATATCCTGTATATAAACTGAAACATGAAACACGGTTATAAATCAAAATAGACTATCAAATACGGCCATGAGTAATGAACCCCAACAAGGTTGCAACAGTTAATCATGGCCGGTATCAATGTGTCACGGCACTTATCTTGTAGTTCTTGGGGTTAGGGAATTCTTTTTGCCCGTACTTACTCGTGCAATCTTTGGCCACATAGACACTGATATTGTCAAAGTCTGCATTTTCCTGAGCTGCATGCTCCAAGGCGTGTCTGTGGTGGGGTAAAGGTTTATCAGTTTTGATAAAGATAACAGTCTGCTGTACTTACTTTAGCAAATAGGAGACCGAGGCGGGGCCATACCAGTCGCCTGGCTTCTTGCCCAGATCTTCCCTAGCCGCACCAGAGCGTGGATGGAAAGGGACTGTTTTTCGAGGAGCTGTCGCCGAACCACTTGACGATCTTCTTATGCATGTTATCCTCGTAGGTGGAGTGCAACTGAGACTCTGAATCATAGCGCCAACCTGTAGGGAGAAAAGTCTTATGAGAATCCAATTAGTTGATGCTGTTTCGCTCAACTTACTGCGTCCCAGGAAGTGACAGATTAGTCCTTGGGCCAGGAGCATCTGGCCACTCCTCAGCATACAGCCCCAGCCGCAATCCGAAGTGTAGTTGGAGCCATTCATGATGGGAAACTCCTCCGATAGGTCATCCAGATTCTGCTATAGAAGTCCCGCCGAAAGCCCTCGATGCCTTCCTCCCAGGGCTGTTCGCCACCTGGTTCTCGACCGCGTCCATTCCCAGCTCCTGGGGCACCACAATCTCGTCGATCTGCTGCGGATTAAGGGCTGGATACAGGGAGGCAGACGTCGAGGTGGCTTGAATGCTGTCGAACGCCGATGTGGCGTTGTCAGGCGTCGTATCTGCTCCGCTGGACAGTTCGGTAATGGAACTTTCCATGCTCACAGGCGGGGTGAAGCGACGATGATAGCACCTGCCCAGCAGCCACACTGGCTGCTCCTTTGAGAAGCTCGTCTGACGCATCTTCCCGCTCCACCGTACTTCACATTATGCCACATGGCCACCAGCTTGGACTCCATACCCTTGGTGGGCGTGCGGTTGGCCGACAGGTCACCGGTTTCCTCGCTGTGCTGATCCACGTGACCGCAGCTCGGGCCGCTGCTGCCGCTGCCGCCACCACTGCCTCCTCCATAGAGCTGACTGAAGGCGTTCATGAAACGTGATGACGTCGATATTTTGCGCTGCGGTGTTGCTGTCGCAGCGTTTTCCGACTTAAGGTTCAGATTCGCACCTGAGGTGCTCACTGGCGAGGGGGAGGGGGCGCGCGGGACGGCGAATACGGTGCGAGGATGGTTTGAATGGGGGCCGCCTGCTCCTCTCGATGGCGCCGTCCTCCACAGCGGCAGGGATAGGGGATCCGGAACCGCATCCTGGCCGCACATCCGGCTGCCCTCCACAATGCTTCCCTCGCCGGCGGCTTCGAAGAGCATTAGTTTCTCGTCGGTCAACTTGGAGAGGAGGCCGTCATAGTTCATCTGCTTGGTGGCCGTGGACGAGGACATGAAAACAGAGGCGGAAGAGGAAGAGGTGGATGAGCGACGACGACGCTTTGTCCGCAACTTGGGGAACTTGAAGAACTGCGGCATGGCAATCTCGGTGCGAGCCAGTTGCTGGCCCTGGCTCAACTGACAACGACCACCGATTGCGTGCTAATTACAAATGTTTACTCACCGTTTATTTGTTGACAAAATAAGATAAAGTAACTATACGAAATTTGTTTTTCTTATTCTTATTCGCGAGAAGTACAATTGCCAATTACGGTGTTGCCAGACCGCCGAGTTGCTCTATTGTTTGTATGTATGTCAGATGTGTGTTTTGAATTTCGCTAGTTCAGGGGCGGACTTGAAGTAAAAACTAAAATGTATTTAAGTTTAATTTCTAGTTTATAAACATAAAAAAATTAAATACTTAAAATGATTTAAAAAATTTAAAATTATGCAAAAAATTAATTTTTAAAAATTATATTATTAATTCAAAAGTTGTATGTACAAAAGCTGAAACCATAGCTTATGGCTCATTAAATTACTTCTAGATCTTACAAAATAAACTGGATATTAGTTCCGCTTCCGCAAAACCTTTTCAAATTTTTAGAGACTAAGCAATTTCCGGGGAAAGCGTTTGCTGGAACACCCTGCCCCACTTCCGGCATGTGGGCGGTCTGGCAACCCCGACAAGAACAACCAGCTGTGCGGGTGCTAAAATTCTATTGCGCAACGCCAAAATCCTAAACACAACGCCACACAGCGACTGACAGCCATTCAAAATGGTAAGTAATGCAAATTCGTGCAAATCAAAGCGCTTAACTATTCGAAAACAATTCCCCGCCGACAGCAGGGCCCAATTCAAAGGTTGGTGTACACATTCGGTCATCGCACCTGCAGCCAATTGCCGCTGATCGGCGGAGCAGCGATATCCAACACGAAACCACCTGTAATGGACCTCTCCGTCCGCCAATCCTCTCCTCCGTGCTGGCCACGGAGTCCTCCAACAAGGGAATGATTATACTGAACCGTCCCAAGGCTCTGAACGCCATTAACCTGGAGATGGTGCGAAAGATCTACAAGCATCTGAAGAAGTGCGAGAAGTCCAAGTCGCTGCTGATCATCAAGGGCACGGGCGAGAAGGCCTTCTGCGCCGGCGGAGATGTGCGCGCCCTGGTCGAGGCAGGCCCTCCGACGAGTCGAAGAGCTTCTTCCGCGAGGAGTATAGCACGAACGCCCTGATCGGCAATTACAAGATACCCTACATCGCCATCATTGACGGCATCACCATGGGCGGCGGTGTGGGCCTCAGTGTCCACGGCAAGTACCGGGTGGCCACCGACCGGACGCTGTTCGCCATGCCGAGACGGCAATTGGCCTATTCCCGGACGTGGGCGGCTCCTACTTCCTTCCACGCCTGCAGGGAAAACTGGGTCTCTACCTGGGACTGACAGGATACCGGTTGCGCGGCGGCGATGTCTTTTACTCAGGCATTGCACGCACTACTGCGAGAGCAGCAAGATCCCTGATCTCGAGACGGCGCTGCTCAACTGCCCGGATGCAGATGATGTGCCCGAGCTGCTGCAGAAGTTTCATTCCACACCGGAGAAACCTTTCTCGCTACAGCCCGTCCTGGAGCAGATCAACAAGAACTTTTCGGCGGGTTCGGTGGAGGGCATTCTGAGAACCTACAGAACGATGGCAGCGAGTGGGCCAAGAAGACGCTGGAGGTGAGGGCGGTTCACGGTTCACGTAGTGATAAGCACACAATCGAATGTTAATTGGTTGGGCCAATCAAATCTTGGCGCGCTTTTAGCGCCTTTATATTTGATCCGTTCCCAGCCAATTAGCGGTGTTTAAGCTGCGGCACGACTTTACTTAACTGGCACGAAAAATTATAGCTTGTTTGTCTATTTTAGACCCTCTGCAAGGTGTCGCCCACCTCGATGAAGGTCACGTTCCGCCAGCTGGAGCTCGGCTCCCAGCTGTCTCTGGCCCAATGTCTCATTATGGAGTACCGTCTGGCCGTGCGTCACTTGGAGCGCAGCGACTTCAAGGAGGGAGTGCGGCCCTGCTCATCGACAAGGACCAGAAGCCCCAGTGGCAGCCAACTAAGCTGGCCGACGTCACCAAGGAGCATGTGCAATGGTTCTTCCGCAAGCTGCCGGACACCGAGGAACTCAAATTGTAATGTAGCAGGCCTAGTTTTGTTTTGGTTTGAGCCTGCCCATCCTGTTGTCTTCCGTTATGCCGCTCATTTATATATACACACTCCCGAATACCTCTGTATATATCTATGCAAGCTTGAGTTATGTTATGCATGGTTCCTTGCCTGCCGTTTTTGCAATATTCGTTATATTTACCCCTACCGTTCAAAGGCCACCGTTTGACGAGCTCTGTTGCTTAATTATCCGCAATCTCTTCTCTGTTTCATTCCAACAGCGACTAACTTCGAGGGAAAGTCTCTGCCATCGCCTGTATTTACCAATAACAATCGTGAAATTCAATGCATTTAAATATATGATAAACATATATGCCTATATATATTATATACAATTCGTAGTCCTAATACAATCATTCATTGTGCCTAAAGAATCGTTAGAATTCGTTTAAAAAGAATAAAGTGAAGTGTATGTGTTTAATAACTGTTTGTTGGTAGCGTCTAAGCATTGTTATCCTTTAGCTTGATGCTATCCTCCACCATGTTGGTCAACTCGACCAGCTTGTCGATCTGCGTAGGCTGGAAGTTCAGTTTGCCGAGCTCCTGCTTCCAGGATGTGACATCCACACGAAGCTGGACGCGAATCTTATCATCGTCCGACATGACAGCTGAATTTCCTGCCGAGAGCGAGGCAGATCCGCCACTCTTTACATTTCGAAGACGGCGCAAGGACTCTTCAGTTTTCTGCACCGATGTGAGCACATCACTCACCACATTAAAGTACCTGCGATTGTAATAGGATCAGAGAGAAACTTATACTAAAGAATCATTCCCACTTACGCTTTGGTTATGTGACTCGCAACCTCCGACAAGATCTGCTCCACCACTAGTGTGCCAAGTTGGGACTCATTCTGCTGGGCAAACGCCTTCAGCGGCCGAAGCATTTGCTCCACGTAGCCGGAGCAGCGGGAGGGAACCTCTCGATTGGTCTTGCGATACAATCGCGGCAAATCGTTTACCTGGCGCACATTGTCCGTTTCACATTCTCCGATCAGCAACTCCACCAAGGTCTTTTGGATGCTGGTCAAATGAGCGCCAGCGTGTCGGCCAGAGCGGCCATGGATTGGCTAGGACATCGTTACAAATTTTTGTACGCTGCTCAGCGGGCACGGACTGAACAATCAATTGCTGTAGCTCCGGCAGATAAGCGTCCAGTTTGCGAATATCTGCGTGCAGGGCAATAAGCAACTGGTGTCGAGTGTAGGACTTTGCGAAGTTGCTGCCCTTGGACACAGTAATGGCATCCGTGATCCAGCGCGAGAGACGCAGAACTATCTGCACATTAAGCTTATAGAACTTGGGAAATACTTCCGGCAGGTAAACTCCCTCGGCCCAGCACCGTGACATGGCCTCCCTGGCGGCATTGAATGGCATTAATTTGTAGTCCTTATCACCAAGATTGCTTTTCAAAGTGTCGTGCTGCAGCACAGGCTCCAACTTGGCTTCAAAGTGACCAGCAATTTCCTAGAGAAATTTATGAAAACTGATTTTAATTGGAAAATATTTCATACATACCTGAAAGCATATTTGGAAGTAAACTGGTAGATTCCACCGAGCCTCGAAGCTCTTTGTCTGCTTGTGCTGGCGATAGAATGTGACCGCCTGCTCCCCGGACTAGTCAACAACTCCTCTATTTTGCCAAGAAAGTCGCGGGTGCACTTGTATTTCACATAGAACACCTCCGAGTTGCCCGGTGCAAATATAGAGTTCATGTGGAGCTCAAGACGCGTCTCCACATCGGCCCAGTAGCTGTTGACCACGAAGTTGAAGCCGGGAAACTTGTCGGAGTAGAGCGTAAGTCGCAGCAGATCGTCATGTGGAGCGATATAAAGTTAGGATCTTGCTGTAGATGCCAGCCAGGCCCTGTGGCGAGTTCTGCAGCTGTTGTTCACCGATGACTCCGGTCATGTAAGGTGCCACCACATCCTCGCGGAATACGCGCTCCGCCTGACCACAGGCATTCAGGGTTATATAGATGCGCAGGCAGCGCTCTAAATGTTCCGGTGCGGAGTTGCGGGCCTGGCTCAGGGCGTCATTGAAGAAGCGTCGGAGATGCTGATGAAGTTGATCCTCCAGCTGCTGGATCTTGCCCTGCTGTTCGGCATTCAAGTGCTTGGAGCAGTGTTTCTCGTGGAACTTCAACTGAATCAGGTCCAGAGCAGCTCGTTCCAGGTCAACCGCCTTGATTGGCTGCTCTCCACTGAGCTTCCGGTCGATTAGGTCCTGGAGTTTGCTGATGGTCTCGTAGACCTTCTTCAGGCTTGCAAGCCCCGCTTAAACTCCCGCAGCTGGCGCTTCTCCTCCAACTGGGCCCGCAGCTCGGTGACGTTCTCGTCGATCAGACCGTGGATGCTCTCAATGTCGCTGCGGAATTGCTCCAGCGGTGCTGTATGGACTCTATGTTCTGATCCAACCCACCAGGTTGGCGCTCAGGTTCACGAAGTCGGCGTAGTCCTCGTTGATCAGATCGATCATAGCCGCCCGCAGACCTTTAAGGTAAAGACCCAGGTTGTCCCGCAGCTGCTCCAGACTTGGTGCATTGCGATTCTTGTGCAGAAACTCGTCCACCGAAAAGTTGGCCTGTTGGAAAGAATATTTTAGCAGCGGAACACAAATCTGACCGGGATTACTCACCTTCATAAACTCATTCTTGTCGAAGCACAGCTTCTCCGCGGTGCTGGTGGATCCGGCGGCCAGGTGCGTCGACTTCTTGACGGAATCATGCATGGCCTGAGCCGGAAAATGTATTTAATAATTGATTAAACAAATTCTATTGCCACGAAAGTAGAGCTGTAGGGATGTGAAAAATATATTTTAAAAAATACTCGATATATCGATTATTTTTGATAAGTATCTTATCCCGCCAAATCCGATAAATATTGAGTATTGAAGTTAAAGTTTATTTAAATTGCATTTTAATAATGAAAACAATAAAATTGAATTTTTTAATAAATTAATAATGAAACTTTATTAAATTGCATTTTAATCATGAAACTTTATTAAATTGCATTTTGATCATGAAACTTTATTAAATTGCCTTTTAATCATGAAACTTTATTAAATTGCATTTTGATCATGAAACTTTATTAAATGGCATTTTAATCATGAAACTTTATTAAATTGCATTTTGATCATGAAACTTTATTAAATGGCATTTTAATCATTAAACTTTATTAAATTGCATTTTGATCATGAAACTTTATTAAATTGCATTTTAATCATGAAACTTTATAAAATTGCATTTTAATCATGAAACTTTATTAAATTGCATTTTAATCATGAAACTTTATTAAATTGCATTTTAATCAAGAAACTTTATTCAATTGCATTTTGATCATGAAACTTTATTAAATTGCATTTTAATCAAGAAACTTTATTAAATTGCATATTAATCATGAAACTTTATTAAATTGCATTTTGATCATGAAACTTTATTAAAGTGCATTTTAATCATGAAACTTTATTAAATTGCATTTTGATCATGAAACTTTATTAAATTGCATTTTAATCATGAAACTTTATTAAATTGCATTTTGATCATGAAACTTTATTTAATTGCATTTTGATCATGAAACATTATTAAATTGCATTTTGATCATGAAACTTTATTAAATTGCATTTTGATCATGAAGCTTTATTAAATTGAATTTTAATCATGAAACTTTATTAAATTGCATTTTGATCATGAAACATTATTAAATTGCATTTTGATCATGAAACTTTATTTAATTGCATTTTGATCATGAAACGTATTTATATTTAATAATGAAACGTATTTAAATTACATTTTAATCATGAAACGTATTTTCTATTTAAATTGCATTTTAATAATGAAACGTATTTAAATTTAATAATGAAACGTATTTAAATTGCATTTTAATATGAAACGTATTTAAATTTAATATGAAACGTATTTAAATTGCAATTTAATAAAAAAAAACATATTTAAATTAACATATTTTACTTTGATTTCGGCTAAAACCTATGTCGACGTATTTTTTTATAGAATATCGATATATCGATATTTTGATATATAGATTTATCAACATCCCTATTTGTTTACAAAAAAAGAAGCGAATAAAGCCGGGGAAAAGGCTTTTTTTTATCTTTTTAAAGGGGAATAACTCACAAAGCCAAGTAAACCCTTTATCATGCCCAAGAACGGAGGTACCGGCCACCGCAACAACGGCCCAGAAAGCGCCAAACGCCAGCGGTGCAACTGGATGAGGAGAATCCCATTGTCCAGGCCTTTCGCAACTATTCCAACGAACTGACCATGAAACACGATCGCCACGAGCGGATCGTCAAGCTGAGTCGCGACATTACCATCGAGTCCAAGCGGATCATCTTTCTGCTGCACTCCATCGACTCGCGCAAGCAGAACAAGGAGAAGGTCCTGGAGGAGGCCCGCCAGCGCCTGACCAAGCTAATCGAGGTGAACTTTAGGGCTGTGGCTCTGGAGCTGCGCGACCAGGATGTCTACCAATTTCGCGCCGCCTACTCGCCGGGATTGCAGGAGTTCATTGAAGCGTACACCTACATGGAGTACCTCTGCTATGAGGATGGGGAAGGCGAGAACGAAACCAAGAGCGTCTCTGACTGGCAGGCCATCCAGTCGGTGATGCAGTACGTCGAGGAGAGCAGCCAGCCCAAGGCAAACCGAAGGCGAAGAATGGAGGTGGTTCCTCTGGGAGAAGGAAAGCCCCAAGAAATTCCAGTTCTTTGTGGACCCCACTGAATACATACTGGGTCTCTCCGATCTCACTGGGGAACTCATGCGCCGCTGCATAAATTCGCTGGGCAGTGGCGATACTGACACCTGTTTGGAGACCTGCAAGACCTTGCAGCACTTCTACACTGGGTAGGATAAACCGGTGCCCTTAAAATGTTCTTACTAATCACCCCTTTTTCCTTAGTTACATCAGTCTGAACTGCCAGAGGGCCCGGGAACTATGGCGGAAGATAACACCATGAGGCAGAGCGTGCTGAAGGCCGAAAATGTCTGCTATAATGTAAAAGTACGCGGTGGAGAGGCTGCCAAATGGGGAGCCACTTTTGACCAAAAGCCAGCTGAAGATGTCGACGAAGGCTTCTACTAGACATAAGTTTACAACAATGGAATATATATATATTGAATCAACTATTTGGTAAATGTAGCTTATGATCTAAGTTAACAACGAATTCGAATGGGTAGTTTAATCATAATCATCACTGTTTATGCGTTGGCTTTCAAACTCCAGCTCATCATCCTCATCTTCGTCAATATCTGCGCCTGGGCGATAGTCCGCGTCTTCGTCATTGTCGCCTCCGAACGGGTCCTCCTCTTCCTCTTCCGTTCCAGAGTCCTGATTATTCTGAATCTGGGCTCGTCGTTGGCGCAGGCGATTGCTAATGTTCTGCGCGGAATTGACTAGACTGATCTTTAGCCAATTTGAAGCGGGTGCAAAGGAAGCGTCCTACTTACAATCCGCCGGATGAGAGTGTTGCTGAAAGTGGACTGGATTGCGGCGATAGCAGGCGTTGCCGAAGGGACAAGCGGGAGTTCCGAGCGGCGGCTCTGGGAAGTTTGGACGCCGATAGTCCTGGTCTCCTGGATGAGCTTCTGCACTTCGATGAGCTGGGTTTCGTCTGGCATTGGAATAATCACTACCTAAGTTGATAAGTTGAAAATGGGCCATTTGGCATTACCTGTAGCATCGGATTCCGAAGCGGCAAGAAATCCGGGTGCTGCTCGAGGAGACTGAAGAGTCACGGCGGCCTGTCCATTGGAACTAGTGGGTTCGGTCTTCACCACCGCCGCTGCAGGTGGGTTTCCATTGGCGGTTGGTTCTGTTCTCGCCGGGATTGTAGAACCACTGCTAGTGGGTTCAACAGCGGGTTCATCTGCTTCCTCTACGGGCTCTGCCTTAACCTGAACAGGAGTATCGGGTTCGGGTTCCGCTTTAATGGAAACCCCAGGCTCCTCGGATTTTACGCGCTTGCTTGTGCTGCTTTCTGCCTCAGAATTTTCTCACCACTGTTTGTGGCCTCTGTGGGGGATTTTCTTTTATTCCCGCCATCTTCTACGGATCCATTAGTTTCCTCCACCTTAATGACCACATTTTCTATTTCCTCTGAGACACTCATTTTAAAGAAGTTAACTTAGCATCAATTTTCAAAACATTCGTATTTCACAATAACGCAGTTCTAATTGATTTTGGCAGTGTGCAGCACTAAACCGTGAAATAGAGATGGACTTTCTTACATTTTGATTTCATTAGCTCATCTATAGGTTATTGGCGCCATTTTGAATTCGAGCCTTAAACAAACTCAATAACTAGTTTCAGTAGACATGTTATAATTTGTACAATTTTAAATACATATTGAATTCATATAACAAGCAAAATGCGAATACATTGTATAAATATAGGATCCCGTGTACGCGTCGTGAGTAACTAACTCCTTAGTTTGCCTAGTCGTATGTGTAATGTATATGTAATTGCTTGTGGCCCAGATACGGATGCTCCAATCCCACGTTTGGAGCCTTGCTCATGGCACCTCTGAATATGTATGTATGTAGTTGAGTATGTAGTTGCTGCAGCCTGATCCGCGGGGCAAGGACACACTCGTCCCAGCCCCAGCCGGCTACAAGTTAATCGCATGGCACATTCGTGATACTGTCTTGTTCATGTCGGGTCCAGGAGCGACTGTTGGGCGGGCAGATGGGCATTGCATTGAGGATAAATTAAGCGATATGATCGAGAGGGAAAGATCTTTTGCGGGATATGTGACAAGCGCGCCCTCTTTACGTCCAGTTGCTCAGTCCTCCTGGATGGCCGTCATGAGTCCTCACACCTACAGAGTGTCTCAGGAACATGACTGTGGCCCTGTTCGTAGTCCAGTCGCAGGTCAACGATCTTCTGCTCCAGCTTCCTTATACGCTGCTGGTACTTGCGCTTGCTTTGCTCCAACATTTGTCCGAGGTTGCTAATGGAGATAGAAGAACCATTTATCCAACTTATCGTACTGATAAAAAATAATCTTACTGGTTGGATTTCTGCAGCTCGCGCACATTTTGATGCAGTTGCTCGTACTTCTCGTCGGAGGCCTTCTGCGAGGCGGTGACGTTGGCCAACAGCGTCTGGATGCGACTCTTAAGCTCTGTTTCCCGAGTCAAGGCCTCGACCAACTGCTGCTCCGTGAGGGCCGCGTGCTCCGCCTCCGAGTAGGAGACCCGATTGCTGGCCTGCAGCTGCTTCAAGGCTTCATGGAGTATGCCCACTCGCTCGTTGGCGTTCTGCCGCTCCTGCTCAGCCTCGTCCATCTTCGACTTTAGCTGAAGATTCGCGTCCCGCAGCTCCAGCAGTTCCTGCATGATCACTGCCGTCTCCAGGTCGATTGGTGACTTTTTGTCGTCGCTTCGCAGCTCGTGCTCCTTCTCCAAGGCCAGACGTTTCCTCTCGTATATGTCGCTGAATGGCGATTCTAGACTGACGATGGTGTGCTGGACAGTCGATCGGCGTCCCTTTAGCTTGGAGACGTGGTAGCGCAGACGATTGTCGTCGTCGGCACACCAGGAGCGTCCAATCTTTGGGGCATCCTCGGGACCAAGGTTGATGTTGTGCTGCCACGGTCCCAGGCTATTTTCACACACGTTCTTCTCGCTGTCCAGGCGGGCAAGCAGGTGCCTGGCCACTGCCTCCACGATCGGCGACTCTCCTCCGCGGCCGCTGACTTCTCTCCAAGCAGAGCCAACCTGAAAGGGATTTTGTGTAGAAGTGGGGATACAGAACAAGGAGAATCCTGCCAGACTTACTTGCTCTCTAGCAGAGCCAGCATTACGTCGTATGCTTCGATTGCGCGATCGCTGCAGTTTAGCGCCAGCTGAAGGGCCACCGCATTGGACTCGTATTTGCCGCATAGCAGATACAAGTGCTCTGTGTGCTCTTTGCATTCGTCCAGGGTCAGTGCCAACATGGTGTTTCGCATTTCCAAGTGTTCAACCCGTCGCTGAAATCGCTCCAGTTCCTTGCTCAGCTGCAGTGGCTCCATAAAGCTTTCCATGAACAGGTTTTGTTCCTTCAGCTCACACACCAAATGTTCCACTAGGTTAATGTGCTGAAAGGGAAAATTTTAAATTAATTGGTTAGGAGGAAGAAGCTGGTCAGCTTACTTCGTTGCTTAAGGATGTATGCTGTTCGTGGGATGGATCTTCACCGGATTCATGTTTGCTGGCGCAACGCAACTTGACCCGTTCTGCCATTTTCGGCACGGCGGGAACACGTTTCTGCGGGCTGGTCAAGGAAACACAAGCTGCAAGAAACCCATTGTTGTTAGTCACGTTTTCATCAGGACCTGGATCTGTTATACCATTCAAATCATTGAGGCGCTGTCCGCTCTCATTGACCTCCGTTTCGCAGCCAAAGAAGGCCACTTTGGTCTGCTCCTCGACCACGGCTGCATCCTTGGTGGAAATCTCGGACTGAAGCAGGGCGATCTGCGCCCTCAAGTGCAGCACCTCCTCCTGCAGTGCCTCCATTTGTCCCTTATGGCTGAGTTCCTGCGGCATGCGGCCAATGTTGCCCACGCTGGTGGTGCTGCAGGCGCCCTCGAAATCCTCCAGTGGTTCCGTCTGGCACTCGGCATCGGGATTGGTGAGGTTCAGCTCAGAGTTGTACACAGACCCTCCTGAAAGCTCAGTTCTGAAGGGAAATCTGGGATTAGACATTTGCTTGAATCATTTAGCACCTCTACTCACCACTGCCCTCGGGCTCTTGTTCCTCCATGATAATGTGATCCTGCTTGCTACGCAGTTTTTGCTCAACTCCGCAATGACGCAGTGCATCTCGGTGATGCGGCATTCGTGTGCCTGACTGACCACCTCCAGCCGCTTGTGACATATCTCCCGCTCTGTGTTGCTCTCCGTGAGCTGTCTTTCAGCCTGCTGAAGGCGCTGGGTAAGTTCGCGCACCCGGTTCTCCAGCTGCTGCACCGACAGTTGCTCAACCTGTGGAAGAGCCGAAAGGAAAAGGCTAATTAGAAGTTTCTAGGTGGCTATCCTCGAGGTCATCACGTTTATGGGTCGCCTGGCCAGCGGATGGGCCATCAGAGTGTACTCCCAGCTGCGCCTCTTGTCGCTGGGCACCGACGGCGTGTCGCTGCACAGGCAGCTCAGGCTGCGCGGAAGCAGTTGCTCCGATATCATGGTCCAGTGGAAAATTTCGACTGGCGATTACGTCGTCATCCAACCGCGGGTGCATCCGCGCTCTCCGCCGCTGCAACTTGACCCTCAGCCTTCGACACGCATCTGCGCACTGGGAGCCATCCGAATTCCAAGACCCCCACAAAATCAACACTTTGAAAATGGGCACTTGTAGAATTTTTGGGATTTCAAATAAATTTATAGAACATACTAAAGAACCTTAGCTCTATTTGGAGGTCCCAAAAGAGGTCTCACCTTTTAACCACCCACATTTTTTATATTTACCCACATAAAAATAAATCATTTAAATTCAATTTTAAATATCACAAAAAAAACTATCTATAATCTATATTTCTAGGGAAATACAATTAAAATAATTCCATGTTTTGGGTAAAAATCTAAAAAGGTTAAATATATTTTCAATGAAATTCTTGTAAAACAACAATTATATATTTCCAAAAAAAAAATATTCCAAATAAAAAAAAGATTGTTTAAAACTTGTAATTAAATAATGTTTTTAGCTAAAGCTTTTTTCTCAGTGTAGGCCCATCACTCACTTTGTTGACAATGTCTAGCGTGGAGCAGCTGGAGATGTTGTTGTCGCTCTCGGTGGTGTCCCGCTGCGTGTGCTCCGGGGAGTCCAGGTCGCAGGACCCCACCAAGTGCCTGGCACCAGGTCCTCCTCCTCGCGGCGAGATGCTCCCGAAGACGTACTCGAAATCCTCGCCAGCGGCGCTGCCGGAGTGCTTGCCCTGGAAGCCGCTGGAGTCCCGCTGCTTGCCACTCCGACGCGGCACATCCGTAGCGGTATCTTGGCTACCCGGGCCACCTGCACATCGTTGGACATCCTGGCTGGGATGGGCGGCTGCTCCCGACTAGAATTGGCCTGCTTTGGCCCGCTTGGTGATTACTTTTGATTGCTGCTCCATTCCCGCACTTGTGGCACTGTGTTAACTCTACATGGCACTTCCTGGACGAGTCCTAAGGCATTTTTAATTCATAAACTCGAAACTTTAGTTAGTCGCGATGTTTATTGCATTCTTATCAGAAAATGTATACCCAGACTGGGATGTTTATGTGTGGGTTATGCTAGCGCTTTGCAACACTATTCGATTGTTAATCGATAACAACTTTTTGGGCGCGAATTTAAGCTCTAAGCTCATTACAATTTATAGAATATAGTTTCTGTTTTATAATCTGGTTTTATTGTACGCTGTTGCGGTAATATACATATATATTATATCTTTTGTCAACACTGCGATATGCTTCCATCTATTTGGGAGTCCTCAATTGCACTAGTATTTCTCTAAGGAATAGCAGACAGATTTTCGGCCCTTATCGTGACCATAGCCTCGTAATCCCGCATGTCCAGTTCGTGGAGAGCCTTCTGCACCAGAGTGGCCAGGTGAGGCGGCAGGTCCTTCAGATCCTCCATCCGTTCCCGGCCACAGCACTGGATATTCGTGGTGTGCCGGTACATCGACTGCTCAGACCGCAATTCCCGAATCCGTGGTGGCAGACGAAGACTTTGGAAGTCATCGGGCTGTACATCGACCTCGTACACAGAAGAATCCACTGACTCGGTCGAAAGCGAGACATTCCATCGTCGGAGTGCAGGGCCTCAGCCGACTTGGGCTTTCTAGAATCTCCAGGATCTGGTGTAATGGCGACGCCTTCGTTGTCTGGAGCAATGGACGGAATACTGCTGATGTCGACATCATCAACCATGGCGGCGCAATAACCATTGAGGAGCAGCTGGGAGGGAGCATAGCCGTACTCCTCGTCCTCCTCCTGACCCTCTGAGTTATCTTCGGTTCCGGAGAGAAGCTGCTGCCACCGCTGTTCCAGCTCCGTCATCTTGCCAGCAAGTATTCTGTGGATATATATTTTATCATATATATTTGTATATGACAACCATGTTTTCCTACTTGTTGGTTTCTTCTGGTGAGTCAGGGCTAAATTCTTATCGTTTAAATTGTCCAGCAGAGCCAGACACAAGGATTTTAGGTCGCTTAAGCTCTCTGTTTTTTGAGGCAGATCGATGCCACTCTCCAGGATTGTTTTAACTATAAGAAGGTGGAAATTAAATATTGTTAGAAGCTGGTCTTGATATAATAATACTAACCTTGTCGGGGGCTTAGTATTGTGTCTTCATTTGTGCTGCCACCACCAAGTTTTACAATACCCTTCTTCCTTTTTGCATCCAACATGGTCTGAATATATATAAAATGTACATCAATTGTTAACCATTCTTAAAAGTGTAGTATAGTACCTTGTACTTAGTAATGCTCTGTTTGGTCAGTTCCAGTTCGCTGTCTTGGATCTTCACACGTTCATGCAGGTACTTGTTCTCCAGCAAAACACCATCGATGTCCAAAAGCTATTTAATAAGGATAGATAATTAAATAACAACAAAACCCTTTAGCACCCCCAACTCACTCTAGGATGCGTTTTCTTAGCTCTGAGGGCCACAAAGAGCTCGTGGTTGAGGCGATGGGCCTTGCACTTGTAGGCATCCCGCTCGGTGATCAACTCCTCCTTCTCATCGATGACCGCCTTGAGATCGAAGGCCAGCTGGGCATTCCGCTTCTTGAGTCCCTCCAGGTGGCAGATGAAGTTGGCCCGTTCCCGACGCCACTGCAGGTCCTCCTTGTTGCGGGCGGCATTCTCACTGGCCATCGCCTGGACCCGCGACTTGTTGCTGGCCTCCGTTTCGCGGAGTAGTTCCATGTCGCCCTGAAGCTCGTTGAGCCGCTGCCTCAAAGCCTCCACTTCAGTGCTGAGCTTAAGATTCTGCTCCCGCGTCTCATGGAGCAGGGCGGCCAAACTGGAGTTCTCGCTGAGGGCTCCACATCCGCCGACGGCGAGCAGTTCGCTGTTGCTTTTCAGCGCCGAGTAGCGCAGCTGCAGGGTCTCTGCCACCAGCTTGTACTGGTCTCGTTCCACGCGAAACTGCTCCAGCTCCTGGCGCAGGATCCTCAGGGCCTCAACCTTGCTCTGCAGTTTCCTGTGCACCGCCGAGGTCTGCAAGGGTGGGTCACATAAGTTACTTGGTTAGTTGGGGGTAGACCAGACTCACCTCCACATTGTACGTGGTCATGGCCATATGTTGGCCGAATCCATGGTGACTTGCCACATCGTCCAAGTCCATGACGAATATTGAGGTTTGCTTTTCGATTCCCAAGCTTTGGATGTTGACATTGACAGTGAATGGAAATTAGGGGCTGCCTTCAGCCAGCTGTATCACAATTTCTCGGCCTCTAAGGACACCATTCTGGCCAAACACACAGCTCGAGTGAATCAATTTTTACAGGCGCCTGCGCGGTAAGCCCCAAAAGGTATGCTACATGTGATTGCAATTCGATTCATATCGATAAGGTTTTGGTCTGTACTTCAAATAAATAATCTTGCCTACATTTTTATTTTCTGGTTTCAATTTAACCCTTCAATAACAATAAAAATATAACAAAATTTGAACTTACTCCATTTTATAAGTATAATTTATAAGCATTTAAAATAGATATGCAATGGTTACGTCTTCATTATTATTCATTCGAATTTATTGTTATATTTAGGGAGACAAGTAGGGATTTTCGGGGTAAATAAGTGTAATATGGGACTTTACAACTTTATGCTCACAACAGGGTTTCTGACGCTTGAACATTCCACTTAGCACTCGTCTGCAAACTGATTTTACATCTGCAATTCTAGCTGTTTTAAAGTCCAGCTTTTCGACCAACTTGAAGATGCATTTTACTTTAAAGATACTTAAATTGTGAAGTAGATATATCTGAAGCTATCATTCCCACATACCTTTAAAAATGATCTCCTCGTTTCGATCGAAAATTGGTATTATTTCGTTCCTAAGCTCCTGGCCACCTTTCTGCCGTTCAAAGTCTTTCTTTAGAGAGCTGAGCAAAGTATGGGATTTCCTATGTATTTCTGCCCAGTCCTGGGTTTTTTCTTCCTTCTGTGTCGTGATGTGAGACTTGCATTGCGTCCAACATATCTCCCGAATGTTGGTCACCTTGCAGGTCTTACGAAGATGACACTGCCTTTTATCCGAAAGATTTTTTCGCCTTTCGTCGGGAGAGCCCTAAAATTTGTTGTGAACATTACAGATAATCTTATATTCCTTACCCCACTTGCTTTTCTTGCTCTTTATCCTCCAGTAGCGTCTTCATAGTTTGATCATTTTTCTTGAGACGTGCAATTAAATTTTGGTTGGTGGCCACCAGCTTCTTTGTGCCACAAATATGGTTATTTAGCTCAAGACTGTAGGTTTCTATTCTGCGCAATATATTTTCCACATTGTCCAAGTGATGATTAAAGTAATGTAGCCTCAAAGCAGATGGGCTATCTATTGTTTCCACAATCATGCCGTCGGAGTGCAATGTCTACCGAATAATCCTTGTTTCGATTATTTTTAAGATTTAGAATTTTAGGGATAAGACTACTTAAGTAGTAACAACAGCTACTAGATATATACAAATTATATAGACGAAACTGGAGTTCACAGACAGTCAAGGAATAAAAGTTGGGCTTAGGGTTAGGTTAAGAACTATTTGAAATCTTCAACGGCAGCTCATGGCATTAGCGATGGTGACCATCTTGCGCACCACATTGGCATTGGTTCCAAAGTACGGGTCCACGTCCTGTTTGCCCATGGTCACGTCGCACTCCATTCGCGTGGTGGTGGCGCCACATAGTCCTCGCCGGCCGTGTCCTGGGCGGAGGCGTGAAACTCCTGGCAGCGACTGACCGTAAGGATCTCCTCCAGGTTGGACACCTTGATGCCAGCGCCGGGCATGACAATAAAGTCCCTGTGATGCTTGGCTATCAGCTGCGCAAGGCAATCCAGACCATCGGCGGCCGAGGGACGGAAACCGCTGCTCAACAGCCGTTTAAATCCCAGTTCCCTTAGCAGCTCAACGTTCTCGTCCATGCTCTTCTGGTCGGTTAGGTCGAAGGCGCGGTGAAAGGTCACCGGAAGGCCTCCCGACTCCAGCATCACATGCCGGCACTGGTCCACATTGATACTGCGATCCGGATTCAGGGATCCGAAAACAAAGCCATCGGCGCCGTTCTCCCGCAGCAGATCCATGTCTGTCAGCACGGCGCACATCTCCTCGTCGCTGTAGACAAAGTCCGTGCCCCGCCGGGGTCTCAGCATGCAGTAAATGGGCAGGGTGAGGGTTTCCTTCAGGGTTTTCAGAGTGCCCACACTGGGGGTCAAGCCGCCTTCGCCCAGGGCCGAGCAGAGCTCAATCCGCGCAGCCCCGCCAGCTTCGGCGGCAAAAGCAGATCGTATGGAGTCCACGCAGACCTCCAGCTTGATGTCGTGGCTGGCCATTTCGCTTGTCAGTGATAAAACTCCAGGTAAACAACAATAAACAAATTTCAAGTGTAATTCTGCTGGTGGTGGACGCAGACCGATAACAATCAGCTGTTCCCAGCCGTGCCAGCACCAAAGCCCACCGATAGCCAGCCCCAGAACGAACATATCGCTGGCAAACCAGTGTTGAGCAATGTTGGCGTGCCTAACATCGATTACCGATGCTTTGAAAACATCGATGACAACGATGTTAACATTCGATGTTTCTCCACCTCTAAACAACACTGCGCTGTGCTCATTTTGTTGTGAACAATTTTTGTTAATTTTGTTAATTTGATTTGCGAGGGTCGTGCGAGCAAAGCAACGGACAACGCACTCTAGAGGATTTGGAAGTGGGATCCTGCAGCATGCGCCTGGACACATAGGCAGCAGTAGACCAAGACCAAGCGCACTTGGAGTTACCTAGAAATGACAATGGGCGAGCCAACCACGTCTCTCGTTCTGCCCGTCATACTGCGGCCCATTTTCTCCCAGGTAGGTGAAACGGGCCCAGGTGCTCCGCTCTGCGCTGCTCCGTGCCCTTGGCCGAGGCCCAAATCCACATCCCAACCCCTCAGCCCCGCCAGAGATTCAGTTCTGTTGCGTAAACCCCTTGCAATTGCCTAACTTCCATTTACCATTTACCATTGCACCTGCAGCTCGAGCGACGCGACGTAGGCGCTGCCCAATCTCTGCGCTCCGCCATTCTCAAATCGGAGCAGAACAATCCGGGCTTCTGCTATGACCTCGTCGCCACCATTGTGCGGCGGGCCGATCTGAACGTGAATCTAAACGAGGCCGTGCTCCGATTGCAGGGCAACATTACGGAAGCGGATCGTAAGTAGCCACGCCAACAATTTACCTATGCTAGCTAACGATCTTCCCCCTTCCATAGTCAACGAGTACCGCTTGACGCGCACGGAGGAGCCTTTCCAGGAGCTCAACCGCAAGTCCGTGGCCCTTAAGGTGATCCTGAGTCGCATACCCGACGAGATAAACGACAGGAAGACCTTCCTGGAGACCATCAAGTGAGCAAAAATACCATACACAGCCATACTACTCATTTAGACCAATGCCAAAGAAATAGATCTATCTTAAATTGCTACATTTAATCAGCATAACTTAAAGCTTCAAGAAAAAGAGATTGTAGACCCATATCTCCGAGTCTCTGGAGTTACAATGTTCCCAATTAAACACTATCTAACAATATGTCTCACATTTCCACAGGGAAATCGCCAGCGCCATAAAGAAACTGCTCGATGTGGTCAACGAGATCGGCTCGTTCATACCGGGCGTTACGGGCAAGCAGGCTGTGGAGCAGCGAAAGAAGGAGTTTGTCAAATATTCCAAGAAGTTCAGCACAACGCTGAAGGAGTACTTCAAAGAAGGACAGTAAGTGTCAGCCAGCGGCAGCTACATGCTTACTATTTACATGGGTGTTATCACACGATACGCGGCGACTCGAAGATAGCCGGTTTCTTTAATCGGCTCATATCTGGTTTCTTATCGTTTCGGGCCAACCGTTTGGATGATGTCATGCCATTGGCGTTCCGGGCATTTGTTTGGTTTATCACTTTGCGACGGAGATTCTCCGGGGTGGGGGCCAAGCGTCAGAGTTGCCTATTTTAAATTGTAAATCACAGTCAAATTGCTTTGATTATGGCTCTTATGGCGATTACCGCTGACCTTTTCGTTTTATTTTAGCGAGGAATACTGCCCTATGACTAACCAATTTTCTATTTTGTCTACTTTCAGACCGAATGCAGTATTCATAAGTGCACTTTTTCTAATACGGCAAACGAATCAAATAATGCTGACAGTTAAGAGTAAATGCGAGTAGAGAATTAAATCGTTTAATTATGGCAAATTTTAGTGGCATTTTAATTTTATGTTTAAATAACCATTTAACCACCCACAAATCAAATAAACTCAAGAGAGCACACACACTTAAATACCCAATCGCCCGATAAAGTCCAAGTTAAATGTTTGAACGTAAATGAAAATCTGTTGTAACTAAATAAATAGGCCTAATTTACATCGTAAATATGTATTACAAATAATCGGACACTAAATTCAGCGAAGCCTAAGCATTGTAATTAACTAGTGAGCAACTATTTATCGACGACGACGTGTGCGGAGTTCTTTTTCGTTTACAATTTATTGTAAATAATTCATTCTTTTTCTGTTAACAACAACATCGGCTAGTTTGTTTTTGTTTAGGAGAAAGCGCCTACGAATAAATTTAAAATTAGTGAAAAGAAAACGAGAAACAGGAAATGTATGTACTACGGGGAGAATAAAAAAAAAAAACAAAAACGAAAACGGAAGACACTTAAATTTTTAACTGTTTTTAATTGTTAGAGTTTGAAATTTAAACACTATACATAATAATCATTTACTTAATGATATGTTCGGGATGAAAAATGCGGAAGCGAAAGACATTAGTAGCCGACAGCACTATCAACAGGATGGAGAAAGAAATTATTTTAATTAAAAAATGTTATATGAAAAACGAAGAACACTAAACAAAAAAAAAACGGCAACAAACTCATAATGTAGACATAGCGAAAAAAACGACAAATAAATGTATTTATATTCCAAGCTGAAAACTGTGTTTTATATTATGTTAATAAATAACAGGTCAAATATTGCGTTGTAATTATATTAAATGTTCTGTTTATATTTTGTTAAGATATATGATTTTCAAGTAAAATTTAGATTGAAAGCGTAAATTTTTTTTATCAATGCTTTTATATTTTATCAATCAGATATTTAAATGTTCTGTTATGTATTTTGTTTAGATATACTGATTTCCGGAGTAAAATTTAGTTTGGAAAGCCCTAAGATGATTTTTTTAAATCACTATAGATTTCTTAGATTATTTCGAAACACACATATTTAAATGTTTGTTATATATTTTGTTAAGATATACTGATTTCCGAAGTTAAGTTTAGATTGGAAAGCCCTAAGATGATTATTCTAAATCACCATAGATTTCTTAGATTATATCGAAATCAGAGATATGGGAGCACATGGGGTTAACAGAGAGAGGCCCTGTTAGTGAATAACAGCGTAAGTAATAGTAAATCCCATATAACAGCCCCAGAGCAGGAACTTACCCACTTGCAACCCCAAAGGAGCCCGTGAGCGGGAGAAAATTGCCCGTTTTTCAGTGTCATTTCGCAGAAAAATCGATTCCCCGCACACTGGGTTCCACTGAGAACCGAGTACTGGCTACTGGGCTCTGGGTTCTCTGGGCCACTCTGCTCTGGCACACTGAGCACCGAGCTGGCAGTTGGGTAGAAATCAGAGTACAAACCAGCAGCGCGACCGAGATGACCCACTTTTCGGTTTTCGCACTGAGACCCAACTGCTACCCACAGAAAGTGGACAACTAGGCGGAGTTTTTTCTATATTATATAGTAGCAGGCCAAACCGATCGCGTTCAATCGGTTATTATGTACAGCCTACGTAGCCTAGTGTAAAATCTATGCATTTATGTGAATTTCCCAGCGCAAACGTGGAAGAGGAAAACAGGCGACCTGAAAAAGCAGCAGCAGCAGCGAGCAAGAAGCAGAAGCACAAGCAGCAAAAAAGGTTCGCAAACCGTTAAACCCAAAAAAAAAAAAACCCGTTAACCCAAAAAATCAAAAAAACCCAGTGTTTTCGAAATCGAAAATCCAACAAACCAAGAAAAAAGTGCTAAAACCGTGTGGCAAATTCCATTTTTTGCGCAAGCTGAAAAAAAAAAGTCGTTATGCGAGCGAGGGAGCTGACGAAAAATTTCGCTGTACACCAAATGTTTTCCCAACAGAACCGCTGCTGCGTGAAAATTTCATTTTCATTTTCTCTAGCTGGAAAAACGGAAAAGTTCGCCGCGAGTGCAGTGAAAAACGGCCCAGTGAAAGATATATAATTCCGGGAAAATGGTGGGCCAGTGAAAAGTAAAAGTGTAAGCATATCGATGAAGGAAAAAAAAAAAGAAAGAGCAACGTAAAACACTACACTCCGCACACAGCAAACCTACTATACACATACACCCACCACCCACATGATGATGCATATAAGTACGTGTGTGTATGTACAATATGCAAATGCGGGTAATCACTCTAATACCAAGGCAAAAAGCGAAACGCTGAATGAAACCGAAATGATGGAAAAATGCATAAATAAAATCGGGCAATTCAATTGCATTTAAGCATAAAACGGCGCGCACACACACATCACAAAGAAACACATAAAAAAAAAGAGCGAGAGACAAGTAAGTAAGGTAGATGTAAATGGCCAGCGAAACTGGAGCAGCACCAATACCGATGCAAGTGCCATAACGGCAGGAGCAGCATGTGGTGTGTGTGTGTTTCATATTCATAAGCTCCCAGCAGCAGCAGTAGATGAAGAAGAGGAAGCAGAAGCAGAAGCAGAAGAAAAGTCCCACTTTTTGGGGTTCCACTCTGGGGGCGGTTTTCATTTTCACACTTGCCACAGCCTGCGCAACAACAGTGTTAAAGTTGTTTGCTGCTGCGTGCGTAGTACAAACATATACGTATGTATGTACAGTGTACACCCCGTACTCGCACACCTATGTACACAAATGTGCATATGTATGTACACAAAGGTATCTAAATGCGGGCATGCGGTTACCGTTACCTTCTCCGGTTTCGAAGTTCTAATACCCGTAAACTACCGCTTGAACTCCCCCAGCGACATTTTGTTTATATTTATATTTATGACCCACTGTAGTCAGTTACCGCTGCAATGATCTTAAGTCACGCGCCGAAAACCGGGAATACGGTGCGGATACTTAATCTCAACCGATCGATACTAATTTAAGGGGCCTAAAATAGTTTTTTACAAAGTATTATTTATTTTTATTTTAATATTATAAAACAAGTTAATAATATTTTACTGGAATTTCGTTAGGCATATGTATGTTAGAAGTCCAGTTCTCATATAAAGTTAGTTTACTTTTTAAATGAACACTATTCAATTCTTCGTTACTTATCAAATCCCATTTTCAGGATCATTTCTTTAATATTAGTTCAGGAAATGGTAAATAGTTAGGGGGAATGCTTTTGAATGAACATAACCTAACTCAATGTCTTAAAATGTAACCCGTGTCTTAAATTAGCCAGCATTTATTCTTTGATGTCGTATTATTATAGTTAAACTTCGAACTAATTGAATAATTCTTCTTAATTTTATAGAATTTCCTAAGCCATGACTATAGTTTTTTGGTTTTTGATGGTCACATTTATATTTTTACTATTTTTTCTTACTTATCAAAACTAACGTTATAAATTCGAAGACTATTTAAAGGACATAAAAGATCATTTATAAAAAATGGACTGGATTGTTGTAAAATTATAGAATTTTACCCCGAAAAGAAAGCCAATACCATTTTATTGGATTTTTTTCGGGTCGCGATTAATCGTTGAGTTTGGCCAATTTTGACATATGGCAATCATTCAATAATTTATATGCTGGGCTGCCAGCCAAGCTGCGACCATGAGATTTCCGCAGGCGGGGAAACACTATCCCCCCCCCCCCCCTGCCATTTTCCACTTCCCATTTCCCGGCCGCCCACCACCCCATAAACTGTGCTATGGTTTTTCTATAGTATTCCGTGTGGCTGTGTGCGAGCAGCTTGTTATAAATATAGGCGAGATAGTTTTGTGCTCGTGTTCTGGTTCCGCTTTTTTCCTTGGCTCTGCGATTGAGGTCATGCCAGCAGCAGGATAATGAACTTTTCCAACATCTTAAATGTAATTGCTCGACTTTAAAAAGTTTCTGTTCGCAGTGTTATTTTTAGAACCTGCCACTCGTCATGGGCTCGAGTACTTTGACGGTCTTATGTGCGACTATTTATGCATGTAATTGTTGGCAATGGCTGTTGGCCCTTTGCTTCCTCGACTTTAATTGCTGCAATTAGAGGCACTTAATTGTTATGTGCTTGACTTTGCCCAGTGTGTGAGCATTCAATTAATTGAACGACAGCTCATTATGGCACTGAGCATCGTGGCAAGGGTGCTTCTAAAGTTTCTGTGATCTTAGCTCTAGAATATGCAGAAAATATTGGCTTTGGACTGCCAACTTTCCATTTTCGTTGAGTTTCTGCCAAGGCAATATGCTAATTAATTGCCTTTCTTCACCAACTTGTCTGTCAACATATCGTACAAGGTGGAAATGGCCATTTTGCATTCTCAACTTTTGTTCTTTGCATTTTTCTCTCGGTTCTCGGCAACTTCATTTGGAAGTAAATCAAAGTTGGCGCGCCAAAAACCAAAAAACGCAGCAAAGTTTTTAAATTAGTTTGTGGCAGTTTGCAGCCAACAAAAGTTTTTCACTTTCTTGACTTTTTTGGAACCGCCGAAAGTCACCGAATATTGTTTTAATTACGAGTTTTTGCATATTTCACTTGTCGCCTGACGTTTGTACATGAAAATACGCATACGCCACGTTGTGCGGAAGTGAAGATACCGCCCCCCCCCCTTTCATTCACGCCCCCCCTATTAGATAACGTGGCTCAGTTCCGAGTGAATGGGAATTTTCCATTTAATTTACTCCGATGGCCGCAACGACTTTGGCCAGAATGTGGGTTAATAGAGTGTAAAGCAGCGCCAGGCCGCAACCCAGTTTCGGGTGGTTTGGTGGGTTCCAGTTCCAGTACCTTGCTTCCTCCAGTTCGTAACACCCAACCTCCTGAGAGGCTGCCCCTGGTGCGCAGTCTGGGGTTCGGGCTAATCTGCACTTTAAGAACTCATTAAAATTTCAAGCCTCCTCTCAGCGTCGTCAGACATCATCGACGTCTTCTTCTTTAGGTAAAGCCTAGGCTGTGTTAAATTTTAATTGCTAACTAGATCGATTCATTTCCCTTTGGCACTTTAACTAAATACAGACCAAGGATTACAGTTTAGACTTAGGCAATACTTTGTTAATTTGTTTATTTACATATTACATATTATAATAGTTCTTAGATAATCAAATTTCATGAATGATTTTCTATTTTCTTATGTTTTATTCTACCAATTTAAGGACTCATGGTCCTAAAGTAATGGTTGACGTACAGGACCTTTAACCAGAGGTTAATTAATTGATGGAGCCTCTCATTTTTCACTGTGCTTGAGAGGCGGGCAAACAAGTCGCCTGTGACGTAGGCACCCAAAAGCTGTGTGCGTGTGTGTTCGTGGAGATAAATGGTGCCAAGCACTGCTCAAGTTCCCGAAAGTGTGCGGCAAACGGTGGGGTGCTTAAAATAGTCACCGACAGGCACAGACAGACACTAGCGCTGGGTGGCCAGTAGAGGGTTAAGGCAGGAAGAGGGACAGTAGAGGGTTAAGGCAGGAAGAGGGACAGTAGAGGGTGTGGGGAGGGTCGCAAGTGGCTAGGGATGATGTTGTGTTTGAAGACAAACAAGGAAATGACAGCGGCCGGATAGTAATCTAAGGATACTGCCGGACAAAGGACACGCCGAATATAAGAAAAGAAGTGAACACTAACTGGTACACAGAGGAAATAAGACATTAATTTAAATTTCGAAAATATTTAATAATCACAGATAATTCTTTCTGATTTTTAGCCTTGAATGTACAATTATAATATAAAAAGATCGATGTAGTTATCTGTTTTTGATATATTTGCTATATAACATATAATTCAAATAGATTCAGGTCATATTCCAGTAAAATTTTGTTATCAAATATTGTATTGCCTACTTTTGGCACCCTATTATCACTTAAAATTTTGTAATCCTTGGTATTTGGAATCTTGGTTTCTATACTTATTTTACTACCTACCTAAGCTAAAGCCTTAAAGCTAAGCTGAATGTTTCTTTGATGCATATTTATGGCTTTTCCTTCTGTGTACTTTAACAACTCACAACAACAAAAGGCCTTTTCGCCCACATCTACTTCAATTGCGAAATGCTTGCAATGCGCTTCATCATAATTAAAAAATCCTGCGGCCCACATGCACACCCACACAAGCGCACGCTTACGCTCACGCACACCCATACACACACACATACACACGGCAAACATGGCCACACTCTCTGTTAGTTAACAGTAGCGTAGCAGCTCTGTTAACAGTTGTTATCCTTTGCTCATGCGCCAACCCTCTCTCTCTCTCTCTCTGGAGGGATATTTTCTCTCACATTACTCGCAACTTATATAGACGACCTACTCGCACAGTTAGACTCTGCTGTCTCTGTCGCACAGCCAAAAATTAGAGTAGAACCATTAACAGCGGCAAAGTAACAGTAACAGTAGTAGGGCAAACTTGTTGTTGTTCTTGTTGCAGTTGTAACACTCGCACACACACACACACATAGGCATAGGCACTGTGCATAACAGCAACTAGTGGCTGTGCTTTTCCCATCGCCTTTCCCAGTTCGCATTTTCCATTTCCCTCTCACATTCACACTCAAGTCGCGCTGCACTGCAGTTGTGTCAGTAAGTACTTAATATTTATGGTGGCCAGTGTATAATGGCATGGTGTTAGTGCAAAGTGAAATGGCAGGACATCAAGTCGCTATGATTGTCAGTTAATGAGATAATTACAGTGATTACGGGTCACCTGGAATATGTAATGGAACCTCGAGCTCGACTTTTAAGCCATTTATAAGGTTTACTGGTTTATTGGAAAAGTTTGCTAGAGATTAGTGGGATTACTTGAGTAGTTTGATGGTGGTTTATAATATCTCTATAATCTATAAGATCTCTATAGATTGCAAAAAGTTCTGTATAATTAGAGTTTTGTATCTCAAAGATAATTTAGTTGAAGTTATCTGAAACTGCAATATCTCTGTTGGTTTATAATATCTCTAGATTGCAATAAAAGTTCGTTTAAATTTATGCTGTTTGTATCCCAAAGATACTTAAGTTTGAGTTGTGTGAAACTACAATATCTCTTTATATCGTTGTTTTCTAAGACCCTAAGTGGTTTATAGCTTTTCTATAAAACCCACTTTTCCTGTGGCTGGAGTGCAGGTATCACCTGTATCACAGCAACAAGGTGCTCATCCGCCTTTAGCAGTGGCCATAAAAAAAGTAGTAGCAGTGGGCAGTTCTCGGGACCGGAAGGGCGTATTGCAAATGCCAAAGACTTCCGTTTGGCTCCGGCTAAATGCTGTCATGCAACGCCCACCAGGGCGGGGCTCCACCACCACCGACACGAAAACAAACACCAATGCCGAAAGCCACAGCAGCATCATCACCATCATCAGCCCATCCCATCACCACCATCATCATCACCATCATCATCATGGGCACTGGATAAACGCTGTCATAGCTTTTAAATGTCAGGCAGTCCAACCATCTGCATCGGTATCGGGATAGTCCACATAAACAGTGGCATTGACAGCCCACCGAGTGGGTGGTTCGGTTCGGGTTTTCCAGTGGGTGGGTGGTGGTGCATCCGATGGATACGAGCTTTGATGTATTAATAACAATTTATCGATGCAGCGCACAGCTCCGGTAAATGGATTTCAATTTTGTATATCCTGAATTTAATGATTGGATTAAGGTTTCCGTTTATGGAAAAGTGCTTTTGGTTTAAAAGGCCATCCAACCCGTTCGACTTCTCGTGGCTTTTTCGCCCCCCAGTGAATCGATGCTGATTACTATATCTGGTCTTGCCGCCGTCTAGACAAACGGGCGCCTTCCATTGTCTCAGCTGGCAAGGGTGGCGTATGAGTAATGCAACTGACTTCGAATGCTTTTCGTGGCGTATGCGTAATGTTTTCGTTGGCCAAAGTCGGTTGAAGTCGGTCTGTGTATTGAATGTGAAACAGTTTACAAAGGATTTTAATTAATGTGCTGACAAATTAAACCGATTGTATGAAACCAAAATCTGAATGAGCAGCCTGACCAATCTCAGCCTTTGTGGGCTGTGCGTGGACAATAAATACGGTCAGGCAGGCAATTAACCCGAAAGTTCAAAGTTCGCCACACATCACACACCATACAAAACCACACTGACCCCCCCTCCGAAGACACGTGCGTGCCGCTCATGAGGAGAAAAGCCTGGGCAGCTGACCTATTTCCACACTTACCAACAGCAGCAGGCCAGGCCCATGAATAAATAAGAAGCCCAAGTCAAGCCAAGCCAAGGGATAATAAAAGCAACTATTTATAGGAGCCAAGTGTAGTCTTGGCCCAGCGGCAGCTCGACCATTCGGCTGGCTGCTGATTTACTGGCCCCATTCTGATGTGCGATTATCGCTTCCATTGCAGTCGTCCGAGGGGCAGCCACAGCATGCCGTACGAGTCGATGCACCATCATCAGTCGGCGGCCGCTGCCGTGGCCGCTGGCACCGCCCCCAACGGAATGCTGGACTCCCTCAGCCTGCAGCTGCGCGACGCGGAGATGCGGCGCACGGAGATCGAGCGGGCGCATCAGGTGAGTGTCCTTCCGGGTTCCGGATCATACTAACATATATGTGATCCATTTAAATGTAATTTAGTCTGCTCTTGAAAGCAATAAGTTTAAAAATTATGCTTAAAACTACCTTTTGATTTGCATTATGTTAGATTGATACTGAGAAATGCAATAATGAAAAAATAGTGAAAGGAAAGTCAAACAAGACTTCTAAAATATATGTATTCCTTTGAAATGTAGTATAATCCGCCTTTTGAAAGCAATGAGTTTACAAATTATGCTTAAAAGTACCTGTTACTTTGAATAATGTTAAATTGATATTGAGAAATGCAACAGTGAAAAAATAATGAAATGAAAGTACAACAAGGCAAACAAATAACTTTGAACAAGCCAAGAAAGAGGTATTCGAAATTCGAGCTGAAATATTTCGAGTATGATATTATTTTTTCCTCACTTTCAAATATATTAAGTTATAGGCCCCGAATAAATATTAAATTGGTATAGAATTTCTTTAAAAAAATACTACTTCATATACTTCTCTTTTAATTACCGTTTATCATCAAAAGCAACATATACCTTCAAACCTTGAATTTTTTCTTTAGGAAACCCTGGCACAAATACGCAATATGAGCGGAAGCGCACGTCCCGATGCCGAGGCGGTGGAGAATCTGCAGTCGAGGGCCCGGGAACTGGAAAAGAAGGTGACTACAACCCAAAAAAATAACCCAAAAGTATATAAAAGTAATCCCTTTAATCCGTATATCCCTAGGTTGCGCTGGAAAACGTGCGCTGCGAGGAGTTGCAAATCGAACTGACCTCGGCTCTGAAGGCCAAACAGGCATCCCGCTCGGTCTGCTCCGGAATGGGCAGCATGTCCTCCGGAGCCGGCGCCACCATTCCTACATCGGCCAGCAGCTCCACCGTCACTTGGGCACCGACAATCAGCCACCAGGACCAAGGCTCCGAGATCGATATCATAATGGCAAAGATTGAGCAGGTATACTATACTAATCAAAAGCATATAAACTACAGCAAGCAATCGGTGTAAAATGGTATATAATTATTTATATGAAAGTGACAATGTTTAAAAACAGCAACAGGTAACAGACAGCAAGTAGTGTATAGATTAGTGTAGCCTCGAATAAAATTATATTTCGGGATGGAAATAGTTTATAGACTTCATCAGAAACATCTAAACAACGATCGAGTTTCCATCCCGAACTATAATTAATTTCAAAGTTGAGGGCCCAAAGTTAAGTCAAGTCCAATTAAATCAACGCAAACAGCCAGTATTGTGTGTATAGTGGGGCAGCAAGAGGTATGAGGGTATTAAGTCGCCTGATCCGTCTGGCTGGAAGCGGAATCCTCGGAATTCTCGGCCAGGGCCTCCTCTATGAAGCGGCTGACCTCCAGTTGACTCACTAGCGAGCTGGATGTGGAGCCATCATCATCATTACCATCCATATTACTCGGCGACAGGCAGGATAAGAAGCTCTCCAGGCTGGAGATGCTATTCCCCCCCGAGGCATCGGGATCTGTAGAATCACTGGCTCAAACTGGGTGCTACTTTCGCTAGAGTCCAGGTTACCCTGGCGGAAAACCTCATCGGAGTTACTGATCTGCAGCTGGCGGCGCATCTTCTCATTCTCCCCGGTCAGCTGACTGATGATGTGCTGGTTCTCGTCACTGCAGCGTTCCTCCAGATCGGCGGTCAGCTTCATCAGCTCCAGCATGTTCTCGATCGGGCATCTTGCTCACGCACCACCTTCGCCAGTCCGGCCAAGTAGCGCTCCTTCAGCTGGTAGCTATCGATGAACATGTCGCCCTCGCTGTGCTCCCGGTACTTATCCATGATCAGCTCGATGCCCTGGTAGAACTCGTCGGCGGTCTCCTTCAGCTCTATATTGTCCCGCAGCATCTGCATCTGCTCCTCGTCGCTATTGGTTTCCGAAAGATACTTAAGCAGCTGTTCCTCACGGAACTTGCGACAATTGGCCAAGTCCTCATCCACTTTTTCCGCATCGATTAGCAGCTCATCGGTCCTGGTCTCCAGTTCGCTCAGGCTGTCGGCAATCTCTGGGTCTGCTTGATCAATGCTCCTCCGAGTCCTGAAAGCAAGGGACTGTCCATCTTGATAAAATGCCCAGGCTGGTTAGATCGCTTACGTTGAATTTGGAATTTTTTTCCCGATTTTTGTCCGATAGAAAATCACTTCCTTTGGACTTGTCAGGGCCAGACTGGGCAAATACCAGGGACTGATAAAGTAAGGCCTACTGGAGTTGACATTTTCAAGTTCCCTAGAGCAATGCCACATACTATGTGATTTTTGATTGTGGAACAGCTTGCCATGTGATTAGCATATGATTAGCATAATCATTTTTAGGGTAATTTATTTTTTGAGCAATTTTCTCAATTTTTGTAGGGGACATCCCTTTTTTTTTGGAAAAATGCAAAAATTAAACATTTTCAGTTAGAATGACAATCGATTGGAAATTAAACAACGAGCTCAACGAGGTATGACATTCCTCATTCTGACTTATATTTCTGTTATGGCAGCCAAAAAACTGAATTTTTATGGCGAAAAAACGGTTAAAATTTTTGTCAAAAATTAAAAATTCAGATTTTTGTCAAAAAATTGACCTTTTTTTCGGTTTTTCCATCGTAGTTCAGCCAAATCAAGGCGTACAGCTAAAAGACCGACTGTTTTGAACAGCTTGTTAAATATGCTAACGAACCTCATCACTTTTTGGAAAATTTATTTCTTGACCAATTTCCTCAATTTTTGTAGTGGTTATATCACTTTTTTTTTCGAAAAATGGCAAAAATTAAAAATTTTCGGGTTGAAATGCCAATGATTGGAAATTAAACAACGAGCTCAACGAGGTATGACATTCCTCATTCTGACTTATATTTTTGTTATGGCAGCCAACAAACTGAATTTTTATGGCGAAAAAAGGATTAAAATTTTTGTCAAAAATACAAAATTCAGATTTTTGTCAAAAATTCGACATTTTTTCCGGTTTTTCCATCGTAGCTCAGCCAAATCAAGGCGTACAGCTAAAAGACCGACTGTTTTGAACAGCTTGCTAAATATGCTAACGATCCTCATCACTTTTTGGAAAATTTATTTTTTGACCAATTTCCTCAATTTTTGTAGGGGTTATATCACTTTTTTTTCGAAAAATGGCAAAAATTAAAAATTTTCAGGTTGAAATGCCATTGATTGGAAATTAAACAACGAGCTCAACGAGGTATGGCATTCCTCATTCTGACTTATATTTTTGTTATGGCAGCCAAAAAACTGAATTTTTATGGCGAAAAAAGGGTCAAAAATACAAAATTCAGATTTTTGTCAAAATTCGACATTTTTTTTCGGTTTTTCCATCGTAGTTCAGCCAAATCAAGGCGTACAGCTAAAAGACCGACTGTTTTGAACAGCTTGCTAAATATGCTAACGATCCTCATCACTTTTAGGAAAATTTATTTTTTGACCAATTTTCTCAATTTTTGTAGGGGTTACATCACTTTTTTTTTTCGAAAAATGGCAAAAATTAAAAATTTTGAGGTTGAAATGCCAATCGATTGGAAATTAAACAACGAGCTCAACGAGGTATGATATTCCTCATTCTGACTTATATTTTTGTTATGGCAGCCAAAAAACTGAATTTTTATGGCGAAAAAAGGGAAAGGGATACCAAGGGAAAACATTGCACACCAAGATCAAAAAGAGAGCAGGATTAATTTCAATAATGGAAAATAACATAGCATAAAAATGTTAGATTGATATTGAAAACGTAATTTTCTATATCTGCTGAAAAACTCTTAAACTTTGAGAGTTTTTTTTTAAAACAGTACTTTTTTTTTATTATACTAAAACCGTTTGTATCTTTTTATCCTGCAGGATAATCGCGTGCTGGCCGAGCTGGAGCAGCCTCGCACCTCGGCCAGCGCCAGCATGTCAGCATTGCCGCCCAGTTCCATGATGAGCACGGTAAATAGCGAATTTAGAACCATATCAAAGAGTGGTGAGTACTCGAAGGGAAACCTGGATCCTTGAATAGATGTAAAATAAAAAGGAATCCCTTTGCAGAACTCGAAGAAGAACTGAACCGTTACAAAAGGGCCGTTCTGGGCGGCGGGGGCGGAAGTGGGGGCGGCATCTCGGCCCTCTCCTCCGGCTACTCGAGCCTCCCCAGTCGCTGGCCTCCACGCTGCCCAATGGAGGGGGCGGGGCCAGCACTAGCCTGAGCGGCACCAGCCTTGGCTCGCACAGCGTGGCCGCCGCTGCTGCCCTCGCCGCCTCCTCCTCGGCGGGATCGGGGTGCATAGGAGGAGGAGGAGGAGGAGGTGGGGTCGGGGGCGGCCTATCATCCATATCGGCCCTGGTGCCCAACTCAATCAGCGGCATATCCTCGAGTCTGAGCAGCCATGCCATACAATCCATGCAGTACGGCACCGGACAGACGTCCGTGGAGAAGCTGCTGAGCGGAACTAGTGGAATCACTGGCATTCCACCTTTGCCGGTAAATATTCACACGATGAAGGCTATGCCAACGGCATTAAGTCAGGTAAACCAGCTATTTTCAATCGCAATGAACTACGAACAACAGCAATTACAGCAACATTTAAAACGCTGCCGATCGATTTGCTTTCAAGCTTGCCCACATCTTATGCTATATACGTTATAACTTATCAGTTGTATGTACATTCATCCGTTTAAGTAGCCATATAGACTAGCATATATCGTATATAGCGATCATAACCGCTTTCGTTCGTTGATCGTTCGTCGCTGCTGCAGCCACCGGCCGTTTGTTGTAGTCTCATTACTGATGGAAATACAAAGCATTCACATACAGAGCCACCCACTTGAAACACCCTCACATTACACCAAATCACAAACATCACAGATTTATGTACAACTAGATATAATTTTCAATTGCCTGTTACATAACCATTTGTATCACTTCCCTTGATTGCGCTGGCATGTTAGAAATTTTCCCCATTTCTTCAATCACCTGTATTATAAAGATATATGTACATTGGGGATAGTTTAGAATATTCTCCATGAGTATATGTATCACTAATAATATTCCATTGTAATCCACCTGAATATATTCATATATTACTACCTTAAACGGTATTCATACTCAATTAATGTTTTCTGAACTTATAAGAAATTTCAATGCCTTAAAATGTGTATCGATCTAAAGAATTATTACATATATTAACTATAAAACCGAGATTAGTTTTAAAAACATTTCCAAAGTTCAAAAAGTATTACATTGAGTATACACATTTGCTGCATTTACAGACATACAAACATATGCATACTAAGTATATATCTTTTTAAAAGGAGTTACATTTGAAAGCTTTCCGTTACTTGTTGATAAACGTTTTTGATGGTGATGATTGGATGCTAGCCGTGTTGCATAACCATGATAGCCATGAAACGAAACCCCGCTTGGAAACGGCTTAAAAGTTAATTGCAGAATCAATAGCCACTCATGACCAGCCGAAAATCACCACCAACATGCTCAGTTGTTCATGCCATAGATGTCCTTTTTAAGACGTTCTAGATGCGTTTTGCCACTCGCAGCCGAATAAACGTGTATCTGTGATCTCTCTTTCCGTTTTATGTGCTTTCTCTGTCTTCCCTTTCTCTCTCTCTCTTTATCTATTCTTCGCTCTAATGATGAATTCTTCTCCTAACTCCAAAAACGAATCAATCGAATTGAATCGAATCGACTTATATGTATGTCTGCATTTGTATCTCTGTGTGTGTGTGTGATCCTATGTTTGTGTAACGACACCTGTACAAATACCACAAAAACCACCGATACTAATACCCTGTAAATTCTGAAAATATACAAAAATCGAACCGAAAATCCCAAAATTCCACATAAAAAACCAAAACACACACAAATGGCAACTGAATTTGAAATCGAATTTGAATATAAATCGAATCCAATCCCCTCGAGAAGCGCGGAACAATACAGCTGTACAATTTGCAGAGCACAACCATGCCCCTCCTGTCACTCAACTCGCATAACCTGCCTCCTGGTGGCTCCACCAGCTACTCGGGTCTGGGCGCCGGCGGCGGCTCCTCGCTGACGCATCCCTCGATGGCCAATCTGGGCCTGCTGGACACCGGAGCCCTGCTGGGAGTGGGTGCCTCCGGCCTGGGAGGATTGGGTGGAATGGGACCCGGTGGCGGTGGCATCACCGGAGCCACCTCACTATACGGATTGAGCGGCGGCGGTGGCGGAGGAGCCGGTGGCCTGGGCAGCTCCTATGGTCCGCCCTTCCTGGACGTCGCCTCGAGCGCCTCGTATCCATTCACCGCCGCTGCCCTGCGACAGGCCTCCAAGATGAAGATGCTGGACGAGATCGACATTCCGCTGACGCGGTACAACCGCAGCTCGCCCTGCTCACCCATCCCGCCCAGCAATTGGGGACTGGACGAGTTCACCGACGGCCTCAGCGTCTCCATGATGCACAACCGCGGCGGCCTGGCACTGGGTGCTCTAGATCTGGACAGTGAGTATTGAGTGGATGTCTTATATCATAGGTTATAATAAGTCCTTTTACCAACAGCTCGCAATCATGGCCTGAATGGAGCCAGCGAACCGCAGGTGGATATGCTCGATATTCCCGGAAAGGGACGCTGCTGCGTGTTCATAGCCCGATTTCCCTACGATCCTCCAGAGTAAGTAGTTAGGCTGTTTATTAAATCATATTTATAACCATTTCCCCATAGCATAAAGATAAGAAAATCATTTTTAGGGATACATTTCATCATTCATCAAATTAATCACATTCAATATCATATGAAGTTGTACATTAAATAATCCAAATTAATTAATTAATCTAAATCTATTTTGTTTTTAAACCAAAAATGTTTTTTAAATAATTTGATCAAGAATTAAAATAAAAATTAATTTATAGAACCTATAGAAAACCACTTAGTTCCAACAAATTCGAAGTTTTATAACATCTATTAGTTTTGGCTCCTGAAAGTATGCAATCCTTTTATATAACTTCACTGGCTAACCAGTCGTATACGTAATATATAAATTTGGAATGTTTTCCTAGCACTTCATCTTTTAGCACTTACTGTAAAATGCTAAAATTATATTAATCAATAATAATATTTATTACTATAACATGCTTAATCTGTTTAACTTTTTTTGCTCTTAAAGATGTGTAATTATTTAATGTTATTTGTGAGGTGTTTCACTACACCAATCTTTTGGAATAACTACTAACTAGAACTACAATAACTAAACGATTTTCCTTATGCGCATCCCCCAAACGATCTTCCCAATGGTTGTATGATACCGAACCGAACCCATATATCTCCATAGAACAACCCAGACTAACCTCTGTTATTTTCAGTGTTCATAATGAATTCTCTTCCATGCCTTGCAGGGAGGCTGAGGGCGAGCTCTCCCTGTGCGCCGGCGACTATCTGCTGGTGTGGACCAGCGGGGAGCCCCAAGGAGGCTACCTAGATGCGGAGCTGCTGGACGGGCGACGTGGCCTTGTTCCGGCCTCCTTTGTGCAGCGTTTAGTGGGTAAGTGTATTCCCTACCCCGTTCTCTATAATAGAACCCGCCACTAACCCAATCCTCTGCAAATGTATCTGCTAGGCGACGACCTCCTGGAGTTCCACCAGGCGGTGCTGTCCACACTGCGCGATGCCGAAGATGGGTCGATGCAGTGCGACACCACATCGCTGCCCTCCTTGCCGCCGCACAACCCATTGCTCACACACACCCACGAGGATCTGGCCCGCTTGAGTGAGACGCACACCGATCTGGAGCACGACCAGGACGATATCAGCGACAATGGTAACTATTCCTGGTCCAATTCTGCATTGGTCCTGTTCATGTGTTTAATCTTTTTGGTTTTTGTGGCGATCCTCGAATGTGCGTCGCCGTGCATGGCATGAATGTGAGCATAACTTAGATCCTTTGGTCACTTCCGATCTCCTGATCACCCCGATCACCTCCTGATTTAACCTGACTTAACCCCGTTTAACGCTTGCCATTGAGGCATCGCTAGCACTTATAGTCCGCTGCATTTAGAGCCTCAATCAGCTGGCTAATGACACACTTCTTGCTCCTCCCCGCAGTTCCAGCACCCAAGCACTTGACGCTGGAACGGCAGCTGAACAAGAGCGTGCTCATTGGCTGGTCGCCGCCGGAGCCAGTGGGCTACAACCTCATCGACAGCTACCACGTCTACGTGGACGGCGTGCTCAAGGTCACCGTGAAGGCCAACGAACGCACACGCGCCTTGATCGAGGGCGTTGACTCCACGCGGGTGAGAAGCGCCTCCTTACTTCGGATGAGAAGAGGTCCTTTTAAAATCAAGAATAGAGCTGTGTCCTCGCACCCGAAGACCCCTCGATTGCGAATGAACCGTCTTTAAACAAGCTGACTGCATCTTGCTTTTAGGCGATTTGTTCGGATCATACAATACCATTTTCTCACTTTCTTTAACTTTGGCATGCTACTTATAAACAATCCAGTGCAATAATCTCACACACCTTTTTACATCTGAAAGACACTTACCTTTTTGTCTAAACAATTTTTTAACCAACCACTATCCAGTATAGACTACATAAAAACTCAACCTAACTTATCAAAAAAAAAAACAAAATGTGATTAATCGTATCATTTTACTTAATTAAAGTTTAGATTGCTATTTGAAAGTTATACCTTTTGAAGATTTTTACCAGCAAGTTAAAAACTTAACAGGTTATTCCAATTTTATTCTGGTAATTAAAATTGTTTGTTTATTAACAGATTTATAGTATTTGAAGAATGAAGTTAAGGTTAATATACAGTTAAAGTTGAACTTTAAAATATATATTTAAACTTATCATATGAAATTAAAAATTTTGATTAATCTTACTCACTTACGCTGTCAAGAAAAGATCTATTCGAAAGATAAGAACCATTACTTTTATTCTTGATTTTACAAGACTTTTCTCATTCACTATTCTCTATAAGAACCAAGTAATCCTAACCACATCTTTTCACCCCTAGCCGCACCGAATCAGCGTGCGGAGCGTAACCCAGAATCGGCAGACCTCTAGGGATGCCGCCTGCACGATGATCATCGGGCGGGACACCGCCCACCTGGGCCCCTCGGCGGTGCGCGCCTCGCACATAACCTGTTCCTCGGCGGTCATCTCGTGGCTGCCGGCCAACTCGAACCACCAGCACGTGGTCTGTGTGAACAATGTGGAGGTGCGCACCGTCAAGCCGGGCATGTACAGGCACACGATCACGGGCTTGGCGCCGAGCACCCAATATCGGGTGACCGTGCGGGCCAAGCACCTGCGGGCCGTGGGCCAACATGCAACCAATCCGATGGGCCAGACAGGAGTCACCGGCAGGCCGGGTCAGGAGGAGGCGCCCGGAGCGTATGCCGATTTCCGCACCCTGACCAAGGGCCTGCCAGATCCGCCGCAGGAGATACAGCTGGAGGCCGGCCCGCAGGACGGTACCATTCTGGTGACATGGCAGCCGGTTAACAGGCCCACCTCGACGGGGCCTGTAACCGGCTATGCTGTGTACGCCGATGGTAAGAAGGTCACCGACATCAACTCGCCCACCGGCGACCACGCCCTCATCGACATCGGCAAGCTGGGCGTCTTTAATCCGCGCGCCGTCACTATCCGCACCAAATCTAGGGACTCCCAGTCGGCGGACAGTGCGCCCATCTTGATACCAAGTGAGTAATGGTTAGGGTCTAAAGAATTCGCGGTACTTTGGAACAGATTTGGTACTTTAATCGATTACTTAATATTACTAAATGGTTTTCGTCTTGGTCTGAAGAATTCGCGTAGCACATTTGTAAATAAATTTGTTAAGGATCTAAAGAATTCGCGATCTTTGGTAGTGGTAGATGGTAAAGTAACTAATGTATGTTAATTTTTCTAAAGAACTCGCAGTTTCAATTTGTAAACTCTATCATTAAATACTATTAAAATTGGTAGAGTTGTAAATTTGGTTTCCTTGTTCTGAAGAATTCTCTGAAGAATATATCGATATCGGTTCTTGTTGGATCCTCGGTTTCTTTATAATTTGCTGTTGATTTCGTTAAAACAAAACTGATCCAATTCCGATATGTCCTTCCACAGATACCGTTCGCAATGCCGTGGCCCGAAGGGTTCCGAACCAGATGGGCATGGGTCCGCAGTTGCCGCAGGGACCGCATGGGATGCCGGGGTGCAGCAGCAGATGGGCGGGATGCCCGGGCAGCCGGGTCAGCAGGTCAGCACATGATGGGACAACAGGATCACGGGCAGTACGATCCCAACCAGATGCAGCAGCAGCAGGGCATGCAGCCGCAGCCGGGTCAGCCGGGTCACCAGGTGAGTGGGTGGTGCAGGTGCGACGCCTTGGAGTCGACGCCAACCACGCGTACACTGTAAATAATGTTCTGTGAACTCGTTTCGTTTTATCATTTCGAAGCAATTGGCTAAGATCTTCTAAATTCTATTGTATCTAAAAATCTTGAAGCCAACACACCATCGAAGAATGTACATAAGTTATTCTCGTGTAAACTCCCACATATTCTACCCATCCGAATGCTAGTCACACAAAGGAAAACCTTCGATTTGAAACCCATTGCTTGTGAAAACCGCGCACTTTCAAACAAAAATTGATTTTCCCCATTGCATCAATATCAAATCGTTTCGAACCCCCCACTTTTCTATATCTTTCTCTAAAGAGTTCAATGTTGACCTTCATTTATTTTAACATTTACCTTTCCTTACATCTTCTCTCTATCTGTTTATCCTCCAATATCTTTTGGACTGCCTTTATTTTCATATATACTATCCTAATACTTTCGGTCTATTTGTTTTGCAAATGAACCTATATTATATACATACACTGAGAGAAATTGTTAAGACAATCGCACAAAATTAACACAAATTTCACATGTCAAAGAACTGCGAGACAGTTGAGTCCCCGATCTTTGTGATAAGAACCGAACCCAAGCAATTGAATTGAGACCTTCTCCCACCCAAAGAACTTGTATGTATGTAAAGTTATTTATTCCTTGTTTCTTTTATAATTTAAGTTTTCTTTTCCACTTTCGATTTCAAGAGATATGCCAGAGTATGCCACTTTTGCTAGAACCTTTTCAGTTTCATTTGTTTTTGGGTTTTCAGTTCGTTTGAGTATAGTTCACAATTAGCATGTCAGCAGCAAATTGCAATTACCAAATAATAATACGATTTTGAACTTTGTTGAGTTGTTCAGATCTAAACTAGAGTTTTAACTAAGTATTGAGCGGAAATGCCAAAAAGTATTGTCTTAAGGAAAACGCAATGCAACGAACAATTTTAAACAAAACAAGTACATATTCATTTTCATTATATGAAACCGAAACCAAAACTGAAAATCGTACACCTCGATACCTCGATACTGATACCGATAACCGATAACCGATAACGACAAACAGCCCGACGCAGGCTCCGGATTGTTAGGTGGCCTGCTCGGTGGCCTCTTCTCGAAACCCACACAGAATCAAGTGAACCAGAATGTAAGTTTTACCCACAACATCTCTCGCATATTACACACCTCGCAACACCACACTAGCCATAAGTAATATATATCAGTATATCTGTAACACCTTGCGTACAAGTATCTAGATCCTAGATTCTAGACATATTTATTTGGTTAGCTTGGCTAGAAATGCGCTAAAAACTGGAAAAATCGAGCTTGTATATTGAAGCAAAACGAAGTATATGACAGAATTTGATTTCGCTTAAGTTGTTTGTAGATTTTTTCTGAATCGTTTCCTTAGCAAGTAATTAAGTATGTCTTTAGGGAACTAAATTTTGATTATTTCGGCTGACCTGTAAGTACCACAAAAAGTTTAAAGATTGGAAAACAAGTGTATAAATAGGGCTAAAAAGTGCATGGCTTCTTCTGGTCTTACAATAAGTAAATCTTAGAAGGAAGAACTACTACAACTACTTAATTTAACTCGATGCTTAGGCAAACCTTTGCAGAGCTACTACTTGAACTACTTCCCAAATCTACTCTTGTAATCTCTCCAATTATCTGTGTAAAGAACCCAACTGACTATACATATGTAAATACGTATGTAAATTCGCAGCTAATGCTAGAAACATGTGTAAACACCCACACCAGCCACTAGAAGATACCACCTATAGCTACCCATAATCCAATTACACCCACAAAGATACTCTGAACTCGAACCCGTGCTTTCTTACTACCGATGCCATTCCAACCCCTCAGTAAACATACTCGTATAGCTTCGTACAATCGACTCTATCAGCTATAGATCTTTGGCTTTTCAGTTCTTAAATGTATTTAGCTCGTAACGCTCCATTGACACATAGACATACATAAACACACACAGCTTTCGTACTTCCTTAGTTGTCTAAAGAGAAAAACCAGCTAAACGCAGACGCCTCTAAACGCCTTGCTAAAACCTCGGAAACCTCTCTAAAGACAATGTGAATGAAAAACAGAGTACTAACTACTAATTGCAACACCCCGAAAAAAAAGAGTTCAAAAACTAAAGCTAACAAAATTTTAAATTCATTCAAATTGATTTAAATTTCGGCGGAACCAGGGCTATCAACCAGGTGCTCCAGGAACGCAAAGGGGCATGGTCCCGATCCCGGGAAGAGCCCAGGGACCCCAGCAGCAACAGCAGCAGCAGCAACCCTATGGACCTCAGGGTCCCATGGGTGGGCCACGCTTTCGAGGACCAGTTCCTGGCCAGTTGAATATGCAGGGCCAGCAGATGCAAGGTCAAATGCAGGGGCAGATGCCGGGTCAAATGCCTGGGCAATGCCTGGTCAGATGCCAGGTCAATGCCAGGTCAAATGCCTGGTCAGATGCCTGGACAAATGCCTGGTCAATGCCTGGACAAATGCCTGGCCAGATGATGGGACCACGAGGACCACTGAACCAACAGCAACAACAGCAGCAGCAAATGCAACAGGGTCAGATGATGCCCGGCCACAGCCAGGACAACCAGGACAGCCGGGACAATCCGGTCAGCCGGGACAGCCTGGCCAAATGCCCGGGGCCCAGAAGAAACCACGCTACTTTGTGGCCATGTTCGACTACGACCCATCCACGATGAGTCCCAATCCCGACGGCTGCGACGAAGAGCTGCCCTTCCAGGAGGGCGACACGATCAAGGTAAGAACCCCTGAGCCCCAAACTGTAACCCAATCCGTACACTAAACCACCAGAACCACCAAGATCAAAGACACTTTCCAGCCGCAGCCGCAGTTGTTAACTTGCTGAGCAACCAGCAACCATGATATGGTGAGCCCCGTTTCGATCCGATCAGATCCGCAGATCAGAACCCCAATCGAAGATGCAAATTGATGTCCAGAATTGGCTGCGCTTGCTTGTTGCGCTAATTGAATGAATCAGTGCATGTTTTTCCTTCGCCCCCAACTCGAACTCTTAACACTCAAACACCACCCTCAGAATCAGAATTCATTGAGAGTAAACCCCTGACCAACCCAGTATCTAACCAAACCGTACTCTATATCCACTTTGTAGACGTTGTTCTCTCTTCTAATAGTTCCATAAATACTTGTTAAGTTAGCGTTATGCACTCAATACACTTACCAACTACAATAATCACTATTGTCTTATGAATCTTAAAATATATCTTACTAATATGGTATCCTTGGGTTATACACCTTTGTTCCACATAGGTATTTGGTGATAAGGATGCGGATGGCTTCTATTGGGGCGAGCTGCGTGGTCGCAGGGGCTATGTGCCGCACAACATGGTCTCCGAGGTGGAGGACACCACTGCCTCCATGACGGCCGGAGGTCAGATGCCGGGTCAAATGGGTCAGGGTCAGGCAGGCGGAGTGGGTGGAACCGCCCAGTGATGCCCGGCCAGGGAGCTCCGCAGCAAAGTATGAGGAACGTGAGCCGCGATCGGTGGGGCGACATCTATGCCAACATGCCGGTGAAACGGATGATCGCCCTCTACGACTACGATCCCCAGGAGTTGAGTCCCAATGTGGATGCCGAGGTGAGTCTTAGTCCTAGATTTCTATTCATTTTCAGTCATATATTTATTTTAATGCCTTCTTAAGCGACGGGAGAGTCAAGCGGGAGTGGTCTTATGAGTGGTATATTTGGCAGCTTAGGTTTTACTCAACATGTCGTGCCTCCCATGGCAAATGAAGTAATAAAAACATAGGATCTTAAAACTGAACTATTGCTAGAAGCTATATACGCTTAATTTAAACTACTTGGAAAAGATAAGATTGAAAAACTTAACACATTAAAGATATTTTATCAAACAACATAATAAATCTAAAAATACTCGTAACCCTGACTTGGCTAGTTTATCTATTGTTCCACCTTATAGCAATAGTAATTACACTTACAATAAAAAGTTTGATGATATGAAAGAATAAGCTTGAAAATTATGACCATTTCAGATAGTGAATATACTGAAAACAGACTGTAAGATATTAGAATGATATATTAGAATATTATTATTTAAAAAGAGATAGGTAAGCTGAAACTATTCTGATTAAATAGTGACATCTAAGTACATCCTTAAAAAACCTTCAGATCATCAGTAGCAGATATTTTAGGCCTCTTTTGACTTACAATTTATATGAAATAAATATATTTAAAAATTCAATACTGACCTAGAATTTTTGACCTCCTCCCACTCACAGCAGGTGGAATTGTGTTTCAAGACGGGCGAAATCATACTCGTTTACGGTGATATGGATGAAGACGGTTTCTACATGGGCGAGCTGGACGGCGTGAGGGGCCTGGTGCCGTCGAACTTCCTGGCGGACGCCCCGACCAGTACAACAACCAGATGGGGCCGGGCGGAGTGGCCGGCAGAGGCGGGCTGAGCCAGCGGGGCAGGGGTCAGGGGCCAGGAGCGAGGGGTCCGCCGCCCCCGCCACGCGACAACATGATGCCCGGAATGGGCGGGCGCGCACAGCCGGGCAAAAGTAAGTAGGCTTTGTGCAGATCAGATCGAGATGCCAAATGGACTTTCGCCTTTTTCGTTTACATTTACTCTTGCGTTTCTTCCGTTCGATTTGAATACGAATTAACCAATGATCGAATGATACTGAAAACCGATTCGAACAACTCTAATCTTTCGGGCTTACAAACAGTTTCTTTTTAACGTTTTCGGTTCCTTTTCGGTTGATTCGTTTTCAAAAATGAAAAAAATAAGAAAAATCTAAAAGCCAATACTACAAAATAATACATAACATGTACTTTAATCTCGAAAGCACTTTATAAGATGAATAACTATGCAGGTTCTTCCAGACTACATAAACAATTCCACCAGCGGGATAATATATACTATACTACTATAGCAATCCATTTCTGTTCCGATATTCCCCAAATATTTTTTTCGTTTTCGTTTTAGTTTTCCCCCAAACGATATATATTACAAATCAGCGAACACAGAGAATATTTTCACTACTTCTCTCTTTCTATCTTAACTCTCTATCGCAAAAATTCAAGTGAAACAAAACAGTTACAAGTTGAATACAAATTCTGATTTTGAACGCCGCTAATTTGATTTCCATTACGATTACGATTCCGAGCGAACTTTTGTACAACTCTTTTCTCCCAATTTTTTTTCTTATTAATATTAAATGCGATTTTTGTTGATGTACAAATTAAATAATTTCCAGCACCAATCAGTTCGATATTTCCAACTTATATATATACTTATATAAATATTTCCTTCTTGTTTTGTACGATTTTTGTTTGGACTCCAATGATATAACTCTAATCCAATAAAAATATACAATAGATAGTTGTTGTTCTTGTTGTTGTACACACACAATATAACATATATTTCCCGAGCATTAAGCATCACCATTGATCAATCATGTAATCATCCTGAAATTAAGAAATCAAAGAACAAATATCAGATATCAGATACTTCAGGCCCATTTAATCATGTTCATTTCCTATATCGTCTTTCCTTTGTATATAACTCTTTCACTTAGCTTTCTTTAACTTGTCCGTACCAATCTTTAGTTTGATTACCATTTCTTCTTCTTTTTGGTATCCTGTCTCTCCTTGTCTTGCGTGCCTTTTTCTAGACGTGTAAATTTCTAGATGGTCTCTTGCATGTTACTCTACTAAAAAGTATATTTGAAAACAGTTTTTTTTTTGGTTAACTTGCTTTTGATTTGTTTTTAGTGAAGCAATTGTGTTTGCCTTAACGATACGAATTACTTGCACCTGAATTGCCGAATGAATTGATATTGATTGCCTAGTTGATCACCACCGAGCCATAGATCACTTAAAGTCAACCTCTGAATGTGCCTTGTACCGAAAAGAAGTAATGCCAATGTGAAAAGTCACCCAGAATGCCTTGAATCCACTGATGGAGACGGAGCCAGAGATTAGTTGGTGGACAGATCCTAGGGAACTACGAGTACAGCAGTATGGTACTTCTAAGTTTTGAACCTCTTGAGTCCCGGATATCCGAACCACCCCCAAAAATAATAGACCCCAACCACCCCAAAAAATAACGTTAAACGAGTACGAGTATCTGCTTTTCAATCAAATATTTCTTTTAGCGTTGTTTCCTCTCGTTGATTTTCGAATATTTTCTGTTCGTTTTTTCGTTGACTTCTTTCCTTTTCTGGTTTTCTGAATGTTGGTCTTGTTTGTTTGCCAATTAGCTTCTTCGATATATATATTTGATATTTGTTAATTTTTGTTCAAAAATATAACAACAAAAACAACAACAGCATCAGCAAGGGCTCCAAGCACCAAAAATCCAAAAAATATATAAATTCTCAAATGAATACGAGCAGTATTTTCTGTATCTAATGTACATTTTATATTGTAAAATACTTGACTTAAATTTTAACTACTTATTTCCATATAACTTATAACTTATATACAATGCCATATGTACTAAGCCGATAAAGTGCCCGTCCAAATGCTACATATAACTTATATCTTATCTAAAATATCCCGTAAACTGCATACAAAAGCTTGTGCAAATGCAACCAAAGAACCGAAATCATCTGAAAATAATTCAGAGACCCCGAGAAGTTCCCAATCGGGGCTCGAATAGGGCTATATTTCGTAAGCCAAAACGAAGAAGGTAATATTTAATGCAATTTTAATCTACTTACTGCTGGAAACAATAATCATAATCAAATCAAAAATGCAATCATTTAACTAAACTCTCTATCTTTCTCACATTTTACTAATCCGATTTGATCTTTGACCTTTTGGCGCCTCTTTCTCTCGTTTCAATTATGTCTTTGCGCAAAAACCAAATTTAAACATAACATTTTCGAAAAGCCCGTATTATATTTGGAAGAAATACTGAGACCCTTGGGTCTCTTGACCAAATTTTATTTAACCCTTTTCGTTTTGAGTTGTCCATTGATTTGTTCGTGAACTGCGGTGAATTATATAGAACAACGATTATTTGATTAACCCCACCCGCGCGGAGATGAGTAAATGTATAAGTATATGCAATCCAATCTTTCCAACCAACCAACATTAATCACAGTTTCTGAACAGGCAGCTATCCGAACTATCTGCAAATTGTACGCGAATAAATTCAATATTTCGATTGGTTTTGATTTCGTTTTCGATGCCTAAGTTCGACTTTTGAGTTTCGATTACGATATTTTTCGTTTTGACTACTACAACTTCTTTCAAATAATTTTTTGTAATGGTCTGCTGTGGTAAATGTGAAGTCTTTATGTTATATTCGTTGCTATAGATGCTCGCCCTGCTTCCCCTACACTGTTAGACAACACGGGCCATCCTGCCCCCGATCACCAAACGCAGGTAAATACTCTTTCTCTTTTGTTTCCTTTTGTTTTGATATATCGAACGTATGAAAAGAAAGCTAAAAAGATATACAATATTTTCATTTGTTTGTTTGTGAAAATAAATGCTAAAGCTAATCTAAAGAAAAGAGTTAAGAATACGCCAAATGTAACCACAACTGTTCACCTAATACCTCAAAAGCTCAAAACTAAAACCTAATACCGTATTATTATTGCTACAACAGTTACAAGAAAACTACTTACTACAACAAACAGTTACCTATCCCTATAAACCTGTACCTTTACCTATGTATAACTTCACTTACTATCTCTGTCACTCATTGTCACTTTTCGGTTCCGATTCTCGGCCAAGCCAAAAAAACAATATCCATTTAAATCCCGGAAACGGAAACCACGTATTATCCCGACACTCAGACAGAAGAGGAACACGCCATCTCTTTCCTACGACATACTGCTATCGCTTTCCTGCACACGCGCCAGCTGTGATGTGCGGACTCTTTCACACACTTTCTTCCATAACTCGACTCGATCGTCCATTGTTCCGTCCTCTTTTCTCTCTCTCTCTCTATGTCTATAGCTACTGCGCATTATCTTCTTAGCTCACCATGTCTATATACTACATGTAATCCATTCCGAACCCAATTCAAACGCTTACAGTACAGTACTTGAACATTCCAATTAACGATATCAATCAACCGATTTATATATACCTATATATATATATCTATAGTACATATGTATAGCTAGCAACATGTTTATCTTGTAGTTAACATCCACAGACAACAGCGACATTATAAATACAAACATTCAAACCAAACAGCAAGAGGCTCGTCCGTGTAAAGATATATCCCCAGATCGTTGAGCACTTCATGTTGGTGTAATATATAGTCGTAATCGAACTCAGAATATAGCTAATCAACAGATCGTGTATGTGTGTATAGTCTGTATATAAATCTTTTAAGGATCTTCAACAAATATCAGCAACGAATTCCACAGCAACAATCATTTACATCAATTTCTCTTCAGTTTTTTATCCACCTGATTTACATACATTCAAATATTATTTATTCTAACTGTGTCACTGCTTTTATTTTTGTTAATCCGTTCTCAGTTTTTGTTTTTCTAGTTCTAAACTCAGCTTACAGACTTCCTAAACTTTCTAGCTTTGCCACGATAAATGGCAACATATTTTTTTTAATACCCTGCAATTTGCTCACTCTAAGCTAATAGAAGGTTAAAAAATGGTATCATACTATCCGTAATAAATGATCAGTAATATTATACTTTAATATAATTTTCTGATACAGGGGACCTGCTTTTTAAAAATATAATGCTAAATATTATTGCTTCTAAATTAGCTTGGAGAGCAAACAAAAACAATTCCGGAGAATGAGATAATGCAAAGTGATAATATAATCCAAATGTGTACAAATCTATTCACACAGTATCCGAAACTCCTTATCTTAGAATCGCCAAATACCAGATACCATATATGCCAGATACAAAATACACACTCAAGTAAACGTATTGCTGATAAGACGTGATACATACCTATAAATATATATATATATATATCTATATATGAATACATTTTTGTTTTCTTACTGGTATACGCTACTAATTATATTAATTAATTGCTACTACTACTATATGGAATATTGGATGTAATGTGTACAAATTTCTATGTGATTCACTGTATGTGTAATACCTTGAGTTTTTGGTTTCGTCAATTGCCTCTTGAGTTCTCTCCCCACCTGATTTCGACCCAAACTGAATTTACCCTTTGGTTTCTATCGTCATTCCCCTCATATGATTTCCTCTGGCTCACCTTCGTCCAGTATGATTTGCTCAATAGATTTGCATTTAGCTTTTACTTTAAACAATGATCAAACACTGAAGTACAAGATAAGTTCGTTTTTTTGGTTCATCGACACGAACTCATTCCGGATGACAAGTATCCGCTGACTATTTATGATTTCACTGATTGCCTAGACACGTTCACAACAAAACACAACCTTCGACATATCATCAAGGTAGTGTAAATAAATAGAGCTTTAGAAACTACATATAGAAGTCCGGTCCAAAAGGAGTCGAGAGTCCTCCCGCACTGTCTGAATATTTTTTTCTCAGAATGCGTACCTATATCTTTTTGAAATACTTTATTTTTGCAATGCTAATTTCTTGTTCTGTTTTTGGCCTTAGGCCTGTTACGTTTTTCAGTTGACAACTAATGAGAAACGTTGCTAGTTCTACATATATATTTTATGTTTTGTTCCAATCAAAAGGATGTGTATAAATGATCAAATCACGTAATGCTACTGTTACTCGTTTCAATTGAGGCCTTTAAATCAAGGCTCCTGCCACCCTGGCTCCTCGAGGAGTTGATGGGACTCGGAGGCCATTGATTGAGTCCAGGCTGAGCACTGTGTTTCATCTAGCGAGGGTTTCCTGTTCGGTTTTTGACTAGCCTCTCTTTTTCGTAGTTTAACGAACGTAGCTGCCATTACTACTAACAAAAAAAAACACAACCAAGGACCTCGCTAAACTAACCAACTACCCCGGCTAACAAACACTCTTGAGAGAGCATTTCAAAACTCCATGAAAATATTAAGAAACTTTCCCCGCCCATAAATATACGTACCATATATATATATACTTAACAAATTAGTTTGCCATTCGTTTAAAGCGCCCACTGCCTGATTGGAAGCCCAACTAACTGATATTTTGTGGTCCTTGGACCAACGCCACCTTGCAGGGGATGATCGGTCGCGTTGGTAATGTCGGCCTGCAGCAGCAGCAACAGCAACAGCAGCAGCAGCAGCAACTCCAACAGCAGCAGCAGCAATATGGTCAGCAACAGACGCAGATGGGACAGCAGCAGCAGCAACAGCAACAGCAAATGGGACAACCTGGAATGATGGGTCAGCAGCAGCAGCCGATGGGTCAGATGGGTCAAATGGGTCAGCAGCAGATGGGTCAACAGATGGGTCAGCAACAGCAACAGCCGCCGGTGACGACACAGGCCCAAACGGGCGGCCTCTTCTCGGGCGCAACTAGCCTGCTCTCTGGTGCTACCTCGGCTGCCACCGGTGGTCTATTTGGGTCGAAGCAACCGCCCAAGACGGATCCAATGCAACCACAAGGTGGTGTGCAGCCAGTGCAGCAACAAGCAAACGCCTTTGGTGGTGCCCAGCAGGGGGGTATGCAGCAGCAGGGGATGCAGCAGCAGGGGATGCAACAGCAGGGGATGCAACAGCAGGGGATGCAACAGCAGGGGATGCAACAGCAAGGCATGCAACAGCAGGGCATGCAGCAAGGGATGCAACCAGGGATGCAGCCAGGGATGCAGCAGGGGATGCAGCCCGGCATGCAACAGCAGCAACAACAAGTGCCACCGCAAGCCCAGGCTCCCCCTCAAGGACCGGGCGCCGGTCTGCTCGGGGGTCTCAAGGGCATCGCTGCGGCGGCGCCCGGCGGCGATGTCCTATCGAAAGGCAAAGATCTCTTCGGAAAATTCGGGTTCGGCTTTGGCAAATAACCCCGGTCATTCTATAGGGTCCTGTTATATTATTCGTAGATTAGACTTATTATTACTATTATGATTATGATTATTGCTATTGATTACGATTACTAAGCTAATATACAAAAACCAAAAGAAAAGAGAAAAAAAACGGAAAGACAGAAAAAAACACAGATGATACTATAATGACAGACAAACCAGAAATGCTAACGTTAAAAGAACCCATTTATAACCCCGGTCCGCTGTGAGTTGTTGTTGTTGATCTGATATGATATGACATGACTAATAGTACTAATGGTAATATTTTTTATTAATTAAATTGATAGAAATATTATGAGTGACCGACAAAATCAGCAGCAACGGTCTCACAGCTCGACCAGAAAAACAAAGCCACAAGCCCAGATAAATTGTTGTAAAATTATTTAACAAATTGCCTGCCGTTTAGGTGACTGCAACTCGATAAAGATAAAGAAAATGATTCCACTAACCCCACTAAAGGATAAAGCTCTATAATACCAGATTCACACACACACATACAGACGCAATACACACACACACACACATATATTATACAAATACAAGAATACAAATACAAAATACAAGTAAGGGAGGAGAAATATATTATATACATACATTATATTTACAATTATTTGTTAACGCACATTGTTAAATTTGCTACTGTTGCTGACCAGTTTATAAATAAAAACCAAAAAGAAACGAGGAAGGGAAAGATAAGAAAAGAAAGAGGAGAGATGATAAAGCAAACACATAAGGTAAACTAAACCAAACATAAACATACATATATTATATGTATATATTTAAAATATATTGAAAACTAAATTGAGATACACTAAAATTACATTTATAAATCAAAACACAACCGAATGTTAAGCAATGCGCTGAACAAGGATACATACATTAAAGTAAATAAATAAATCGATATGGTACATATTTACATATATTCGCATATACTAAATACGATTTCGCATTCAAGCCAACCTCCAATCGGGCGCATTTCCAAGACAAGGCGACCTTGACTTCCAGTCCAGCACAAGAAGATATAATCCCATCTAATCCCCTTAACAACCCAGTGATAATCGCAGCCAAGTCCCAAGAATCCCCATTCCAAAATCCCAAATCCCAATCCCTTCGACTGCTCGACTTAAAACTTCTATTCTACGCCCCACTTTTTCAGTGTTTGATGTCCATAGAAGCCATATGCGATAAATATCAGTGTAACTTAAAGCAAACCAAAGACCAAGAGAGATCTACTCCTACATACATATAATGGGATACCCAAAATGGCAAATACAAAAAATATAATGTACTAAGCACAAGATAAAAGATCGTAGCATTAGACCCAGGAGACATGTTCACTAAATTCAGCAAGGAGACTCTTTCACACCTTCTCTAGCAACTTAAGTCGCCCCTTGCTACTACTTCCTATCGCTATCTACCATCCTACCTATCCATCTTTCGATCGTTATTTTATTACTACCAATTATCAATTACCAATTATCAAACTACCAATTACCGATAGCTATATGCCGCATACGACTTATTCTGTTTCTCTGTCTATCGGGAAACCTTGCTTCTATCCATCCGGTTTGAGAACAGAACAGATCAGCATACTGTTTCCTAATGTTTGAAAATTGCTTTCACTCAGCCCACTCTCAAACACACTCAGCATAATACACAAAAAAAACAAATACATCGCGTACCTCTTGCTTTACGAAAATACAAACATTTAAAGAAATGGAAAGTATAAAGATAACAAAAACAAAAACCAAAAAACAAATATATTAATGACAAAATTTACCAAACAAATATATTAAACAAGGCATATTTAAAGAGCGCATAGAGTTGCATATGTACATGTGCTTGGCCGGCAAAACAAATAATTGTGAGCAAATGATTACTTTAGACACACACTTACCACGAAAACGATACATAGATACACTGCAATTAAACACTGTAAATTGTAAACTGGCAAATAAGTAGACGGGGCAGAGATAATAGAGATATCGGAAGTAGCCAGAAATGTTGGTGAGGTGAAATCGAGATCGAAACAAGTGTTAACTTTTCCCACGCAAAATGATTTAAATCTTACAATCAAGTCACTGTATTATTCAGCCACATCGGATAGACAATTACAATCTACAAGCCTAACTTCGGCGTCCACCGAAGCCGTAAAGTTCCCGTAATTCCGGTACAGATATATCACTTCCGGTGAACGGGGACCAGACCGGAAACACACACACAGATACAGATGCAGACAGATAACACAGACACACGAACACACTCTATAATCATTTACTAGACACACCTATACAAGTATACAACAAACAGTTTATTTCCTCGGAAACAAAGCGAACAATATAGAATAATTGATACTAAATTCCCATAAAAAAAACACACACTGGCAAAACAAAAAATGATAATGGCAAAGAGTACTATGCAATATGAAATGGATAAACAAAACAAATGAAAACCAACTAAATTGTTATACTGTATTATTATACTTTTTCTATAAATTATAATTTCCTTATTGAACGACAAAAAGCGAAAAAAATAATAATTAAACAACAATTTCAAAGAAAAAACCAACCAGCTTCTCAATTGCTTTAATTAGGCGGCATTACTCATACGACACGTATGCCAGAGTATATCTGTATTTCAATTCAGCGGCACGAGGCGTGCTTTATGGGGTCTTATGGCACCTGCTTATCTCCTCCGCTTGCAAAATACTTTCGCCCGGTTTATCTTGATATATTCGTAGAAGAGTGCTGTATTTTAATAATGCATATAAGTATTTACAGAGTCGCTAACTAAACAACTAAATCTAAGTAGTTAACTAACTGCGGCCGCTGCCTAATTACGCAATTTGCGTGCGAACGTCAAGCGGAAACAGGTGAGGAGATAATCTTCTGACGTCCGTCGTTCATAACCAGATCAGACTGATACATTCAGATATATAGATTACAGCTTGGCCTCTAGAAGGGGGCTTCCTTTTCGATCTGCAAATGACTCGCCAGCTGGCTGTCTTCCTGGCAGAATCGCACATTTCCCATCACCGGAAGCATTTGCTGCACCTTAAGGCTCATATTCTGCAGGATTAGAAGGACATCGTGGCTGGCCATTTCCTTGGCCACTGAGATAAGCATTTCACTGAAGTGACATCGAATTGCATGAAGCGGTGCAATCGAGAACCACTGGGAAATCATTCTGATACAGTCGGCAGGCTGCTCTTAGTTCGTTTCTCAATGCATCACTCCGGTGTAATAGACATCCGATTGGGGCACTATATGCACATAGTACGCGGTTCATGCTGCAAAGGAGGGGGTTTCATTTTAATTTATATTATTTTTTAGGCTTTAAATCATATACCTGTTTTAGGTTGACTTCGAATTTGGGATTACCAAGACGCAGTAGAATAAACACCATGCTTAGCACAATGCCGAAAAGCAGACCCAACTCCACGCCGGCCACCAAACAGATGATGAAACTCCCACCCAGCTGAAGAAGTCCTTCTTATTGTCTGCCAGAGCTCCTTAACCGGAGCAAAATCAATCTGTTAGGAAAAAATAATAAATATAATACTAGACATTTTTAAAACAAATTTAGAAGTACACCCAGAAAAATTGAAAGGAAAATAAGCGAAGATGAAATGTTCACAATTGAGAGATGGTTTCCCTTTATTCGAGAAGATACATTCTTGAATCAAGAAGAAAAGACTCCCGAATAATTTTTTCCAGAAAAAGTATCTTAAAAGATGTGTAATTTTGATTTCGAAATGATAATCTTGATTTTAAAATACAAGATGAAACAATCCTGGCACCTTTAAAACGAAAGAACGGTTTCTGAATTACCACCATAAAGATTACGCTGCAATTAAACAGCAGACAGCGAGGCCTTTGGGATGTACTGGAAGTAGGGGTCAGGATGCTCAAAGCGGAGAGCACTATCAATCCCGTGTAGATGCCAGCCATGGGTGTCCTTACTCCGGAGGCCTGACTCACCGCCGATCGGGTGAAGGCTCCGCAGGTGGGCATGGCACTGAAGAAGAACCGGCTATGTTGCACAGACCCAGGGTCAGCATCTCCTGCGAGGCATCAAGTTGCCATCCTTAACTGAAGAAATACATTTTAAAATCAGCAAAAAGAGGCAGACTTAATATACTCATACGCACCGAAGGCCTTGGCGATGGCCACATTGGCAGGACTGCCACAATGGGCACCACAACGATTCCGCTGCCCAGTTCATGCAGATATCCGTGAATACATAAGTGCGGTTCTGGTACTCAAAGCAAAGGGCGGCAACTTGATCGAGGGCATGGCCGAGGAGACCTTGGCGGAAAGGGCAAAGGGCACCGCCTCAATGGAGCTCTTTTCACCCAGATAAACACTATGAGGCCGGTAAAGAAGACCACCAGAGCATTGCGAGATATACTGATGTACCACAGGATCTTCTTCAAACGACGAGTGACTGCCGTGTCTGCTTGAAATTGACTTGCGACAGGAGCTGGAAATGTGTTTAATAAAAAAACAATGTGATTATTTTCGGATACTAGGTAAATATCAATACTTTCTTACTGATTCGGTTTTTAATCATCTTTGAGAGGGAAACCTGTCTCTGGTTGTTTAGTCATGAAATATTAATTATCAAATTTATAATTATGAACAGTTTTTTTGCAGTACAGAGCCTACTTAGTTATACGGAAGCGTGACTTTAGATAAAAAAGTTAATTAGAGTTAATGCCAAATTTCATTATGAGCAGATACCAAAATATTTATCATTATATGATATAACAAAGAATTAGAAGCTTTATATGGTTAAAATCGTTAAGTTTATATGGAAACCATTCCCAAATCAATGGCTCTTTAATTATTAAATGTTTAGGCAAAATATTTTAAACTTACCCTCAACAAAAGCAGGACAACCATACAGGAAACTCCCATGGCGGCGTCCGTGGACGAATGTTGCTGAAAAAGTCCCCAATGGAGGGGAATCCCTTAATGCGAACCCCCAGGAGATTCTTGATCTGGGCAAAGACCACAATTACGGCCGTGCCGAGGTAAAAGCCTTTGTCACCGGAGCCGGAATGAAGCTCACGATGAAACCCAGCTGGAACACTCCCATGGCCAGTTCCACCAAGCCGGCCAGGAATGCCAGAACGATGACCACCTGCACAGGCTTATCGGCGCAGAATTGAAGTGTGAGAATGGCCATCAGGCTGGTGGGTCCAATGGATACCTGAGGTATCGTCCCGAAAAACACATAGATGATGGATCCAATGAAGGCGGAGTACAGACCATACTCCGAGGAGAGACCAGCTAGGGCGGCATAGGCGATACTTTGTGGTATGATGGTCAGACCCAAGGTGATGCCGGCGATCAGATCCGCGAAAGCCTGCTCCCGATCGTAGCTGGTGATCCAGCTGAGGAAGAAGATGCGTCGCACCAGCCAGTGGGCTTCCTTGGGCTTGGAGTACTTGCTGGCCACATCCACGTCGACGGTGTGAACCTGGCCATAATACTCATCGCCATTCTGAGCCGTGTACTTTTCCTTCTCCTCGCAACCAGCTGAAATCGAGGGATTAGAACCATTGTTAGTTTGGTTTTGAAGAGGTAATATTTTTTTAGAAATTCCTACGATCGTAAATGGTGGCTACTGTGGCCTGGGACTGCTCGGTGGTAGCTCCTCCATTCCTACGACTACTATTTTTGGGCCACAGGCCGAACGTGTGCTTTCGCGGCCAACGCATTGTATACTGATTTTCAGACTCTGTTTCAGTTTCGCCAATGGCCAGGTACAATCGCTCTGCCAGCCGAAATTGTTTGATTTTGTCAGGGGGATTTTTAGCATTTTAATAATAAAACCGAACAGTCCGGCTTGTCCGATTGCCGAGCCGAACGAACAGCGAAAAAAAGCGCAAAACTTTAATTGTGTGAAATCGTAATTAAGCACATATGTTTGCGTACTCTCGCTCTGGCCCAGAGTTCCCGGTGATTTGTATAAATAACTGAGATTCTTGGCTGATATTGAAGGCCCCCTCTATTGGAGAGCCACTACTCAACTATATAGCACTTAATATGTGTTAGCGGAATTGAAAACCTGTTATATCTTCCTCAATCGCTCTTTATGTAAATCGCACTACAAATCAATTTTTACCCAGTTTTTTTTAGAGTAGGTAAACAAAGCGAAAATCGTGTGGAGCCATGATAGAATAAGTGATTAAGGGTTTTTATAAAAAATTCACGGGAAGTAAAATTAGCACGTTGAGTGCTACTCGTATAGAAAACAAATACGGATGGTAGCAAGTGCGTACTGTCTCCAAATGGTGAGTATTAGTCATCTCTCTGTCTACAGATCTCTAGATCTATAATTGATAGTACAAGCCATTGATCATAGGTGCTACCTTTCACATGAACTGGTTAAAAAAAGATCTGTGAAAATCTGTTACGTATGAAAGTTATTGTCGTTGGCATGTTAATAATAGATTTGCTATGACAAACATGCAAAAGGTGTGTTTAAAAAAGTTGATATATTATTTTTATTAATTTGGAAAAGGTAAACGCGCTTAAAATATATTTATATATATATATTTTCCATTTTCTTTATAACATTCAATTTAATTTGATTTACTTTATAGATTTGTTCAAAAACGATCTTGTTATAATATAATCCTCCATAGTTAATCCTCATATAGTCAAATAACTAGTTTATATTGGTTTTTTCAGCGAATGTTAATATTTGTGGTTGACGGCTTGCAAGTTAAATATTTTTATACACGGGCGTTATCGGTCATGATGGGCGAAAACAGAAACCCAAAATGAATGCTAATTCGTAACATCAGGCCAAAATTTTTAACAACTTGCATCGACACTATATCTCCAGCTGTTGTTCGCTGCTAATTAAAGCGGGAGATCGGCGGGTGGCATTTATGGCGGTTGTAAAATTGGCCAAGTAGTGTAAATGGAACAGTTATAAAAATATCACGAGATCATGGCAGTAATGAATCACAGATGTTTCAAAGAGTTCTGGCTAAAACTTTATATAAAAGGTTGATTTTCACTAAAAATATACCACTCTTAATTTCCACATATATTTAAAACCGATCGTTTATATCCATGAACTCAAGTACTATCCTTACCATCGAAGGATAACTTCTTGACGATCGACATTATTCACGTATCCGCATATGATTTTAGGATGTTTATCGAAGGATGTTCGGAATGTTAACTTTATACTGATTATCCTTTCCAAGTGAGTGAACCAAGTGCACCGCTTCGCAATCTAATGAAAACTGCCGAATAAGCGACTTTTTGAATGATAAATAAGTGGGCGCGGGCAGATTTTTCTGATAAACACAAAAAATGAAAAGAGTCAAGAAAACGGCGACAACAGTCCGCT